TGTTAGGCGAAAGTAGCATGCATGCCAAATTTCAGGTCTATAGAGCAATCAGAAGTGGGCTAATTTTCGATGTCAATTTTAACAACAAACATCCAAACAAACAAACAAACGCGAAGCTGAGTTAAGAAAAACGTGTTAAAAACCACGTTTTTCTTGTGGACTAAAAAGTAGAAAATAAAATTTTCTTTTGTGCTTCCTCGAGCTGTGCAGGTTCTTGTGATGACTGACAAAAAACGTGGGTACGTTCACCATCAAATTTCCCGACCCATCTGCCCGACCCACGTTTTTTGTCAGTCATCACAAGAACCTGCACAGCTCGAGGAAGCACAAAAGAAAATTTTATTTTCTACTTTTTAGTCCACAAGAAAAACGTGGTTTTTAAAAAAGTTTTTTTTAAGTATTTTATTTTCTCCTTTTTAGTCCGTTGCTACACATGAAAAACGTGGTTTTTAAAAAAGTGTTTATAAATACACGGACTAAAAACTTGAGCGACCAGGATTCGAACCTGGGTTGTCGCGGCCACAACGCGAAGTACTAACCACTATACGATCACGGCCAGCGCTCTCACATCGATTGGGGCCGAAGTAACTGGGTCAATAGGCCTCCAGTCTTGTCGGTATCTTTAGAAATCATGTCCTCAATTTTATGGTCCTTGGGGCGTAATTAAATTAAGCTAATTACGGTCACTAATTGCTAGTTTTTATGACTGCATCTGAAATTGTTAGGCGAAAGTAGCATGCATGCCAAATTTCAGGTCTATAGAGCAATCAGAAGTGGGCTAATTTTCGATGTCAATTTTAACAACAAACATCCAAACAAACAAACAAACGCGAAGCTGAGTTAAGAAAAACGTGTTAAAAACGTGTTAAAATGGGTTAAAACGGATGGTGCGCCATCTATGTTTAGCTCAAAATCGGGCTTTCAGAAAACAGAAAAGATTTAGCTTCCTAACCACTGCTCTAACCAATCGACATCAAGAGTCCATTGCTAGTATAAGTCGTAAATTATATAAAATCTGGAGCCTTCAAAGAACTGAGCAAAAACATAAATAGTGATCACGAGGTTCTGCTCTTCTACACTACAGTACGCTGGCTGTCAAACGAAAAGTTGTAAATTGTGTTTTTGAATTGAAATCTGAAATCAAATTGTTCTTGGGAGTACAAAGGAAACAAGACTTTTTGGTATACTTAAAACGATAGAGTGGTTGGAGAGAGTATCTTACCTAGCAGATATATTCGAACATCAAGATAAGCTCAACCTGAAGCTTCAGGGAAAATGAACGAATATTATAACTTTCCATGATAATCTCGGGGCATTTTTATCAAAGCTGCAAAATCGGTAAAGAAAACAAATCTTGGAAGTATTGTAAATTTGAGAAACTCTGCGGTGTGGTAGATGAATCTGATTGTGAGATAATTAAAATTTTGAAAGAAGCGATTTCTGGGCATCTTGAATCTCTTGAAAATGAACTGCATCGCTATTTCTCTGAGCTGAAAAAAGAAGAATCTGCATTTACGCATTACCCATTCTCTTCTTCCCTTGATGTTGCCAGCATTCCCGATGAATTACAAGATGAATTCTTTGATTTGCAGAATGATTCCGTGTAAGATGAAAAACTGCAGACACAATTTTGGTGTAGTATTCACCATTCATACCCAAACGTAAAATTGATTGACTTTTCGAGAATATATTTTCAACACTATTCTTCGATTAAAAACAAAATTAAGATAATTATAATGACATAGGTTGGCGTTAACAATTTTTTAAAAATTAAAAACTTAATCACGAAGGTTTAGTGAATAGTATGCAATTTAACTCATGCTATTAAAACAGTTATCAAGAGTACTTCATATTGAAAGTCTACTAGAAAATCTTATTTTAGTGCTTATTAATTTCCATACTAATTTCGGCTTTTTAATTCTATGGGGGTCGCGGGTCACTTACTTTTTATAAAAGGGGGTCGCCACTCGAAAAAGGTTGGGAACCACTGCTTTAGAAATTTAGAATAGTCTCTGCATCTCTATAAACCTTTTAACAAAAACGTCTGCATTTTCCTACTGCACAATAAAACTAATACAATAAGGAGGGGACAAGAGAGAAGTGGGACCAGAGGCGTAGCGAGGGGGGGGGGGAGGTGGTTGGGACCGCACCGGGTGACACCATTTAGGGGGGTGACACCTAGACAAAAAATAGTAAAATATATAGAGAAAATTTTGAGGGGGGGGGGGTGCAAATCGAAAGTTTGAGGGTGGGCGCAAATCGAAAGTTCGAGTGGGGGGGGGGTGCAAATCGAAAATTGGAACAAAATTAAGTGCCGCACCGGGTGACACCCGACCTCGCTACGCCACTGAGTGGGACTGCGCGTTATCTCGGTGTTTTGTACCAAAATTTTAATGTATCCCGAATGAAACATAAAACCACAAGGGAATCTTTATCAAATTTTACCTTCCCGAGCCAGCAGTTCGTTAGTTTAAGCTGCGCAGAAAGGTGTCTAAAAATTATTATTTTGTATCTTAACATCTTCATAGAGTTTCTTCCAGGCCTCTCTTCGGTGGGGGGGGGGGGGGGCTCCCGAAGAAAGTCATCATCACCCCCCCCCCCCCAAAGAAATGGAATTTATATAGAAACTATATTTTACCTTTGTTCGGAGCTGCTTTTTATGGTGTCACCCCCACCCCGGGCATTGACTGACTTATAAGTTATTGAAAATATTCAACTAAAACTTTTATTTCCTCTGTAAATTTAGCAGTTTGTGTCAAAAAGCCCCCTCCCCCACACCACCTCGGGTGATAGCTTTAAACGGTGCAAAGTTTAAATTAATATTTATCTACAGTCGGTTATTAATATAGCTGGAAGAAGCATCGGTTTTTCTCTATAGTTAGCATGTATACGTTATGGTGTCACCCCCCCCCCCCCCACTCCAAATGTGTCGGCATCGTCAATTTGTACTTAAAATACTTTAAATTTTTATTAATTTTCCTTTGAACTATCAAAAAGCATTTTCTTATATATATATATATATATATATATATATATATATATATATATATATATATATATATATATATATATATATTGTTACTTGGTGTCACCCCCCCCCCCCCTAAACGGTGTCATCCGGTGCGTTCCGCACCCCCGGCCCGCGCCTCGCGACGCCTCTGCAAGTACTTGCCTATATTTAATCTATTTAAACATCAATCTGCTATTTCTTTGTTTTTACTAAATTAGTAGATGGATATATTTTTAAAAAAAAACACACAAAGCACTTTATTCCCCCCCCCCTCCCCAATATGAGCAAGACATTAGAAAAACAGCCAAGGTTCTTGCAGACCGAGGAGTTATCTTTGATCTTGTTTAAAAGGGTATTTAGAGGAAAAAGTGTGAGACCTGTGGCCGACAGTCTTACAGCTGAGACTGTTAGAAGCCGAGCATATCAGATGGTAGATACCAATTACATCGCCTACTTCGCCACCTCCCAGACTTCAGAAACTACAAGAAATTTTTTTCCCCTTCAAATTACAAAATGCCTGGCCTATTGCTACATCAACGAATTTTATTTGTCCTTTTTATTTATTTTTTATTTTTATTTTTTTAATTTTTTAAAATTTTTTTTTTGTGATTGAAATGTTTCGTCGTCATGGTCGTCTTCTTTTGTTTGTCAAACTTTTCACTATCAATGTCCCACACCTCACTAGCCACTAACGGGTCTAGGATAATACCCCTCCCCGTCAGTTACCCCCCCCCCCCCCCCAACATTCCCTACTCCTTCGATATTACCCCCGGAGCAATTTCCCCTCTCCCCTCTGTAAATTAGTATATATATATATATATATATATATATATATATATATATATATATATATATATATATATATATTATATATATATATATAGTTGTGTGTGTGTGTATTACGGAGTCCTCCCCCCCTCCCCAATGTCTACGCCACACACATATCATGATGCCAAATTATAAACTATGTAATGAGTCGTACTGCACAGAAAATTACATATTGATTTAAGAATTTGAGAAAATGTAATTGATACCAACCTACAGTTCAAGTTGTAGGTGTTATTAATACAGTAGACTGCCGAGTGGCGTAGTGAGTGGGGGAAATGGAGAAAGGAGGCATTCAGGCACTTTTGCGGGGAATTATCCAACCAAAATATTTAAAGAAATTAGCTTGAACTTCTAGGAGGGAATAAACCTTTCAGAAATTGTGAACTTGATTCTGTAAACAACCAGTGTTTCTTCTAGACTCTTTTTACCGAGGGGGCGGAGGCCACTTGAAATTTTTGGGGGAGGGGGGCGGACTAGAATTTCCGGGGGGTGGGATACTATTAAAAGTATATATTTTCTATATAAATTTCAATTCGTTCGTGGGGGGCGGTAGAATTTCTTCGGGGGGAGGAGAGGGGGCTGTTGATGTGTGTGATCAGTCCACTTAACACATGCAGATCTGGCAAACTAGGCTAAGCCCGTGAGATGTACTCACTGGTTGTGTCTTATAAAAACGGTCAATCAAAAACACGTTTATTTAAATTCAGCGACACACGTTTTATTATTGTAGGGACAGCTCACGTTAAATAAAAATTGCTTGACGTGAAGCGATGACAGCTACAATTCTCATGGTAGAGTTTTCGTCCGGCTCACTCGCACTTTTTGTTTGTAATTCCAGAAAAAAAAAATAAGCTTAATCTATGGTTTGAACATTGCAGCATCCATTTAGAGTGCAAAAAAAAAAAAAAAAAAGTAGATAGGACAATTATTTTTTATTTTCGTTGATAAGAAAAAATTTGGAGGACTCTAACCCCCCCCCCCCCCACTCATAAATCCGCTACTGGTTATAGGACTTTCAGTATGGTAGTCTTTGCTCTACCTACAGACATAAATCACCCCATGTATGAACACGTTTATTACTCCACTCATGTCCACAACATTCACCGACACTGAAAAATCTGTGAGTAGCACGTGTTGCTGACGTGGTTCTGATGACCGGATATAGTTGTCTTTTGTTTAATTTCCTTCGGCCATCTTTGTTCTACGTGTTAAAGAATAGCATTGGGTATCGACGTTTTTAGAGCTGTTTTCTTGTTTTATCATGGCTCAAGGTCTGTTGTCCACAATATTTTTACGTTTTCTTTAAAAAAAACTTTATTTTTAAACAATTTTAAAGCACAAAAATACGAACATTTAAAAATGTGTTCTTTACTTCAGCTATAGGCCTACTTGTGAAGGCGTTGGTCACTAAATGTGTTCATCTAAAAGGCTGATTTTTTAATATATATTTACTTTAAATCATCTTCTTTTACAGGTTTTTAACGGCCATTTTATATGCTAAGTTTTAGTGTCTAGAATTTGTAATAGTAAAACAGAATGTCGTTAATTAAGTTTTTAAAAAATTATAAAAACGTTTTAATAACACGCTTTTATGTAATAATGCACTAAAAATGAGAAAATAAATTATACACTACTATTTAAATAACTATAAAGAAAAGCGTGGGTCACTTTAGTATCTATTGGATACCTTTACTAATATTTAGGAAGAGAACCACGCTTTTCTTTATAGTTATTTAAATAGTAGTTTATTTTCTACTTTTAGTGTATTATTGCATAAAATATATCTTCAAATACATCTTCTGGTACATAGCTAAGGCTTTGGTTTTTTAAAGGTAATCGACTAAGACTATCTGCACTATTCTCAGATCCAGGTTTGTATTTCAATTCATAATTGTATGCGGCTAGTGTGATAGCCCATCTTTGAATTCTTGGTGAGGCATGCTCAGGTAGTGGTTTGTTTTCTCCAAATAAACCTAGCAATGGTTTATGATCTGTAAAGATGGTGAACTTCCTACCAAACAGAAACTTATGAAATTTCTTAACACCAAAAATGATGCCTAAGCCTTCCCTATCTAACTGAGAATAATTTTTCTCAGCCTGGTTCAAAGATCTACTGGCAAAAGCAATGGGTCTGTCACCCTTTTCATCCATGTGGGACAAGACTGCTCCTACACCATCTGGTGAAGCATCACATGTTAATATAAGTCTTTTCCCTGGGTCATAGTGAGTTAGTAAGGTGTCAGAAGACAAAGCTTCTTTTGCTGTATTAAAAGCAGCATCTTGTTGTTTACCCCAGTGCCAAGTTGCATTTTTCTGTAGCAGCTTGTACAGTGTTGATAGTTTACCAGATAGATTCCCTATGAACTTTGCATAGTAATTTATCAAGCCCAAAAAAGCTCTTAGTTGTTGGGTATTTTCAGGGTTGGGTGCTTCTTTAATGGCTTTTGTTTTCTCAGGTTGAGGTCTGATACCTTGCTTGCTTAATATATAACCAAGAAAACTAATTTCTGTCAGCATGAATTGACATTTATCTTTGTTTATCTTTAAACCTTTTTCACCAACTATTTTCAAGACTTTATCAAGTGTTTTAAGATGTTCAGTGTCATTCTTACCAGTTATGTACACATTGTCAAAGTAAACACAAACATTTGGAATATCCTTAAAAATACTGTCCATGACAGCTTGGAAAATTCCAGGGCTGGATGATATACTAAAACATAGTCTTTCATATTGGTAGAGTCCTTTATGTGTGTTTATTGTCGTATAGACTTTTGAATCTGGATGCAGTTCTAGTTGAGTGTAAGCATGACTAAAGTCTAATTCAGTGAATTTGTCTCCTCCTGCCAAATTCAAAGAAATTTCCTCAATGTTAAGAATAGGGTACTTATTTAGCTCTATTTGCTTATTCAGTGTAACTTTATAGTCTCCACAAATTCTTACAGAACCATCCTTCTTTAACACTGGCACAATGGGCGTTGCCCAATCGGAATAGTCTACCTTCTTTATGATGCCATTAGATTCCAATCTACTTAGCTCATTTTCAATTGTATCCCTCATTGCATAAGGTGGAACTCTAGCTTTGCAGTATCTTGGATTTGTGTCTTTAATGCTTATCTTCACTGTTCTATCATTTAGTAATCCTGAATTACCAAAAACACTTTCATTTTCAGATATAACTTTATCTATTGAAGTAAAACTAGATTCTCTTGCTTTGATCACTGAAAATATACTCTCCCAATTTAACTTAAGATCAACTAACCAGTTCCTACCTAGTAATGGTGGTCCATTTCCTTCAACCACAAGAAGAGGAAGTTTAACACTTTGACCATTATAACTTACATGAACCATACACTCTCCTATTACCGGAACATTGTCACCTGTGTATGTTGTTAGGCACTTGTGACATGGTTGTAGAGGCACTGATCCTCCTGTGACAGCGTCAAAGTCTTTCTTTGTGATGACTGTTAGAGATGCTCCAGTGTCAAGTTGGAAGCTGATGCTCTTACCGTTGATATAAACTGGTACATTGATGGGAGCATGACTTGTTGATTTCACAGAGAACAGGTTGAACTCCGGCTGCGAATCAGTTTGAGCATTTTCACTGGTAGAGTGGTTCATTGGTTGGGTTAGGTAGTCTTGGTGAGAGTTAACATAGTGCTGCCTTTGGTTGCGGTACTGTCTTGACTGGCTAGATTTAGCAACAGACGAAGACTTTGCAAAGCAGGCCTTGGCAATGTGACCTTGCTTACTGCACTTATAACAAGTTGCAGACTTGAACTTGCATCGATGAGATGCATGGGGACCTTTGCATCGATGACATTTTTTATAATTATTACTAGATTTAGATCTAAGATTTGAACGTGCAGGCTGTTTAGCATAAGTTGAAATGCTCTGATGGGGTTGGTGTTTGTTGACTAACCTGCTGTTTACTGCATGGATCTCTGAGCGCGTTAGAGATCTCGCCGCATCGGATGACTGCTGGTATAAAGTTGCAAGTTGTATTGCTTTTTCCAATGTTAGATCTGACTCGAGCAGCAACTTTCTTTGAACATCAGGGCTATTTACACCTGTCACAAACTTTTCACATAGTCTGTCAGACAGCGTGTCTCCGAATTCACAGAATCTACTTAGATGACGTAAAGCAGCAACATATTCTGATATTGACTCGTTTGGTTGACGAGTCCTACCGTCAAATCTAGCTCTACATAGAAACTTTGATGGTACAGGCGCATGGTGGTCTGTTAGCAATTTGCTCAGCTCGTTAAAGCTCTTGGTAGTTAGACTAGCTGGTGCGCATAAGTCCTTTAGTAGCCTAAATTGTTGAGGCCCTATGACTGTTAACAAAACAGCTCTCTTTTTGGCTTCTATCATCACGTCGTTAGCTTCAAGGTAAAAGCTTAACCTATCTAGATAATCATGAATGGTTTCATCATTCGAATCAAATTCTTTTATTTGGCCATATAGCGCCATTATTCTAGAAATACTTAGCCAATATGCTCTAGCAAGCTCCTTTTTAAGTAAGCATATGCTCTTTCTAGTGGATTATTTATCCTCGTCGCCAGATGTAATAGATTGACGATAGAAGCATGTGATTGTATATAAAACGTTTATTGGCTTCAACTACATGATGAAACGAGAGAGAGCGGAAGTCACGAGACACAAAGATATAAATACATATAAGGGACATCACTCAAGATAACAGTATAAATATAATACTAATACAAGAAGAGTGAGTTCCCTTGACTTCACAATTCTCACTATATTACACTTGTAAAAAGATTAACACTTTTACGGCTCGTATTTTATAATCAGGCTAAACTCTTTTTTATGGTACACTATTACAAGACACATACAATACAGAACATCATTTCATGTCCATTTAGCCGAGACTGGCGAACTATAACATACAAAGACAAAGGCATTGCTCCCTAGGGCGATGAGACAAGATCAACTAGTGTACTTCGTTACATGACTACCACAAAACGTTTTTTGCTCACCTCTCGCATCATCGCTTCACTCAATCCTCTTTATACCTGGTAAAGCTTAGGCCTCAACCACATCCTTCTATTTTTTACGGTCAAAGGCTGGTGATTTTGCAGTCTCCCAAGACATCTCTGCGGTCTTTATTTCTTCAAGAAGACTCAGTCCCCCGGCCTGTCTTTGGCGTCCCCTCTTTTACCGACCCTGTAAATTCAACTTAAGCATCTGACCAGTCACATGTGTGTATGCCTTTCGAAATATGTCTCACTCAGTGTCACTTCCTACTTATCTTCAACATCATAGGCTAATCTAAAGGGTTATGTTAGAACACTGTCCAGCAACAACAATCTCAGAAATATCCTAAGACATTTGTTAATGAAGGCCTGTACTGGTCTTGGAGACTCTCTATGTCACTGATCTTTATTACAAGACCGCTTAACCCTGGGAAGATCTCTACACTTACAAAATTAAATTTCGGAGTGGCGTCTCCCCTTCCTCCGGGTGCGGTTTGGCACCTAGAGTTACCCAGCGGCTATCCTAGCTCATGCAATCCGTTGATTTGGGCGTCCTACATATGGGGTCAGGGTACTACATAAAGCTGCACCAGACTCCCCCAGCGTGTGACTCGGTGCGCCTTTTTATTCCCCATGAGCGATATGGCTCCAAAATTCAGTATTTAAAATTTTTTTTATTGTTTTAGTGTAATAACATTTTTTGGATACCGCTGAAGGAGTCATTATAATCTTATTCATTAATTTTAATTGATCTTTTACTGTTACTTTGATACTTAACCCAGCTCATGTGATAGTCCAATATGTATTTTCCTTCACTTCGCTCCCGGTACTGGCAATTGTTTTATTATCCTTTATCTGCCGTTTTTTTAAACTTCTGACATCATTGCTTGATACGGTATAGAATAGATTAAAATCTTTATTTTAAAGACCTGTGAGCTCACAGAAAATGTTGACGCTGCATCATTTGTTGCTTGTGTTTCTGGCGAATATCGTTTTCTTTGGATGTGTATACACTGAACAGACCGAGACTTTTGAGAGCAGCACAACACAGAACAACTCTAAAAGATCAAACACTGAGGAAAAAAATGTAAGGATTTGAAAATTATATTTTTTTCAAAAAGTGAACTCTCTCCGATTACATTTGAATGGTTTGATTCAAATTTTTAATTAATAAACAAATGTAAGTTATGACTAAAAGATAATACAAGAAACAAAGACATTGGTAGCCTTTGGCTTCCTACAGATATCCTCAGACAGAGAGACAAAACTCTATAGATGGAGTTTTACATGATTGATCACTATAAACATAGAAAAAAACTCGCATTTTCATAAAGAAAAACAATAAAACAGGAGAAATAAGCACAGTTTTATAAATACAGCCATTGACATCACGTTAGTATCTATAAGGACAACTTATTATGTATAACGAGAAATATATCTATATATTTAAAAATAATGATCATAATACTCCATACGTGAATAAAAATTTGATCATGTTGAAATTTCCTTCTAACCATTAACATTGCTAACTAAGTATTTCATCATTTACACAGTACAGAATCCCTTACTACGGTGAAGTTCGCTATCCCATGTACGACGGGAAAATTATTTTAATTGAAGGATGGGCACCTCATACATCAGAAAGGTAAGAGGATCACTCGGATCATTGTAACAAGTGAGGGTGCATTATTAGAGGAGTGTGTGTGGGGGGGGGGGGGGGAGAAGGTAGCGCAAATTGCTTTATCCAAAGCTGTCTTTTTATAAGATGCGTTGATATTTCCACGCATTCAATAACGTAAAAACAATACATTTCTGTAAACATTCAACTCAAATAATACATCTTATGCATCCCATGAAAACATCTAGATTTGTAATAGAGCTGTGCAGGATGCAAAACTGTCACTATGACGTACCGTTGCATATGAGTGTTCGCCTGACCACGGGAAAAGTTCACCTGAGTTCTAAAATAAATGACGTGTGGGGACCTGAATACATTTTGAGTGCGACTTCATTTCTCACAAGGCCAGTCTTTGAGATAAAGTTTGTAATCCATGACACCAAGATTAAGGTAATCGTTTGTAATTAAGGTAATCGTTTGTAGTTGGGGTAATCTTTTAACTTTAGCGTGTTTTAAATATGTAGCAAGGTGTCATAATTACATTGATCAAATTATTGCAATTATTGTTTAAATGTGTTCATCAATGTATTGCTCCATACAGTTTATAGACCTTCTTAGTGTGTTTCTGATTTTCGCTTTTTAGTCAATTAAATGTAGGTGTGAACTTTTGTCAGTTTCCTGTTAGAGATTCACTGCTATGAAAAATGTTTTAGAGTTTTATTCAGAACTAGCCGTCCCGGCTAGGCCCTCCCTGGCCTCTTTGAAAAACCTATCTGTAAAGGACCATGACATGTGTGTTTAGTAATCTGCATATACCCGGCATTGCCCACCCTAACCATAACCAACCAAACCAAAACAAAAAAAACGCAAAAGTAACACAAACGCAAACACAAATACAAACACAAACGAAAATACAAATGCAAACATAAACCCAAACCCAACCGCAAACACAAACACAAAGAAAATACAAACACAAACGACGTTCACCATGTTTAGTGCGACGGACAAAAACGAATTCGCCTTCGTGCGCAAAGAAAAAAAAAAGACTGACCAAAAAAAATCCCGTTCCCGAATAAAGATATCTTTTGTTACATCAAATGTTTAATTAAAAATAATAAGAAGAAAATAGTACGTTCAGTGCATAAAATAAATAAAAGGCAGTATTTAAAATACCTACAACATTACACTTGATCAACCCCCGCAGGGCCTGGCCGGGAAGGCTCTTATATTCTATTTATTAGATACTACATTACATGCACTTTTGCTAACATTTCCATTTAGGCATCTATTTTATAGTTTCTCTTTCCGGGCGAACAATGTTGGTGCCTAAAATGTATGTTATATTTTCAGTTGGAACAAATTGCTATTGTATTGTAAAAATAGCGTACCTGTCCCACACTTTGACGCGGTCTCAGAAGAAAAGCTAATGCAATATTTTAAGAATATTTCATCAATGCTTTAACAATTGTGTATGTTTAGAAGTTAGATATTATTTGTTTTTCAAACTGAGTTAATTTAAATGAAAACAAAAGGGACGCTATATTTCTTGGATCGTACTTGTTGGGGCACGGGTTTATCCAAATTATCGCCCAGAAGCCACATTGCGTGCTGTATGAAAGCCTAAATTGTACGTTAATTACCATCCGTAATAGTGAGGTAGAACGCGAGAGACACCGGTTACACTACAGTAGAGGTGCTCGTAAGGCCGCTGCCTCGGTTTAATTTTAATAATTGAATGTCGTTTACCACCGTGCCCTTATTGTAGGGTGCAGTTTAAAATGAATGTAGGCGCCATAGCGCTCTCAGTGGAGCCCGTGGTGTTGCAGATCACACGACTCTTGGGACGCCAACGGACGCGCCTCATTCGATTTAAAGAACTGTTATAGCAGCCCATTGTATCCATAGTGTATTCCGGACTTATGTTAGAACAATACTGTTTGTAAAAAAGCTTGGGTATAATGATAAAAAATGTTGTATTTACTAGGTATACGTCAATGAAGTTTTGCTAGAAGATTTTAGTCTACGAGGAGTCAACAAAGAAAACATCAAGTATGTGTCAGCACGCGATGTTGTTGTAATTGAATGGATACTATTCAGTGTAGGTATTGATTGTAGAGTTTTAAATTAATGTGAGCATTAATGAGAAAAGCTATTTTAAATCAATCTATTATAAACTGATTATAAATAATCCGCTAACAATGAGGTATGTGTTAAATTTTACATACATGTTATAAACTGTTTTTAAACATGTATGCAAAATTCAACACATACCTCATTGTTAGCGGAGTAATTATAATCCTTTCTACCGCCTTTTGTACACATACGCACAATTATATATTTATATCTATGTTTATTTATCTGATCGTGTCGTTTATGTATTATTAGCGTACCCGTCGCACATTGCTGCGATCTCAGAAATTAAGAAATTCAAAATGATGTAGCATTTTAAGATAATTTCATCAGCGTGTCACCAATCTTTTATTTTTAAACGTGTTGCCTCGAGTTTGTTTTTTTAAACTGGAGTATTTATATGTAAACAAAGCCGGCGCTATATTCTTGGAACACATGTTGGGGCGCGGGTTTATCCACACTATCCCAAAAGGGACTTATAAGCTAGAACACCCCTCCTTGACCGCAAAGTTGTCATGGCACTCGAGGGGTGATCTCAGGAGCCACCAGTTATATTACCGCAGGGATATTCTCAACAGCTTCAGAAAGGCGAAGCCCCTGCGGTTGGCACACCAAGGTCCTTAGTACATTGGTCCGTTGATTGGGCGTACTGGGTAATGGGTACTCCTTGAATCGATGATCCGGAACGCCCTGTTCTCCCCCATGAGTGCTTCAGTGTCTACGTTTGTTTTTAGGAGCGCCTTACACTTTGGAAACAGTGGGTTTTTTGCAATCGCAGACTAAATCGAACCAGAGACGTTCCCGCAATTATGGGCGTTTAAACTCTCTTAAGTCATCCACCCCACCCCCTCCTCCCCAACCGGGAGCGCCTGGTAATTGGAAGGTGACTGAGCGGTGTTCTATGTACATCAACGTACACCCTGTACAAATCCGCCCCCACCCCCAACAAGTATCCAACAAATAAAGTATCGACTTTCTATACATTTAAATATCGCGCGTGCTAAGCAAAAATTATCAATTATTTTGTATCTAAGATACGTGTTATTGTTCATCATTTTTTACCAGGGCCTCAAAATCTTTGAAATACTACATTTGTTTTATATTTAGTTAAAATATATTTAAAAATTTTATACAACGAGCTTTCATTATACGACAATCACGAAACGCAAGCCAGAAACGAGGTCACCAATCTAAAAAAAACTCTATTTTAAAAGTTGAATGCAACCGCAATGAGTGATATCGTAGCAACGAATGTACTCGAATATATATATATATATATATATATATATATATATATATATATATATATATATATATATATATATATATATATATATGTAATGTGTATATATGTAATTTCAGATAAATTTTCCAGTGAGTAAACTAATATTTTACCACCCGGCATAAGATCACAATAGGCTTTAAAAAATGCATCCAAAAGGTTGTTTTCATATTTTTCAACCAAAATTGAATATTTTATAACAGTTGTGAAAAATGACTTCCGGTTTTATTAAGGCTAGAAATAATAAAAGGGGAGATAATTAGCTGGTCACGGTTAGTTTGCTCAATTGTGAACCACGTAGAAGGGGTAGACAACTGTCTTGTAGAGATCGCAATCTACTGGTCAGGTTTTAACTGTTTGATAATCAAAGGGGGGATAACAAGATTGAATACTAGCAATCACTAAGTAAGCTCGCCGTCAAGGTTGGGTGATTTCTTGATGAAGAAGGGGCAGACAACTCACAATCAGGTAGCTATTTATTATCTTAATACTACTGTGTAATACTGCAGCTTAAAATGAGCAGTTTAAATGTTTATCCACGCTTTTTAGCGACCCCCCTAAGGGTCAGCGCCGGGGATGGCACTTCCCCAACCCCCCCCCCAAATTAAAAAGCCTAGATCAACTGATGTAGAAACGGTTTATATATATATATATATATATATATATATATATATATATATATATATATAAATATATAGTGTATATACTGTAGTATATATATATATATATATATATATATATATATATATATAGTGTATATACTGTAGTATATATATATATATATATATATATATATATATATATATATATATATATATATATATATATATATATATATATATATATATATATATATATATATATATATATATATATATATATATATATATATATATATACCTCTGACTATTTATTTGCAAGTACCTCGATAAATTGTTAGACAGTTTAGAAAACATAAATGTCAGAGTCTAAGCCATAGATGAGGGCAAAAAAAATTACCGCGAATGCAATTCTTCTTATATGAGCTAAATATCGAAAAAAAAACCTTTGACGAACGGCCACCCCTGATATTTAGTGAGGTCGTAGATCGACCCAGTAGTGTAACAATAAACTTTTTTGCCCGTCGGAAATACCCCTTAGGGCTGTTAGGTTTGTCTAGATGTCGTATTTTCTTATATAAGCATTGCAAATGTTTGAGAAAAAGTAAATAAAGACTACGTCATTCGGCAAACGTACAAGGGAGTTAATTTTTTAAAGTAATTATTTCTCATTCAAAAGTATACTAATTTAAACAAAAACCGAAAATGACATAGTATAGCATTTGTTCGAATAAGAATTTAGTTAAACATTTAAGTATGTATCCTAATCAAATTGTAGAAATTAGCTTCAAAAGTTAATTGAATATAATGTTTGAGTTATACTATAAAGAAAGTCTTTACGGTTTCTCTTAATAGGTTTGAAAATATTTTAAGGTTTCATGAAACTACGGTTTTAACTTAATACTTTAAATAACAGCAAACCACACATTTAATTAATCATTTAAAATCTCAATTTAAAAAAAAACGAATCGAAACTAGGCAGTATGCCTAGTAATGAAATAAATCAGATTATTAAGTATATTACTTTTATAAGCTCTACATAAACGATGTCAAAAAATTAAAAGCTTTTATTTCTATCTTATAATAAGGCCAAATCACTTCCTATACATAGACAAGAAGCTGGAGAAAAGTTTATCGTCCATGGTACACCAACGGCTAGAACACGGTAAGGTGTATATATATATATATATATATATATATATATATATATATATATATATATATATATATATATATATATCTATGGTGTCCATCTCTATATCTACCTCTCTCTCTCTCTCTCTCTCTCTCTCTCTATATATATATATATATATATATATATATATATATATATATATATATATATATATATATATATATATATATATATATATATATGTATATGTATATATATATATATATGTATATATATATATATATATATATATATATATATATATATATATATATATAGATATATACCTTCCTTTACACGACTACAGTAATCCAACTCCTTACACAACGCCTCGCCTTACGCCTCTCAGATAATAATCCAATGTGCATATTTCAACAACCGCTAATTATGTACAATTTTAATTTAGGTTTACAAATGACCTACAGTGTAAGACTGGAAGTAAAATGGATGAAGCTCTCCACTTTGACTGTAGACTTGCATTTGATATCTATGATACTGTTATGCTTACCGAAAGATTTAACGGTGATTGGAGGAACACAATACATTATACGCAAAACTTCCCGTTCAAAGTCAATGTGCCGTTTGTGATGACGTGGGAGCTACGTCCTCCTAAACTGGAGGTAATCACTGACATTTTTGTATTACAAATATATTTATTCTCTGTTGCATTTTTAATAAACCGGGAGTGATCTCTACTAAACTTTCTCGAATATTCTTGTATAACACAACAGGGGATGGCTACCCGGGAAATATAACTTTTAATCCCTTGGGGGCGAAAAGGGGTGAAACACTTTTTAATGGTGATTTTATGGTGAAGTTTTTAATTATAAACAGTCTAAGTTACGAAATGTAATGTCAATGTCTAGAAGCCTTTACATACTTATTTAACTACTAACTATTCTACCTTGATAGTGTAATTGTAAAATATGTACCCTTTAGAAACAGTGACCGGCAAAAACCGAATTCCAGCTTTTCCTAGATAGGGGGGGGGCGCTTTTTTCCCGACCAAAATCGAAAGATTTTAAGGGGTCGGCGTGGTCGAGTCGGTAAAGCTAAACCGAAAAGTCTCGAGTTCGACCCCTCGGGCAGACGAGGCTCGTTGGCTGGGTACAGCCACTCTTCTAGGAGAGACAACTCCAAAATCAAACAACTGCTGCCTGTTAGATTATACTTGGTTGGACAAAGGCTTTGGAAGCAAATCCAAAAAGAAATGCAGGCTGAAATCGGAGTCAATGGTCTCAATAGCGTATAACCAGTTGACACGAATACTTAATTGAGTTGGAAAGGAGCCCTTCTAACACTAAAATTCAGAACGAAGCAGAAGAAGCAAAAAAAAAAGAGTGTTGTCAATAGAACAATTTCGATAATAGTGTATTACAGCTTGAAATTATCAGCTAGGTTGAACGAACTAATAAAGCATTAGCTGTCGTCGTGTTGTACCTTTTTTTACATCGTTTAGTAGGTCTAATGACCTAAACTATATGAAAATTACAGTATTATAACTTGTTATGAAACAAGCAATTAAAAAAATGATCTATTCTATACACTTTACTAATTTTTTTAGCTCTTAAAACTTCGGCAAGAGTTTCGTCTTCCGCCCATCGTGTGCTATTTTACTGATCGGATAGCGATTTAAGAATCCGTTATATTTATTTCTCTTTAATACAGTGATCCAGGCAAGATGTAATGCAATCAATTAAAGTGTCTGATCTCTTATGTTGAAGTCGAGAGAACTGTAACAATCTTACAAAGAACTAGTCGCGTCATTTCTTAAGGGGGCAGTATCACCCAAACATTTGAAAATTGACGAAAAAATGTGCCAAAAAAACCTATTATACATACACACATAATTTTTTTACCATAATAGTAAATATCTAGGAGCTATAAAACAGCACATAAAAGAAAGTTAACGTGTGATGCAAACATTTTTTATAAATAAATTTACCAAAAAATATTTACTAAGTAATTTTTCCAACATTTAGGCCCTTCTTGCTGAAAATACTCTAGGAGATGCATAACAGGGTAGCCTATATCCAAAAAGACAAATTTTGAAATTTTTAGAATTTTTCAGTCAGACCAAAAAAATTGAACTTTGAAATATTCAAAAACATTTATCCTTTATTAGAATGCTAAGATTTTAGTTCGGTATACCAAATTTTAAGAACTTTACTTATGGTTTCGGAAAATTGTTTACAAAAAGATTCACAATGTAATAAAATATTAACAAAATAATTTTTTGAAAATTTGTTGCTATACATATACCCTACAATTTATATACTGTATTATAGCAGAAGAAACGTTACTACTGCTGTAAAATTTTGACATGTGTATGTCGAATAGTTTTTTTTTTTGGTGAATGTTTTTACATTACGCGTTAATCAGGTTGGTTTATATTCTAAGTGTTAAACGATTTATCTTATCACCGTTCCGGTGTAAATCCTTTCCATTTATATTGGTGAAAAACATGCTACCCACCATCTTTTTTTCTTATTTTACTGTTACACAATAAGCTTTAACACAATTTATTTCTTTTCTAAGTGTAAAACCAATCCAGTAAAACTACTTGCGATTTTTGTTCGCGAAAAGCGCCCCCCCCCCCATACACACTCCTCCCCTCCCTACCACCTGGGACAAAGTTGGTAGAGAGGTTTTAATGTAACTAACTTTTTTTTTTTTCTTCCGATTTTTTGCGCGAAAAAGCGCCCCTCCCCCACCCCCATCTAGGAAAAGCTGGAAAGCGGTTTTTGCCGGTCACTGTTTATTAAAGGTATATGTTTTACAGTTACACAATCAAGGTAGAAAACTGTTAAATCAGTATGTAATGACTTGTAGCAATTACATTTCTTAACTGTTTATAATTAAAAAACTGCAGCTAAAATCAGCTTAAAAAGTTGTCCACCCATTTTGGTGCCCTCCTAGTGTCGGCGCCCGGGGCAGCCGACCCCCCACCCCCCAACAATAGCTACGCCTCTGGTAGGCTGTCTCATCAAACTATTCCGCACTATTAGAAACGCGTCATCACGTTCATTAGGTGAGCAATGGTTTTTAGTCATGCAACTCTATTGCATTAAAATATTTAAAGTATGGAAAAAAATTCATTTAAAAAGTTTTAATAACAAGCTTTTATATACTAATGCACTAAAAGTAGAAAATAAATGATTTTCTTTAAAATATATAGTAATACACTACTACTTAAATAACTAAAACGAAAAGCGTGCATCTCGTAAATATTAGTAAAGGTATCCAATAGATACTAAAGTGACCCACGCTTTTTTTAATAGTAATTTAAATAGTATTGTATAATTTATTTTCTACTTTTTAGTGCATTATTACATAAAAACTTATTAAAAAGTTTTTTTATGAATTTTTTTAGTGCATTATTATATAAAAGCTTGTTATTAAAATGTGTTTACAAGCTTTTATTTAACTCACTTCCTCTGTCTGTCGTCAGTCGCCAGTCTGTCTATATCGAAACGTCCTAGCCAAAATTTCAGGCACTTCTAACTGACAGATACGGTTCGTAGTTGGTCCGTGGATCAAGACGTCAAGACATGAAGATAATGCATCATAACATTCAATTTTACTTAATTGGTTGCCTAATTAATTTTTTATGAATTATTTAAAATTTTGTCCAAATTAGTAGGCTGTCTCATCAAACTATTCCGCACTATTATTCACGCGTAATCACGTTCATTAGGTGCGCAATGGATTTTAGTCATGCAACTCTAGTTTAAATAAACATATAAAGTACTAAAATTTTAAAAAAATCATAAAAAACGTTTTAATAACAAGCTTTTATGGTAGTAGTGCATTAAAAAGTAGAAAAGTAGAAATTAAGTTACTATTTATACACTACTATTTAAATAACTATAAAGAAAAGCGTGGGTCTCTTCCTAAATATTAGTAAAGGTATCCGATAGATACTAAAGTGTAATTATGAAACTTTATCCGGACTGTTGCACATAAGCTTACACACACACACACACACATATATATATATATATATATATATATATATATATATATATATATATATATATATATATATATATATATATATATATATACATTGATCTCTAATATATTTTTAAAACACGTTTTATATTTTTTAAGCCAGTTTGTATTATTTCACCACTGGATTCGTGAATACGAAGAGCGCAATCATGGCTTAACGTATTCTATTAAGTGAATTATTTGAATTTTGTTTTTAGGTCACTGTCCACACAAACGAGAATAAAGAGCAAAAGTACACCAAGTTCAACCTAGAGTCTTGCTACAACACACTTTATATTTGGAATGATGTGACTGTACCTCTTATTCTTATGACTTAAACAATTTACCAGTAAAATGGCATTACCTAATGGAAGTCTCTTACCAAAAGAGATAGAAATATAAATTCTAGTGGGGGGGGGCTATAACGCAACACATACATACATACATACATACATACATACATACATACATACATACATACATACATACATACATACATACATACATACATACATACATACATACATACATACATACATACATACATACATACATACATACACACACACACACACACACACACATACATACATACATACATACATACATACATACATACATACATACATACATACATACATACATACATACATACATACATACATACATACACATACCTAAACTCACATCGATACACATACCCAAGTGCATAGGTACACTTATACTCATACCCAAATTTTCTTTTTTAATTTTTGATTGATATAGTAAACTGAATTTGCTGTTTGCTAAAAGTTTTGTTTAAGTATTTTAGTAGCTTTTTTTTACTTAGTTTAAAGCAGTTTCAACCACTTAAAATTCCTATCGAAATGTCTATAGACTCGCAAACAAGCGCGTATACACCCAAGCATGCACACAAATTGATGAAAAAAGTATTACAGTTAGAAAAGTAGATTAAATGTGAAAAAAATATGAATAGGTCTTTTTATTATTAAATAAACTTGTTTAAAATTGATTTTAAAAAATAATAACTTTGTTTATTGATTTGATGTGTGATTAGTCTAATTTTAAATATTCATAACATATTTTGATGAATTTTTTATTCAATATTTATTTTTATCTATATTTCTTAAGGTTTAAAGGGAATGTGCTTTATTTAATTTTGGGAAATCATTATTTTACTAAATGGAATTAAAGTATTTTGTCTGAAATATAACGTAATATTTATGTTTTTGATTATTATACATTAAATAAATATAAGAAACACGTTCACATACGCACAAAGATTATATATATATATATATATATATATATATATATATATATATATATATATATATATATATATATATATATATGGTTCTCGTTTTTTATACACAGACTATTGATCGTGCATGTGTATGTTCTTATTTATGCGTTTGTGTTTGCATGTACTTGCTTGCGTTTTAAATGCAGTGAAGCTGTAAACATACTTCCATCTCTGGAAACTCTTATAGTAAATAAACATCTCAGAAGAATATTGAAAATAAATAGCCGATTAAACCTGTAAGGTACTTAAAAGGAGCTACCGGTTACATTACTGCAAGGGCGCCGTGCTGCAAACCTCGGATTGATTAAATCATCGATTTTAGTATCCCACCGTAGTTTCAAGTGTAGTGCGCACTTTATAACGAAAGTAGACGCTATGGCAATCATTGTGAGCAATATGTGCGCTCTCGGTAATTCGAATGCCGGGGCGCTATAAGCAATACCCCTAACCAATAAACGCTCCCAAAGTGGTAAGATGACCGCGAGGGAATTCGGGGCACTCAACAGTACACTGCTCCGGATCACTGGAGAAACCCCCCCCCCTGGTCTAATTAGACTAGTGATTAAAGTCGTATGCCTGACACCCTGCGATGAGTTCCGGAACACGCCCTTGGTATGACCAATGATTCAGTCAGTACACCTAAATTTTAATGTATTTAGTGTTGTATATGCCAGGGAATACTTTGTTCAAAGAGAAACGGTCAATGTAATCTTCTTTGCAATATAATTTTGGCTTGGCTAATTCCTTTTAGTAATACATCGATTTTGGGGGAACTTAAATGGCCAATATTTTTAGTTTTTTAACACAGAAACCTTCCCAAGAATATTCTCATCAAATATTCAAAGTTTCATGGCGATCGGATGAAAGATGTAGTAAGACGAAGAAACGAATATTCACGCACACATATTTTCATTTATATATATAGATAAATTATATATATGCATATATATATATATATATATATATATATATATATATATATATATATATATATATATATATATATATATATACGTGTGTGTGTGTGTGTGTTTATTATTATAATCAAAAACACATATATTACATTTTTATATATTTAATTTATTTCAGACAAAATACTTTAACTCCACTAAGTAAAATCACAATATCCCAAATTTTAAATATAAGTATATTCTCTTTAAACCTTAAGAACACAAAGAAATATATGTAAAAATAAATATTGAATGAAAATATCCGTCAAAAAATGGCACAATTGTTTAAAATTAGACTAATCACTCACCAATTCAATAAATGACGTTTTTAGAATTATTTATGTAATTACAAAATTGATTGGGGACAGGGTTTTTTTTTTTCCAGAAAAAGGCGTGTTTATTTTATTATTTTAACTTTTAATCTACTTTTGTAACTGTAATACTGTTTTGAACAATTTATGTGCATGCATAGGCGTATGAGTGTTTGTTTGCGTGTATTTAGACATAATGCCATCCATCACATTTTAATAGGAATTGTTTAAATTAGTTCCATTGGTTATAAACTAAGTTAAAAAAATACTAAAATACTTAAGTAAAATTTTAGCAAATAGCAAATGCATATTTGTTTATCAATCATAATGTTTTAGAAAGAAAAAAAATTAAGTATGAGTGTAGGTTTATGTATGCGCATGGGTATGGGTATATGTACTGATGTGAGTTTAAGTATGTGTTGGTATGCATGTGTTACGTTATAGCCACCCCCGAGAATTTATACCTCTCCCTCTTTTAGTAACTAAGTGACTTCCATTAAGCCATGTTATTTTATTGGTAAGTTGATTGTTTAAGTCATAAGAATAAGAGGTACAGACACATCATTCCAAATATAAAGTGTGTTGTAGCAAGACTCTAGGTTGAACTTGGTGTACTTTTGCTCTTTATTCTCGTCTGTGTGGACAGTGACCTAAAACAAAATTAAAATCAGTCATTTAATAGAATAGGTAAACTTTTAAACTACCATGGAAAGCCATAATTCCGCTTTCCGTATTCGCAAGTCCAGTAGTGACATAATACAAGCTGGATTTCTGAAATACAACAGTTCTCTAAAATATTTTTTAGAGTTGTCATAAACGACCAATGCTTTTATTTTTTCAAAGTTTGTTTTATTTATTATTTTCAGTGCATTTAAAAGGTTATTCCGGGGCCAGTGAGGCTCGATTGCTGGGGACAGCAATCCATCTAGGAGAGAAAATTTCATAATTAAACAATTTTCTTGTAGTTTGTTCTTGGAACGACAAGGCTTTTAAAGAAAAAAGAAGAAAAGCCCCTACCACAAATCTAGCCCGAACATTATCTTACCGTTACAGTTAAGTTGAGGGTCAATTTAGAAAATTTTTATCTTTCCTTTTTTAGATTATCTTCTCTTTTGGAAAACACGCAATCAGTATTGATATTGTTCATTTTTTATATTTCGCTTAACTTGCAATTCTATGGGATGACTAAGTTACCCCACCTTTTTAAAAATGCAACAGAGAAAAAAATATTTCTAATACAAAAATGTCTCTGATTACCTCCAGTTTAGGAGGACGTAGCTCCCACGTCATCACAAACGGTACATTGACTTTGAACGGGAAGTTTTGCGTATAATGTATTGTGTTCCTCCAATCACCGTTAAATCTTTCGGTAAGCATAACGGTATCATAGATATCAAATGCAAGTCTACAGTCAAAGTGGAGAGCTTCATCCATTTTACTTCCAGTCTTACATTGTAGGTCATTGGTGAAACTAAATTAAAATTGTACATAATTAGCGGTTGTTGAAATATGCACATTTAATTATTTTGCTTCAGCACATACACACAAACACACACACTATTTCTCTCACACACCCATATATATATATATATATATATATATATATATATATATATATATATATATATATATATATATATATATATATATATATATAGGGCCTATATATATATATATATATATATGTATATATGTATATATATATATATATATATATATATATATATATATATATATATATATATATATATATATATATATATATATATACCTTAGGGGTCATCCATGAATGAAGTCACACTTTTTTTGACGATTTTTACCTCCCCCCTCCCCTCCGTCACAGTCGTCCCAAAAAGCAAGACCCCCCTAAAATGACGTCACACCTCAGCCTACAACCCCCTCCCCTCAAAATTGCAGTTGAATTTGTCTTAAAACATCGATATTTTTCCAAAATCTTGTCTGAACTTGGTCAAAATAGAGTATTTTAATCAATTCCTATTGCACTTTATTAAAACAGTTTTCTAAAATGCGAAATAACCTCTAAAATTCGTTTTCTCACATAGCTTTTTTATAATGGAAAAGTGTGACGACGCATCATCTGAAACCCCCCCCCCCTTCCCCTCATAACACATCGTCACAAAATTACGGAACCCCACCCCCCCCCACCCCTAAGAGAGAGACGTCATTTATGGACGACCCCTTACCGTGTTCTAGCCGTTGGTGTACCATGGACGATGAACTTTTCTCCAGCTTCTAGTCTACGTATGGGAAGTGATTTTTCCTCAAAATATGAAGGAAATAAAAGCTTTTAATTTTTTGACATAGTTTATGTAGGCTAAGGCCAATAAGAGCAACATACTTAATATATTCCATTTCACTTATTCTACTTCGGTTGATCTAGGCTATTTAATTTGGGGGCAGGGGCAAGTGGCGTTCTAGGGTGGGCGGGGGTCGGCCATCCCTGGAGCCAAAATGTGTAGATAAAAATTTAAACAATTCATTTGAAACTGCAGTATTGAAGTATACACAGTAGAGTTTAGAAAATAAACGGCTATTTAATAGTTTACTATCATGATTGTGTAACGGTAAAATAAATACCCTTAAGTAAAAACCGCCTTCTTTCCATTATCCAAGATAAGTGGGGGCGTTTTTTTTTCGTTAACGCCGCCATGCCCGCCAGTTCCCCCCCCCCCTCCCCCTCCTCCACTTACCTACGCCATTTTACTAATGTCGTCTACTGCCCTGTCTCAAGTTGGTATTGCTTTTTCGATATCTATAAAAAGTACATATATTGAAAAGTACATTCTAGATCTACTCTATGATAATCCTTTGTGTTGAAATATGGTCTTTGCAAATGTTGCCTGCTCATGTTTAGAGTTTCCAATAGCCAATCAATCATGCATAGTCATTTTATATGTTTAGATAACACGGGGATTTTTATCTGATGAATGCCACTGCATTCTACCAACAGACATATAAAGCAAATTTATAATATATTAGAGCATAAAAATTTAACTAAACTTAAATACACCATCTACACCTTTTCTGACGCTATTAACTTTTTTTTTTAAATCACGCACGTAAAAGGTTGCCGTAGTAGTTGGCTATGCCTCTGGTAGGTAGTTAAATATGTTGCATAACTGCTACAATGGTAGCATTCTCATGCTTAAAGTAAAAATGATCAAAATATAATTATCTGATTTCTTTTCAGAGATCATTCAAAGGTAGAAACGTTAATGTTCTAACACAGTTTGTAGATAAATAACACGAAAAATATTTTAAGTCGTGATCGTACAAAAGGTGGAAAATGAACTGTTACTCACTGGATTCTTTATCTGCAAAGTAACATGTACATGTACATATATATATATATATATATATATATATATATATATATATATATATATATATATATATATATATATATATATATATATATATATATATATATATATATTATATTTATATTTATATTTATTTATTTATTTATTTATATACGAGCCGACCCGCGGTGTATCATACGCCGCTATTTTGTTGTTTTTTCTACTTTTCAGTAATTCATAATTTGTGAATTCGACAGTACCAATGCTGCCACTGAAAATATTTTAAACACTAAACCCCCATTTCCCCCCCCCCCCCCCGTGAAAGCAGTCTCCTCTTAGTTACCTCCTCTAAGTTTAAAATTGTTTCAAACTGAATTATCTGCCCCTAATAGCCGTCACCAAACTAAACATTTAGCGTGAACTACAACTCACCTGACCAAGTGAGGGGGGTGGGGGGGGGGTTGGGGTTGAGAGGAAGAGAGGGGACTGCAAGGCGCGCGCTTGCAGCTTGTTTTCTAACGGCTCCCAGAAGAGAATTATATATATAGATAGACAGAAACATAGACATAGACATATGTATGTATATATTTATGTATGGACATAAAAATTTCGATTTAGTTGTAGATGTTGTATTTATATTTATACATATTATGTGTGTGTGTGTGTGTGTACGTGCGTGCGTGTCTAGGTGTGTCTGTGTGTAAGAGTGTGTGTGAATAAAAGGCGATTGAATGTTTTATGTGTGTGTAAGTAAAATCGTATATTGTTTTCATTCTTATGTACATGAATGCTCAAAAAAATTAAAAACCTTTCTACCAGCCTCCCATTAATACCTACACCGTATAGTATCCAGTTAACAAAAACTTCTCCTCGTACTGACAAATATCTGAGGCTTTCCTTATTTACTCGTCCTGCGCCGTAATCTGTGAGGTAAACACCATTGATGTATATCTGTTGAATTCAAAGGTAATTACTTTACGCTCTTTCAATAAACAGTACAGTTTTATGATATGTCCAAAGCAGACACACTCTGCTCATGGCACTCTCACCATCAAAACAATTGGTTACAAAAAACCCATTCCCAAAATTGAACTACGCCCTGAAACTTTGTTCTCTTTTAAGCAATCGGACCATTGTTATTGTTTAAATTAATGTCAAGCTCCCTCACAGCATCGGCTTTATTTCTGCATCAGGTGTCAACACTCTGCGCTAACACATGTAATATTTACTAGCGTACCCGTCCCACATGTTGCTGCGAGGTGACGCAATAATTTTTAAAAGATTTCAGCAATGAGTTACCAATCTTGACTTTTTAGACGCCAGACGTTTGCTAAAACTGAGTTACTTAAATGTAATCAATGTCGGCGCTATATTTCTTTGATCTTAATTCTATTGACGCGAGTTAATCAGCGCTATCTCCCAGATCCTTTTACTTACCTCTATGACAGTCTCAGAACCCATGAACGTCACTCCACATAATAATTATTTAATTCAGCAAATGATAATTGCAATGAGTCGTTACGGATTTTTTTAAAAATGAGAAGCTAAACGATCACCTTAATTCCATTTTGGATTTTGAACTTTATCTGGAAATCTGGTCTCTTGTCAAAAGCACTTGTAGATATCGAAGATCCTGGACCTTGAACGCTGTCTACTTTATAACTCAGGTCAACTTTTCCTTTGTTCGGCCGAGCAGTCATCTGCATTGGTATGTCACGGGTACAGTCATCTCTAGTGCACAGCTCTATTATAAACCTAGGTCAATTATATTAATGCCCTGTAATGCGCCTTCAACTTATGTTACGTAGATACGTAGATTACATAGGATGCTTCTGCAATCACACTGCAATATATATATATATATATATATATATATATATATATATATATATATATATATATATATATATATATATATATATATATAAAACCTTTCGAACCTGATGGTCCATGGGGTAGGTTAAGTAGAATTCACATGTTTCCTTGATGTGAAGGGATAGTGTGGTCAGAACTATGACCCAGCCATCTTAACTTTCACAACGTGAGTCAGGTACCCATCGCAGCTTGGTTTACCCAAGAACATCCTATGGTGTCGAGCATTGGATTGAACTCAGGGCTTACAGGTTAGCAGTCCAAAGCTCTAAAATTGTGCAACATCTTCACAATATAATATCCGTGACTTGTCTAAATGTTGTGTGATTTGTGTTTGGTTTTTTTTCTGACCTTTTATAATATTGCATAAGTAGAAGCTTTGATAAAATTTATTTCTGGTACAGTTTCAATGATCCAAATTATTAACATATCTTACCTTTTTGAAAGCATATGTGCCCATCCTTCAATTAAAATATCTTTCCCTTCATACATGGAATAGAGAATCTCACCGTAGTAAGGGATTATGTACTGTGTAAATGATGATAAGGTTAGTTTGAATTTCTTCATCATCGCGAGTCGAATTAAGGTTTAGTACAAGCGAAATATCAACAATTACAAAATTTTATAACAAATTATGGAGTTAAATGATCAGTATGCTTTCGTTGCTCAAAACATTATTGCTCTATCAACATAACATAATTAATATAAAATATGGATGCTACAGTGACGCACATTTTTTTGTTTCTTCTTCTTTTTTTTTTTTTTTTTTTTTTTTTGGCAATTTTTATCAAAGTCAAGTGAGCTTTTTCCAATGTTAAAAATTAATGATCAATTAAAATTTTCACCTTTAAACAGTATTGGCTATCTACTAACTAAGTTTTATGTTTGGATATTGGATTGAAGCTAAGGACTAAATACAACCTATATTATCTATTATCAACTCCGGACCATACGAATTATTTATGAAGTAGAAAAGATGTATTTTAAAACTCTTACATTTGTTTTTTCAGTTCCAGATCGTTTAGAGTTGTGCAGTAAGGTGCTGTTTTCATAAGTCTTGGTTTGCTCAGTGTCAATACAATCAGCGAAAACGCTATTCGCCAGAAACACAAGCAGCAAATGATGCGACGTCAACATGTTCAGGAGTTCACAGATCTAAAAATAAAAGATTATCAATACGCAATGAAATTAAGCAGTGGCTTAGGGAGGTCGGGTATCACCCGGTACGGCACTTAATGGTGTCACCCCCAAGAGGCGTAGCGACCCTTCCCGGGGACAAACTTTTTCAAGTTTTCGATTTGCCTTAAACTTTCGATTTGCACCCCACCCCCCTCAAGTTTTCGATTTGCACCCCCCTCAAGTTTTCGATTTGCACCCCCCCCCCCCTTCAAGTTTTTCTCTATATATTTTGCTATTTTTTGCCTTGGTGTCACCCCCCTAAATGGTGTCACCCGGTGCGGTCCGCACCCCCCCGCCCCCCCCCCCCCCCTCGCTACGCCCCTGAAATTAAGTATGCTTACAACTAGCAAAGGCAAACGTTCACTGACCAAACTAATATATCTGTGTGTGCATGCTTGTGCGCGTGAGGGGGGTGTATGTATGTGGTTGGGGGTGTTGATAAGTGTGAGGTGGTGTGGATGTGGGCGGGTGCTCGCGTGCATGTCTGTGTGTGTGTTGGTGTGCGGTTTTCAGAATACTGCGCGACGGCAAAATGCGCAAAAAAAACCCATATAGAAATCTCCGCACATAGAAAAGTGCATAAATAGAAATTTGCGCACACAGAAAAAAATCGCACGCTCTCATAAAAATGCGTACACAGAAATAAGTGCTCTTAGAAAATGCGCACACAGCAAAATGCGTACAAATAATTTTTTTTCAAATAGAAAAACCCACCCTGAAATACGACTACACAGAAAATTGCTTTGTACACGAGAAAGTAAAAATTAAGGAATAAACTGAACAAGTTACCTTGAGCCATAATAAAAGCCAGAAACGAAACAGTCTTTCAAACTTGATGCTACTCACGTAGAACAAAGATGGCCGACTGAGACTAAACCAGAGACAACTATATCCGGTCATCAGAACCACGTCAACAACACGTGATACTTACAGATTGTTGTAGTGTCGGCTTCTGTTGTGGACATTAGTGGAGTAATAAACTTGTTCAGCCATGGGGAGATTTATGTTTTATTGTATGGGGCGACATTAGGACTGGAGGTAGAGTAACAAGCTTCTAAAGTTATATAAACTTGTAAAAGAGCCGTGTTATTATTCTTTGATGATCTGCTGATATTAAAGTAGCCTGTAAAGTTATTAGCAAGACTGAACCTGATATTTCATAGAGCGGTTGAAGAAGAGTTCATTTTCGTCTGTTATGTTGGTTTTGTACTGCTTTAAATAGTAGATGTTGTATTTAAAACGTATAATTAGAAGTAATACTAAAGGAATAAAAAAAAACCAGCCCTATCAAGTTTTGATTATCATATATTTTAATATTTGGTTTACAGCAACGCATTCTTATATTTTTAATACTTTTTTTTCCAGAGTTAAACCCTAATGACATTTAACACATGATTGGCATAAATAATACAGTTGTTTACAGATTCAAGTTACATGTTTTTTTAAAGGATAGGTGTTTTGTTTTCCTTACTGGCAGTTCAAGGAATATTGTGTATATAGTTTACGGGGGTAAATCTTCGTGAATGCGCCCGAATACTTCGACCCCTCCCTCCGTTGTGACTACACTGCTTATCAATCTAATGGATTAACAGCACCTAAGATTTAGACCAGGGGTCTCCAAACTACGGCCCGCGAGGTCCTCTCATCCGGCCCGCGGAGATTTTTTTGTCCACGGAAAAAAATCTGTGTTGGAGGTGGCTGCGGAACTTTGCCCAGAAAATTCAAAACAATTTTAAAATATAGCTTTGGGTGCAAATACCGTTGACCACCATTGTGATTCAAATAGCGAAAAATGCAAGCAAGTTTCGCAATTTTTGAGTTGCAATGGATGAATCCATAGACAGCTGTTCCACCTCTCAACTGTTTGTGTTCATTAGAGGTGTGGATTAAGACATGAACATAACACAAGAGCTGGCTTCCCTATATAACATATATAGCACTGTTACCGGATAGGATATATTCAATGAGTTTTTTTAAAAAGCATTTGCTGATTGCTACTTGGAATGGACTAACCTCAGTTACCTAAATGTTGATGGAGGAAAGAACATTAGTGCCATAAAGAAAGGCTTGGTAGGACAAGTGAAGCAGATGTGTAAAGAGAAAAACATTCTACAACCAATGTTCCTGCACTGTATTATTTATTCACCAGCAAGCTTTGTGTGCTTAAATTTGCGGACAAAAGCAGTGTACTGAATCATGTGTTGAAGATGGTGAAATTCGTAAGGTCACATGAGCTCAACCATAGATAGTTCAGAGACATATTGAAAGATACAAACACAGAATCGCAAGATTTACCAGTAAGATGACTCAGAAAGTTCTGAGCAGAGTATTTAAGTTAAGAAAGAAAATAGGGACTTCCTGGAAAGTTAAGGCAAGCCACAGCCATTAATGTCTGATGAAGACTGGGTATAGAATTGGCCTCTGCTGCAAACATAACTAGTCATTTAAATTTCCTGAACCTAAAACTGCAAGAGAGGGAAATCTCGTTTCTGATCTATACACGCACCTTAAGACCGTCATGTATTTGGAACAAGTACAGTCCAACAACTAGTCGCACTTTCAGCCGTGCAAAGTCTTCATGGCTGAAGCAACAGCAAAGTCCCTGGGTCATTTGCATGCGAGATCATCAAGGACCTCCAGGTGCAGTTTCAGTAGTGGTATTCAGACTTGGATTCAAAGGCAGAAAAAGTGAGACAGTTTCAAAACCCATTTTAAGCAAATGTGGTCAGTTGCCCAATGAACTGCAGCTGGAGGTCACTGAACTGCAAGCAAATGAACTCCTTAGAGACCAATTCAAAGAAGGGCGGGTGGGTTTTTGCCCAAGGAAGAATTTTCTAATATTAAAACATTTGCATCGAAGTACCTTTCAAATTTTGCAACAACATACCTGAGTGAACAAACATTTTCAATAATGAAATACGTGAAGAACAATTTGAGAACAAACTTGGACCTCGAGTGTGTTGTCGGCCCCCAACTGGGTTTCTTTCAGACTTTTTTCTCCGGTGGGGGGGGGGGGAGGGGGCGACACTTGAAATTTTTATATATTTCTACATCAATTATATTTTGTTGCGCGGGAGGGGGGGGGGGGGGTCAGTAATTCTTTGGTGAGGGGGGAGGGGGGGGGGGGCTCTGCCACCCCGAAGAGATGCCTGAAAAAAACTGTGGCCCTCTAATTGATATTTGATAGGTAATGCGGCACTCGGGCTGAAAGTTTGGAGACTCCTGATTTAGACCGTCGATAGATTTTGTTCTGACGGGCTGTACATCGGTAATGATTATTCTATTTTTCAAAATGTTAATCAATAAGTAATTTTCTGTACAGTGTGAGATAACTCATTACCATCATAACATCCAGTTGCCTACGTAGGAATTAGACTACGATGGGGGGCGGAGGTCTCATTGTATATATCAGGGGTTCCCAACCTTTTTTTACTCTAGAGCACATTCTAAAATATCGGTAGGGTGGCGGGCACCACCTATTTTAAATGGACAAACTCCTTCCAGAGGCGTAGCGACCCTTCCCATCACCCGGGGACAAAACTTTCGATTTGCACCCCCCCCCCCCCCTCTAACTTTCGATTTGCACCCCCACCCCCTCCCCTCAAACTTTCGATAATATTTATAAAAAATTTCTGTCTGTCGAATAGTGAGAGGCGGGCACATACGAATCGTTCGGCGGGCGCCGTGGGCACGGGGTTGGGAACCCCTGGTATATATGTATGTATGTATGTGTATATATATATATATATATATATATATATATATATATATATATATATATATATATATATATATATATATATATATATATATATATAACGGCCAAAGCCTATAATGCGGCTAAAGCACACCCTCGCCGGCTAATGTGCGCATCGGCCGGAATATTCTGGCCAATTTCCGATATAGGTAACGGTGCGATGGCGCTCTGATTATTCTAGCTGTGGTTACAATGTGAGCAAAGTATTGCTTGGCTCGTGTTGGTATAGCATTCTGTATGCAATATGACATGGACCAAAAGTGCCGCCACGCCATAGCTATGTCAGACTAATTTGTCTAATCCTAAGAAAGCTCTTGTTTCTAAACCTTTGATCTCTAAGGAATGTAACTCAAGATGCCAAGTGATTCATATTAGTATGCCAAGTAATTGAGAAGGCGCATACAAGTTTATACAACTTTTACAAAGTTCATATTATTGAGAGCTGAAGAAGTAGCTCACTAGCTGTTCTTAATCTTCCCAATCAGTGGTGCTCGCAAGTGTGCTCTAATTAGCTAATGGAAGAGAACTTATGTATCACGTTATATGTGAATTAAATAACATGTGACTTAAATTAGTTCACTGAAAACAATGTCGAACGAGTCAACCAAGATAATGACATGGATTCAGACAAATGAATCAGCCCATTATATATATATATATATATATATATATATATATATATATATATATATATATATATATATATATATACACGGGGAAAGTTCACCTGAGTTCTAAAATAAATGACGTGTGGGGACCTGAATACATTTTGAATGTGACTTCATTTATCAAAAGACCAATCTTTGAGATAAAGATTAAAGTTTTTAATTCATGACACCAAGATTAAGGTTAAGGTAATCGTTTAACTTCTCGTGTTTTAAATCTGTAGCAAGGCGTCATGAAGAACTTTGCGTGACTGTGGACAGATGAAAAATGACACAAAGTACTGTACTGCTAATCTGTAATATGAAAACAACACAGTTTTAAAAAGATGTAAATTTGTGTTTAATTTTTATGTTAGCGTCTTTTCGTGCATTTTCTTTTCGGTTGGTGAGTAGCTTTCGGGCCTTTTCGTTTCAGTGGGCGACTAGATGACCTGTTTTTTATCTTTCTTTTAGTGCACTCGAATCTCTGCCGCCTAGCTGTCTTTCGGACCATGCCATTTTCGTGCATAGTGGAGTACTTGACCACCGAATGATCACAGTCCCGATTCGTAGACCGGCAGGGATCTTCTTCTTTGGCGGCGGATCGGGACATCTTGCACATGTTTCGTCTATCCGTGCTCTTCTGAGGACATTCCTCGGACATGAATTTCGGTTTGCATGTACTGGTCTGGCATACCTGGCTGGGATCGCCCTCGGTTTCTTCATCAGACGGATATCTGGATTTCATTTCCGCGACAAGGTCGTAATGTACTTGACGCGTGTGCATTAAATAAATGGATTCTGTGTATGTCTTGCTTTCAGGGGAGGTAAGGTCAAGGTTGTGTTCCGCCCACTGCCAAGTCTCCCCATGCTTAGTGTAGACGAAGATTTTCGTCTTGAGGAGGTGTGCGGCCGCCATGATTTCCACATCGGACCCCCACGTCCCTCTGTACCTCATCCCACAATCAGCGATGTACGTTTTGGGATTGTCTTGAAAAGACTCCGGTAAAAGAACTGAAAGCTTCTTGGCGTTCCTGCAGATGTGCCGGACGATGAGCTCGCGAAGCTCCTCGTGGTAACACGAAGACCCCGTGACTGCCCGCGAGAGGCAGCGAAACAGGCAGTTACCGTCGCCGTATTCAGGGTAGGCTTGGAAAGGGACTAAATCTCTCAGCCGTTGTGGGCCTTTGGGCGTTTCTATTTGCACGGTTCTGACAAAAGGAAGATTGAGTTTCTTACACTGGCTTTTCTGCCAGGAGCGACAGACCGGGATGTAGAGAGGGTTTTGTGTCTCCTCGTCAGAGTCATCAGCGATCACATAGCGCTGCTCTTTTCGCGGCATCTGAAAAAGGTCGTATTTTGATAAAGGGATGTTGATGCCTGTGGAACAACTGAATATGTTATAAAACAGACATCATAGTTTTTAAAACTATACGTCATGCTGATGATTTTAAAAAAAGATCATATATGTATATTTCCGTTTCAGTTGCTATCCCTAAACTTTGTAATTTTCTTTTAATAAAACACATACAAATAAGGGGGTGGGTGTTGTAACCATATAACAGCAGGTTGCCCCCACCGCCTCCCCATTTTTTCTGGGCCCCCAAATTGCCACTCGAGTATTATGTTTTAATCTCTCAAATTGTTTCATTCGCCCAAGACATGTTGGAACCGTGCGATTCACTATTGTAATATATTGCGTAAAAGGGAACAGTGGTATTTATTTATTTCATACACCCGCTTCAAACAAACTTTTTGTAGTTTATTGTCCCAAGGGGCTGATGTAGAGGCTTCTGTATTTGTTATTTAATAGAAGGATTGATTTTTTTTTGTTTCTGAAAGGTTGTAGGGGTGGGAGAGTGGTTTGATAATGTTTTCTCTCTGCTTTGATATAATCCCTTAATTTGAAACACTGCCATTTTAGACCCAGAAAGGCAGAAAAAAAGTTCGTCTATTTTTTTTACTTTGGCATATATAGTAATTGTGTGGTCAGAACTATGATAACGCTGCCCCATAAAGTGGCTAGCTGCTATAATGATGCTGGTGACATAATAGTGGCAAGCTCCATGAAAAATGTTTAACCAAGCGCCTCACTCAAGCTTAACCCTCACCTCCCCCAAAGCCTTCCAAACGGGCTTTGTAAATAAAAAAAATGTCTCCCTCCCCCTTTAGTTATGCATTTAATGTGTACACTGACCTTTGAGTTGACATTTAAGGTAATAGTTGCAATCTATCTTATTAATGGAAGTTACCTATTGGGGCTAGTATGTTAAGACTTAAAAACTGTACAATGCGACACACACACACACACACATATATATATATATATATATATATATATATATATATATATATATATATATATATATATATATATATATATATATATATATATATATATATATATATATATATATCCCAGTTGTGTGTTCTCTCTTATGTGCGAGGGCCACACATATTTAACTTGTTTGTTAGGCAAAAAATATCTCCATCCACGCAGAACCTTATTAAACCACCCATTCCCCTTGCCCCCTATTTAATTACTGACATTTTAACTGAGGTTGATGACCTACGAATGGGATTTTTTGTGTCTATTCAAGTTGTTCTTGGTACTCTAAATCTTCAAGATCGTTATAGCGACGTTATTTCTATACTCCTATATTTGCCGGTAGCGCATATCAACTTTATATTCAAAGTTCTTATCTTATCTATGTTTGAAGGTAGCGCATATCGACGTTATTTTTAACTTCCATATTTGCCGACAAGGCTTATAGACGTTGACACCTCTAAATTTGCTGGCAGTGCTTGTCAAATTATTTGAATTTTCCAATTTCTTCTACAGGGTATACTTTATCTAATATCGCTAAGATACATTTAATCACCACTTTGTAGTTAACAGCGATACCGACAGCAAACAACTCGATGCGATACCGCACATCCTGCCAAGAAACTGAAGTAGTCATAGAACGTTATTTATAGATTAGTTAGCACAACGCCTTTGAAGTGTAGAAATAGCCTACCTTGTTTCTACCACCACCCCATTGAAGCCAGGTAAAGAGCCATAATAATATATTTGATGTTTCAAAACTGGATGGAAAATGTCAGAACGGCCTGTTATGAGAGGGTAAACCTTGGTGTTTGACAACCCACACTAAAAGTCATGGCTTCCATTTTGGTGCGCTTTGTTTAGAGCAGCGTGCATCCACGTTTGGGGAATACCCTTAAGGTGCGTAAATTATGTAATGTGGTATTACTATTAGCAACATTTTCGAACCATATTTACTTTCTCGTATATGCGAAGTATAGAGAAAGTCGTGTAATCGTGCAAAAGAAATCGAGATGTTTGCAAATCTCGACGTTTTACATTTCCCTGAGTCGGAAAAATAGTTTTGCAATCTTATCCGTATGTGTGTCTGTAAACACGATAACTTGAGTACCGTTACAGCTATGTTGATGAAATTCCATATATAACTATTATATCAAATTTGTAGATCCGTATCAACTTTTGAGCAATTTCCGATAACCGGAAGTGTAACTTTTTCTACTTTGAATTTTTCAAAAGCCTATAACTTGAGTACTATTTCAGTTAGATAAATAAAATTTCACACGTAAGTAAAAGATTTAATTTTCTGCCTTCTTTCGAATTTTGAGTAATTTCCGTTGACCGGAAGTAGTAATTTACGATATTTCCGATTTCTCAAAAAAGCATGTAAATTTATTAAGTACTAATAATATTCCACACATTTTGTTTGGCATTCGCTTGGTGCACAATTCTTTTTTTCTACGAGATTCTATTCTATTTTAAAAAGTTTAAGTAATTAAAAATCATGTCTATATCCAGAGTTGCCATCCCACGTAGTGTTAAATGAGAATATTCGAGATAGTTTAGGGGAGATCACTCCCGGTTTATTTTTTTTATAAATCCTTTTATTTTCTGCTTGTTTAAGTTTCTTGTATTTAAAAATGATATTGAATCACTTTTAGATGTAGGGCTACTCAAAACCCCAAACAATTACAAAAATATATGATTTGTTCTTCCCACCAATCAGTAATATTCTTTGTTCAGTTTATTAACACAATCATCTTGGTAACTTAAGTTTATCCAACAACAGTGTTTTTCATTAACTCATTTAGATTACCATTAACAAAGATCAAATTATTATTTGAGTAAAATCACTCTTGGAACAGAAGTCAGTCTTTTAATTCATGAATCAACAAAATTAATAATCATCAACAACAATCATTAATAAGAGTACAAGCAGGCTTAAAATATTAACACATTTATTCTTCAGACATGGTGTAGTTATCACAGTGTGAAATTTTAGGGGCCACACACACACTTCACATCCAGGACAGCTATACTTCAGCTACTAATCCAGCCACACATTCAAAGCTCGGGTGATTCTGGCATTGCTTCAGCCATTTTTTTACATTGTTAGGGCTACCAGCCACTTGGGAGGTCTGATGCAGCGCTGACCAGCAGAACACATCAGCCAGGCTCGGCTCACTGCCCAGCAGCCAGTCACGCTTGCCCAGCGCGGAATTCAAAGTTCTGACAGCCGCAGCCTTCTCCTTGGAGTTGCCCTCAAGGATCTGGAGCTGAGCGGTGTCGAGGAGGTCGTCGACCTGGGTGGTGAAGATGTTTGTGTCATCCCAGTCAGGGTACAGGAGGCGGGCCAGGTATCTGGCCACGTTGGCCTCGCCTTGAATTACTGTCTGCCTAGTTGGATCTACCATCAGCTCTGGGCCATTGGAAACTGTTGAAATAAAAGTTTAGATAAACCATCGGATTAGTAGAAGATGAAACAAGCCACCCTTATTGTTTTCATTTTCTGAATTCGCAACACACCTCTATTTTAACTAACATTCAATAGGTTCTAATGAATAATGTTTTATTTATTAATGTTTCTGGATACCAAGTTTGTTTTTGTTAACTAATTGCTTTCTTTTTGTTCGTTTTGACTATAAAAGGTAAAAATGTTCAAATAAAATTGTGAAGAATGCTTAAATAAGGGAAGTAGCCATGAAATTTTATAATAACTCAAGATGGATAAGTATTTGTATATCATACAAATTAATGTACATGAAAGTTTAAATTCTTATTTTTTTTTTTTTAGTATTTAGATATTAGAGTTTAAGCCAACACTCCCAAAGCTAAATAGAATTGCTTTTAAACCCAAAAATGATCTGCCCCTTGGTTGGTTCTCAGGTATGAAAACATCAGTCAATTTAGCTCACTGGATTGTCTGTAACACAATATCGCTACTGATAGATCTTGTTATCTCCCCTTTTTTGTTACAAAAAATATAATTTAAATTAAAATTAGATGACTAATTTAACGGTTTAAACAATTTTAAAATAAATTGTTTTTTTTTAGTAAAAGATTATTAGAATGTATAAATAATAAACTAAAGATAAAAACAATACAATCAGGCCCCTATTTGTTATGGAAGTTAGGGAAACTTAATTTAAACAACAATGATTCGATTATAAGTTGAGCCACAACCCAACACTTTTTCTTAAAAAATAATCATCCGTCTTTTATCTCTACACCCTGTGCACAACTGGCTAATAATAAACAAACTGAACCAAACATCAGCCTCCATTACCTTTCTTCCACACCAGAGAAATGGCAATCTGGCTATCCCCCCTCTTAATGGTTCCATTGGAAGTCAACAAAGTTTGCAGCTTCTCTGGCACAGAGTTAGAAACACTGGAGTGGATGTAGGTCGACTTGAAGACGGTGTACTGTTTTGATAGGCTCTCACACAGTGCAATCAATGACAGGGGGATACTGGCTGGATCTACACTTATAACTAGGTCAAGGGCACTGCCACTTTTTGCCTGTTCCAGATAAACATAAGGAATTTTTTTAACATAAAACAAGGATTTTTTTAATACTTATAATCTTATAGCTCAATCTATATTTTTTTGACTTGTATATATGTGTAATGAAAACAGTGAGAATATTTACCAGAGACTGGTTAGGCTGGCACTTTGGAGCACTGGAACAGCATGTGGAAACATGAGAAGATAAAGTGGTCTCAGACACATTGTACTGCCTAGACAGTTGAGTTACAGATTGCTGCAGCTGCTCTAATCTCTTCAAAACATCGTCCTGACGCCTCTCTAGATTAGCTAATGGAGTATTGTGGGATGGGTCTGTTTCCTAGAACCAGGGAAGTACACGGATTAAAATATATGGATTAAGAGAAGGAAAATTTTAGATAAAAAAAGGTTGCAAATATGATAATTTTAAAGATCATTAGTAACACATTTCTATGATAAAGCATGTGTACATGAGAAGCAAAAAGCTTACAGCTTATAACAACAAGAAGGCTAACTATAGTATTTACATCAGAGTTGGGTGTAACTTTAGATAGATAATGTGTGTATTAGATCAAAATAGGTTCCAAAGATAAGTAAGCACTGTTAAAAGCACCATTCTATGATAAAGTATTTACATGAGAAACAAAAAGCTTACAAATGATTACAACAAAAAGGCTAAATATATAGTATGTGCGTCATAATTGTGAAAAAATGTAGAAAGATACTTTAAATTCAGCCAGGAATTCAATCCATTACAGAATTTGTTATTTACCTGCACTGACTAAAACAAGAAGAAAAAAGTTTACACCCAAGAGATTAATGCCTTTACTTTTAAAAAAGAAGTTACATGATAAGGTGCACCTGGAGAAGAAGCCAAAGGTATTTATCAACATCCCCCCCCCCCCACACACACCCATTAGATACACCAGATGCCTTCAATCAGCACAGGAAGATATTTTATAAGGGGAGGAAAGGAGAGAGTGAGAGAAACAACTTAAAAGAAATTGAACATTGCTGTTTTTATTTCAGTAATTTAATAAGTGGAAGTGTTACAATAACAAAATACTAATTACTGAAAACAAGAGAAACCAAATAAAAATTATAAACCATCAGGTTGTACTAGCAACAATTGAACACTGTACACCCACAGGTAAGGGTGGGTTACAACAGGAGCATTGTATCAAGTTTTAATTAGAGGAATGTTTGCAGCTAGGCTAGATAGGACAAAGCCTTTCATTAATTTACTTTTTTTTTAAACACAGACCATTTAAATATTACATTTCCATTAAGTTATATGCATTGCATTTGCTTAAATCTGATTTATTAAAAACTCCAACTTTACAGGAATTAAATAAATGTTTAAGTACAACAATTGTAACCTACAAATAAAAATTTATTGAGCAGAAAACATTATCTGAATTTTAACTGAAGTCTATCTCTCACTGTTATTAGTTATATAGGATATATCAATGGGAAAAAAAAAATCTAAAAATATTCGGGGTACGCATCTAGAGGCTTACACATAAAGGGAGACAATTACATCAGATAGCTGTCAGCTACCATAGTACACGGCAAGTGTGTATAGTGAGTCGTACCTTGGCCTGCTCTACTACCAACGATTGCGGCAAGCTGCTAGAATGGTTTGCAGGTGGGAATTTAGGCTGTGTTGCTGGGGACGGTGTGGCGTTCTTAATCCTGTATGTTTTTACAATATACTCTTTGCTGAAGACGGTCGGCTCCAGACTGGCAGGGTCGGCTGGGTCCATGTTGGTCTGAGACGCCCGGTCAACAAACCGTCTACCCGCGGCATCGCTCGCCTCCGTGTCGTCAGAGTCGGAACACTGCAACTTCCGATATCCGGCGCGCCCAGCTGTGTGGCCGGGCGTGCCCGCGGCCCTACTGACCGTCAGGTCCGTGAAGGCGATCTTACAATCGACGGGCTCGATCTTCTCCTCCAGCCTGACCAGCGAGGACTGGCTCTCGCTTCTGCTCGTCCTTTTATCCGGCTGGTCAAACACGGACTCCTGACACTTCTCCAGCGGCTCGCTGTCAAACGTTGACAGCATTGCCTCTTCTTCTGGCCGTTTTTTAGAACAAGTCTTTAAGGCGTTTCTCAGGTTCTGGGCACACCTAGAAACAACGTTCCCCATGTTTACACAAACAAATGAGATGACAGTCGATAGAAAAAAAAACACAAGCTAGATCCACCCACAAGAAAGGGCACAGACTCTCCTCTCGAACACAGTGTATACAAATAGAAGATTGGTTAGGAAACTACACATCTTCTGTGTACGTCCAGTATAGGTGCTCACACAGAATAATAACGCCGCAATAAACAAGCAGACAGCCTGTCCTTTTGTGCTTAATTCTGATAGCACATTATATCCACAGCGCGTTACATCTCACTTGTATAGTCTATGAATATCGTTATTTCCACTGTTGAAAGTACTTTTGTGTTATATCCAAAGTATGAATATAATTCTATCACGTGCAACATGAGTTAGTCTGATGTGAAGACACACCTCTATCGTAAAGCGTTATTGGGTTACCTCTCTACCGTTGTAGGTGGGAGAGGGGAAAAAATGACAACAAAGAATGCGGTGAAACGCAAACTTCATACGTCATATTACGCGCGGTAAAGGGGAGCGAATCAGTGGGCATGTGAGCCGGCTGCACCGCTGCCTTTACAAATTTCCGCCACAAGCATTAGAACATTTCCCGGCATTCACCAAAAGAAAAAAAAACACCACGCGGCGGGAGAGTTGGTTTACGTGGGTATCTTTTATTTCAAGGCGGTCAAACACGATCAAACTAAGATAAACTTGGGAGGAGGGGCGGGGCGCTTCAGGGGAGGGAGTGAGTAGGTGTGAAGTTTTGTGGAGTGGAAATGCTAAGTTTACAGACAACCAACGGCAGCTAGGAGATGATGGTGGAGTAAATAGGGGACTGCCGGTCCTACAGCCAAGTGGCCCCCAAACTTTAGGGCCCGTATGATTTCTTATACGAATGTCTAAAAATGTAAATTGTTCTGATGATAACCACGAAGGCACTTGATAATTTTCAGCCTCGGGTCCCGCGACCCTGCGAGGAGGTCGTGGAAAAAAACCCACTAACGTCGTGAGCAAGATAAAATTGGAAACTGATTACAAACACTGGGAGCTCAAGTCGATATGTAGGTCACATACACTCGCTCACCTCTCATCAACACATACAGTCTCGTTTTCTCGGTGTTACCGTAAAGGTTCTAAGCACAAAGAATAAGAATTAAGGTTGATAACTTGTAATAGCCAACTGTTCACATTTATCAATACGTTGTACCCGTCCATCATGTAAAAGTAGCCTACCTTGCTGTGCAGGTTTATGGTGCAATTTTTCTGATAGAACTAGTGTAGAGGGGGGGGGGTCTTTTTTTTGTCATCATTCTCTCAGGAGGTAACCACTAAGGGTACACAACTCTTGATTAACAGAATTTATACAACAAATGAACAAGGACAAAAAGCTTAGCGTTATATTTAATTTAAGGTTTTATCATGGTGCAGACGAAAAATTTGATTCACCCTTTTTAACTTTATTGTTACATATGTGTATATGTGAGGATAAAGTACAGAATAATAATGTATGATGTGATTGTTTTAAAAAACTGTTACCAGTGCAGTTCACTTCAAATTGGGAACAGCTGAAGAAAGTGGCAGGAGAGTGGAAAGCTTTGAAAGAGGCCCTATGCTCAGCAAAGGAAACAAAAAGGAATGATGAACTCAAGATACTTATACGATTTGTTCTGTAACCTTGCTTCATTTTGCTATTATTTCAAAACAATTGTCCCCATTAAAATAAATTGCAATGCCATTTATCCCATCCAGGCTAATGAAATGCCACTCCTGTTGATTTTTTTACATGTTTTTTTATAGGAGAAATGAAGTTATTAATGATGACAAAATGTTGTGTAAAAACATAATAAAAGAGAATATTAAGAAATAAAAATAATTTTATAAGTGCATATATGTGATGACGCAAGTTTACGTCAGATAGGTCAAGTAGAAGATAGCAGAAACAGAGCATAGCGTAGCGTAGTTAGGTAGACAAATAGAAATACAGGAGATGACCGGTCACGTGAGACGGTCAGATGTGGGTCAGCAGTCTGTGATAGGTAGCGATAGAGAACGGTTGGAGATATGAAGAGTTAGGGTGCAGTTAGATAGAAGTAGTACATAGTAGAACTAGAAATTAGGATGTAGCTAGGGTAGGAGTAGGAGATTGATTTGTGTGAATAAAGAAACATTATAGAGTATCTTGAATTATACTTGTGTTGATTCCAAACTGTGCCAGGCTACGAATTTAAACAAGATGATAACACAGTACGATCCCCGGACTGGATGTGTATTACAGTATACATTACGGTATACAAATAGACACATTCATATAACCACGAAAACCCCAACCACACAACTGGTGGATCTTCTTTCTTCCTGCACCCACACAATATGCTTCAGAAATAGTCGACTAGAGCTTATAGAAGATACTAGCTGAGGTGTTGGGCAGAAGTTATGCAGTCAAGCTTCATTCAAATACTCGTTACACTGTTAATGATAAATAGTTTGGTCACTTTAATTCACTTTCTCATAACTCTTAATGTTTAATCCATAAACTTAAATGATGGAATATAAATAAACTTCACTGAACATAAATGAACTTAAATGATACTATACAATTTGTTACAATTGCAAAATTTTCATCACTGGTTTTTCTCTTCACTGTTCTTTGTCTTCTTTGCCACATTTTTCTCAAGCTCTTTCAGTTGTCGGCCATTTACAAATTACATTTAGAAAAACATGTCAGGGGAGATTTATTCCTTTCTCCCTTTCAGAATGTTGTAGACATGAGTTAGACAGTGTCATTAACTAAATCTGATGCACAACCAGTTGCAACACTTTTGGGTATTTTCCACAACCTGTTGATCTGGTAGCTTGTATCTCAAATTTCGCTCTTATTTCAAAACAAAATATCACATGCTCAACGGCTCATATCTTTAAAAAATCTTTAATGTCAGGGCACTCTTATGTTGAGGTACCACTGTAAACTTTAAACAGTGTGTAATTAATTCCCCCTCCCCCGTAACCCCCTAGGAGGTTTTAATGTGTGAAAAAAATATAATTATGCTAAAGTAAATATCACTCATTAAACTTAAAGTGAAAGCAAGTCAAAAACAGTTCTTTCAACTTTGTCTTTGTAAACACCTTAAAATGAAAATTCACATGATTTATAGATGATAGAGATTCATAAAGAGAAATTTGGATAATTGGAATGGATATACCTATGTCCAATATACACTCTTCTCAAAACAGGTGTGTTACTAAGTTGTTGATGGTATTTTAGTCTCAGGCCAGGTTTTATGGTTAATTAATAATTAGGTTTAGGCTTACAGTAGGGTTGGGGTTAGGGATAGCGGATAGTGTAAGCATTGACATTAGCAAGTCATATGTGTATTTAGTCCAGCGAGTAACCTTTTAAGAAGATTCTATGAAAAAAAGTCCTTAGGGGTCATCCATAAATGACGTCTAATTTTTTGGATGATTTTTACCTCCCCTCCATCACACATTGTCACAAAAAGCCAGACCCCCCCCCTAAAATGATGTCACACCTCAGACTACAACCCCCTTCAAAATTACTGTTGAATTTTTCTTAAAGTCTTAAACCATCTATATTTTTCCAAAATCTTGACTGAACTCTGTCAAAATAGAGTACTTTAACTTTAATCAATTTCTATTGCAATTTATTTAAAACAGTTTTCTAAAACACTAAATAACGTCTAAAATTCGTTTTCTAACATGGCTTTATTATAATGCATAGGTGTGACGTCGCACCATCTGAACCCCCACCCTCCCCCTCATCACACACCGTCACAAACGGAAAATTACGGACCCCCCACCTCCCCCCTACGAATGTGACGTCATTTATGGACAACCCCTTACCAGACACTGGTATAACAAATAACTACACCTGGTGTTTACAGAAATCATACACTAAACACTTGATAATCGTAGCCTCACTAAGTAGTAACTACTAACTAGTACTAGTAATCATATTCAGTATGTAATAAAATGTATTCAGTATTCAGACATATTCTTATGATGGTAAAATCACGATATAGCGTCGGTTATTATTCCGGAACTGAACAGCAGTAAAAAACAGTAAAACCGTGGCGTAGTCTGTCGAGCCGTTCCGGAAACCACCGGAAATACTGTAAACTATCATTTATTTGCCGCCATATTATTTTTAATACATAATGTTTAAAAATGTGCATGGATTGATTTTAGTTGCATTTTAAATACTGTTTTGCTAATTATTTTGTATTTCTAATTATTTTAAGTGTATGTGCTAATTATTGCTGCTACTAAACATTATTCTAGTTCTACTTACTACATCTAACTGTAGTCCTAAATCTAATCGACTTATTAAATTTTACTAACAGAACTAGAGCTGGTTGTCGCAAATCTTCTGCAGGTTTTTTCTGTGTTTCTTAAAAACATTAATTACTACACTCGACTTTATTAATAATATTTAGATTTACTAATTGGTGCTAATTTTTTGTCAGTTAAACATTAAATTAAGTTAAAACATTAATTTAATGCACTTGACTTTATTTTTCTTTCACCGGTCAAATAAACTATGGTTTACAGTAACGAATGTTACCGAAACTCAACGAACATTACCCAATAATTTCCGACGCTATATCGTGATTTTACCCTTATGATTAGGCTGGTTAGGGATTTTAGAAATAGTTACTAGATCTAGATCTGGAGATCTAGATCTAATTAATAGTTATAAGTTAATGTTAATAATAATAGTTAGTTACATAGTTAGCTTAGGCTTCAATGTTTAATGTTTAGTGTCCAAGTAAGACTGTAAGCCGTAACTGGCATTAGCAAGTTATTAGATTATATTAGTATTAGTATTAGATCTAGTTGAATCAGGCCTAGGGTGTGGGTCAGTGTGTGACTGTTGTACATTTAATACTTATAGACTAGAAGTAGATTACAACCTGACCTGAACCTTACAATTAATACAACTGCCCATTAGCCATTAAGTTACTGCCCAACTCATCTCATGCCAACTGGGCACTGGACTTCTAAAAAAAAAAAAAAAAAATAGGCCTACAAAAAACTTCAAGTACAAGATTCAGATTTCTAGAAATCTAGATTCTGTGTTATTGTACTAAAAACGGAAAAAAGTCACAAACCTTGTGCACTGTTGTTGAATAGTAACTAGGTAATTTATACATTATACTTGGTAGTTCAATTACATCAACAACTTGATAAGGTTTTAGTTTGTACATGTTTAAGGGACCATTAGAAGCCATGTTGGATGTTGAAATATTTAGCAATGTTGACAAAAACGAAAGGAAAATTATTTCATTAAAAATGTACCAGGAGTAGCAGCAGATCTAAAAGCCAAATTCAAAACTTACAAATAGATCTAGCCTAGAGTCTTGATTAGATTTCGTAGGCTACCTCTTATACAGTACTTCTTAAATGTATAGAGTATAGTTATATCTAGATCTAGGTAATGATAACATTTTTTTTTTTGAATAAAAAGTTTTGCTGGAAAATTGTGTTTTAAAATTAGCCTAGATCTAGATTTAGACGACTTACAACATCGATGGCATGGCATGGCATGATTAGTGGAGATGCTATGGTGGGTTATATGCAGAGTTTCTTCCAGGCATCTCTTCGCGAAAAATTTTTACCGCCCCCCGAACGATATGAAATTTATATAATTTATATAGAAAATATATACTTTTAACAGTGTCCGCCCCCCCCCCCGAAGAAAGTTTACCGCCCCCCCCCCCCCGAAGATTTCAAGTGCCCCCCCCCCCCGGAGAAAAAAGTCTGGAAGAAACACTGGTTATATGGAATGTATTTAGATGTAGATTAATATAATAATGGTAGGTAATGAAAATCGAGAACCAATCTCAAACCGTAATATTAAAATACCTATTTCATTTTTAACTGTTTATTAATTTATTTATTTGGGGGGGGGGGTGTGAGTGTGTGGTATGCTGCGATCTTTTAACTACTTTTGTGTGAAATACAGTAGTCTAGTCAAATATAAGTTGATGTGCAAGCCAAAAGCAAGCTCAAGCATAGGACCCTAGACAACAATGATTTTCGTCAATAAGTATCCCGATAAATAGCTCTCAAAAAAAGAACTTCATATAGTAAGTATCCCGACAAAGCGGCTCCATTCAATATAATAGGCAGAATTTCCTCAGCCCCCCCCCCCCCTCCCCGAACCAAGTCTACCGCCCCGCGAACGATAAGGAATTTATATAGAAAACATATACTTTTACCAGTGCCCTCCCCCCCCCCAGAAATGTTGTTGTCCCCCCCCCAAACAAAAATACCAAGTTCCCCCTCCCCCGAAGAAAAAAGTCTGGTTGAAACACTGATAATAGGACCTCTGGTACCTTTCATCAATGCACTACAGTCTTGGTAGCTTAGCCAACACACTAAAATAATAAAACGGCATGCCTTTTTTATTTTTTTACATTATTTATGCTCAGTGTTCCCTCTAAGCTGTGCGGTTGCGCGGCCGCGCAGTAGTTTTGAACTTGCCGCGCAGTCATTTTGTAAAATACGTATATACACCGCGCACACAAAATACACGTTGTACACTAACTTTTTCCCCGTAGGAGGAATGTTGTTTATGCTGTGTAAGAAATAGTATGTTCTTCATAATGTTTATAAGGTTTATTTTTTTTTAATATTTGAGGAGATTTCCTCCAATGTGTCAACATGTTATACGGCAAACGGGCCTTTGAATCTGGCTGATTCTGGCTTCAGCCTGCTTTTCTTTCAGGATTTGCTTCAGTTCCATGAGTGCCTGTGTCGACCCAAGAACAATCTGCAAGACAGCAGTTGTATGATTTTTTGGAGTTTTATCCCCTCCCTATATATATATATATATATATATATATATATATATATATATATATATATATATATATATATATATATATATATATATATATATATATTTATTTATTTATTTAGATATATAGATTGGTAACTGTCCCCAGCCAATGAGCCTCATCTGCCTAAGAGTCCGAACTCAGGACTTACCGGTATGAAGTTAGAAATTTAGAAATCATACACTCTCCCTCCCGACCACTCAATATAAAATACTATTCTGCAGTATGTATGTGTTTAACGTTGTATTATTTTATTAAATTAGTATGTTTTAATAACAAATTTGCATATTAATTCAGCTGTTCAAAACCTCATTATTTATAATAGAGGTTACAGTGGTAGTGGAGGCAGAAACTGCGTATGGTTGGGTAAATAGGTTACGTCTATTCCAAAGGGGGTCATAAGATTTATTTATCTGGAGCTCATATGTTGAGTCATTTATCAGGATCCCATTTTTTTCTGGCGCCTAATTGTCTGGGATCGTTATATCACAGACCCTTTTGTCGCTAGCAATATTTCCGAGTTTCCTTTTGTTGGAAACCTTTTTTGTCGGGACCTGTTTTTTCGCCGCACCGGGAGTCTATATTGAAAACTTAACGAAACCACTACACGATGTAATTTCTAAATTAAACTTCTCTAATTATTTATCATATTTATTAACTGAAAATTAAAGTAGCAAATTTAAAGCGCTCTGTGAAGATCACACTTTCTGACCTCCCCTGCTCTTCACACATCGTCACAATAATCCAATTCTCCCTATGTTACGAAAGTGACGTTGTTTATTGACGGCCCCTATGTTACTGCAGGTGTAACATCCTACTGCTACTATCATTAAAGCAATAAATAGCATACTCCAAGATATTGATCGTTCAACAGCAATGAGAATCTGCGTCGCCTGAGCTATAATTTTATACTCGTACTCTTACATCATTGCAGGTTCCCCCTTCAACGTAGTATTGAAACTGTTCTAGTGAATATTATTATTATGATTGTAAACACATCTATTTTTTTTAAAAACTACGTTTATAATAAAAAATATTTAAGTAACTGCTAATTCGGTATGAATTTAAAATCAAAGACAGGCATTAGCTACAATTAACTTTACAAGAATAAGTGATGTAGCCTATACGCATGAAAAACGTTTGAATATTTTATTTAACAAATGAATTAACAATCCAAACGTACATCTGGCAATTCCGACCTGGTCAACGCGTGGATATTCTATTTTTATCCGATATCGTGTAGCAACGAGATGTCTCGCTATTCTTCGAGATTAAATGCCCAAGATCGTTTAAAACAAGCTCTCTGATTGGTTAACCATTTACGCGTTTATTTACGTTTTAAATAAAGTTACAATATTTTATCATATGCAGTAACATATCAAAACTATAAGTAATATTTACCAAACTCAAAAATGTTGCTAGTTATTGAAACCTTCAGCGAACTAATTTTTATTTTCATAAATTCATAATGATTCTAATAAAAGAAATAACCAATCATATTATAGCTTAGTCGTCGCGCTCTTGGCACAGTGATCGCTTGCTTGCTCGATTGGAAATTTCATTATGTTGCTGCTTTCAGACATATTTTTGTACTGATGTGAAAATTATCCGAAAATTATTGTGCATTGTGATCAAATATATATGTAAACATCATAATAAAGCGTTGAATTAGCTTTAGGACTTCGAAAAAGACTTAAAAGTGTGTTTTGATAGGCTCCTGTGGTCACGTGACCATAGTTTCTTGAAATGGCGGCTTCCGAAAATTTTCAACATGGGATCTAAAAACACAGTGTTTCGCCAAGGGAGGCCACAGTGATCTAACAAGCATATTCTACTTTCGATTTCAGATGCCGTAGTACCCATATAATCATCTAAAAATGTCAACAAGAGGAAGACGGTCGAGGGGCCGTCCACCAAAAACACCAGTATCAACAAATCGTACAAATTTTTTGCGAAAACCGAAAGCGTACCAAAATCTTGAACATAACTTCAACATCAGTAGCTCTCCATCGCCAATATCGCATTTTAAATCGGTAAGATCTGAAAGACTGAGGGGAAGAGCTGCTGCTCACAAGAGTAGGCATTTTGTTAGTCAGCTACTTGCAGAAGATGATGAGATTTCATCCCTTCCTGAGTTTGAAGACAGATCAAGTGACATTACTGATCTTGACAATACTGAAACTTTTGACAATGATGCTGATGGATCTGATGCCAGTTTTGATGCTGAATTAGAAGCAGAATCCAGCGATGAGAGTTTGAGTACAATTAGTAGCTCAATTAGCCGCAAAAGAATATTCTTAAAAAGACCAAAAACACCAGATATTCAAGATGACAAAGAAATTCCTCAGCTGGAGTTACCCGCAAGCTCTACGGATCTGTTGCTACCATCAGACAATGTTCTTCAAGCTATTGGTGTATATGAAGTTCTGAGACATTTTAGAATCATATTACGTCTGTCGCCATTTACTTTTGAAGACTTCACTGCTTGCTTGTTATCAGAAGAGCAGAGTAATTTGTTAGCCGAAATACATTTAACATTGTTAAAAGCTCTATTTCGGGAAGAGGAGAGTAGTAGCACCACTTTTGGCCCTCAGGATTTAAAAGACAGTGTAAACATTTCACTTTTTTTTTTAGATCCCATGACATGGCCTGAAATAGTTCGGGCCTATTTAGATAGTGAAAAACACCCTGAATATCGTGCGCATCTATCAATTCTTGAATCACCTGAGTATCCATTTGTTCCATTTGCTGAGAAATTAAAAGTTTTGCAGACCTTAACAGATTTATTCCTTGCAACTGCAAAAGTTCGTGAGGAAATCGTTAATGAAGGCAATATCCATTATGATGATCATTGCAGAGCTTGTCATAAGTAAATAATGTTTTTTTTTTTAAATGCTTATTTTCTTTCAAATATTATTTTGCTATAGGCCTATGCTTTATGCTGAGTTATTTGTTATTCTCTGGTGTGGTAATCAATAAACCCACACTTTAACATAGCATAGGCCTACTAAATATGACTAATTCTGCTTAAATAATAGTATCAACCATTATTAATGATTATTAAAGCAACCTTGATTTAAAAAAGAAAAGTCAATCTTGTTAGAAGTTTCTTCAGTCTCATAATGTACTTAAAGATACAAATATCTTCCATTCTTTATTTTATTAAGCTTACCTGCAGTTTTTGTGTAAGCTATTCAGTAATTTTTGTTTACGAGCCTCTGTGATTAACATACACATGCAATTTTTGCAATTATTATGATAGAGTTACATATTGATATTTCAAGTGACTCATTTAGTAAAATATAATTTTGCAATATATTAAATATAACTCCTTTATTATATTCACATGAAATATTGGTCAGACAAAATTTGGATAGAAAAAGTAGTTAAGTACCAATTTAGGCCTATTTGTTTTAACATTAAGGTTTCTAATATTTTTCTCGTGTACCAAAGTAATTTAACACTCCAGTCAATGCAATGTCTAACTAAGTTTAGCTTGCACAATTTTAAAATTCTTGTTATTCAGACAATAATTTCCTTTTTGTACATCATTTATGTATGTATGTATATTGTATTCATAATAGGTTAGGAGATCTGCTATGTTGTGAAACTTGTTCAGCTGTTTACCATTTGACTTGTGTTGAGCCACCCATGCAGGAAGTACCTGAAGATGATTGGCTGTGTAGTGTCTGTCGAGCCCATCAGGTTAACTTTTTTAAGTTTAATAATTAATTTAAATGAAAAGAGACTACTCAACACATTTGATTTTGAAGATACTATATTTATCTACTATTGTCCTTTTTTCAGAACCAAATTTTTAAAATATCATTTCCATTTGTTGTAGGTTAAAGGAGTCACAGATTGTGTGTCGGAAGCTGAAAAAAGTGGTCTTCTGTGCAGACAAGAACCAATGGGATATGACAGACATGCTAGAAAGTATTGGTTTCTTTGTAGGAGGATTATTGTGTATGTTTTTTTTTTACTTCTTAAAGTACAGTTTTTAAATAGTTCTTTGTCATTAGTTTAATTTAAGAAAGAAATTACAAATTTCCTTTAGAAAAATTTTCACTCTTATTTTTTTATTAATTTAATTTGATTTATTTTGTTATATTTCAGTGAAAGTGAGAAGGAAGTTCGGTATTATAGTACAAAATATCAACTTGAAGAACTATTAGAGTGTCTCAGCCCAGCATGGGAGCAAGACCTCATATCCTTTATAAATGAAATGAAAGATGATATTCTCAAACAAATGTCTTACACAGAGGACATGACATTATCATTGAAGGGAAGCAGAAAATCTATTCTTGAGATTGAAAATGGTAAATTGTAAAAATTTGTTTAAGATCTTAATTGTTGTTTTTTTTCCAGCACTATTACAATAGATGTATAAATATAGTATTTAATATCAATAATCACTCCATATTCCTATTGTACTTTTTAAAAGTTTTTTTTAAAATTGTATTATTTTAGTCAAATCTTAGATATTTATTTGAAATTACAAAATAGTATTCTTGTAATAAGTTTATGGGATGCTAAAAATTTCATATTATTAATGGAACTATTACAATCTTTTCAAAGTTAACGAGATTTATTTTCTGAAACTTTAGCCCAGCTTATGAAGGTACAAGCAGAAAGAACTGCTAAGAGAGAAAAAGAGGCAGAAGAAAAGAAGAAAAAGGAAGAAGAAGAGAAGAGAAAGAAGGATGATTCTGAAAAGAAAAAGAGCAAAGATGAAGATTCATCTGATATAGAGGACGATTCTGCTAATGATAAAGTAAGATATTTAATGTATGAGAGAAAAGTATTTTGGACAAAATATTTATATTAAACTAGACATGATACATTACTTTTTACTTTTTTATTTTTTTTACTTCTAGAGCTCAGAGGAAGTTGTAGAGTCGGAGTCTACTGTTGCCACAGAGGAAGTGACCAATTCTGTCTCAGAAAGTAAAGTGGGAAATACCACTGTTACTCAGGTCATTGAAACAACAACCACAACAGTGACCACCATCAAATCTACTACAGTAACAACATCCTCGTCAGTGAATTCTACTGATTCTGAAGAACCAGCACCCAAAAAATCCAAGTTGTCTGAAACTTCTGATGATGGAGAGGGTAAAAATGATGACAAAACCATAATTGTAAATAGCAAGTCTTCCCTTGCTGATGCCATTAAATCAAGCTCTGATGGAAAACCTAAAGTGATTAGTTTGCACTCACTTTTACCATCTGCAAGACAATCCTTGTTGAACGCTGTAGATAAAAGTGGTGATGACAGTAAGTCAGATGGCTCAACTAAAACTGTGCTGCTTGTGAACAGAGATGGAGGAAAAGTAACACTGCAAGTACAGCGGCAACCATCAAGTAAAGAAGATGGTAATAGCGTTACTCACACAACTACTTCAACAACAGTCAGTGCTGCAGGTAACATTCTTCTTTAACCTTGTTTAAAATACATATTAGTTAACCATTAGTTTGTTTTCTTAAAAATATGCAAGTAACACTTTTACAGACAGATCCTCACAACCTAATGCAATATTATAAAAGCAAATTTTAATTACATAGATTAGACTTGATCCCAACCTAAATTTAACATTGATAATCTTATTTCTTTGCAACACAATGAGTATATATTTGTCTTTGAATGTTATATTGTCAAGATAAATTTATATTCAAGCAAATTGAGTTGCTTTCTTTTGTAGTACAACATGGGTATTTTTTTTAAACAGGATTGGAGTCAAGGAAGATGCTAACAAGGTCAAAAACTGGGTCTTTGACACCAAAGCTTTTTACAGACTCTATTACAATGACTACCACCTCTATGAAGGCAACAGGAAAAAGTTCAGAAGATATTTTAGTCTTAAACAAGGATGGAGAAATTTCAAGAGTAAACCGAAGCAAGATTTCTGTGACCTCAAGTCTTGTTCAACAGTCACTTTATTTTAAGCTAGGTAATGTTTCATTATTACTTTAGTTTGTCGTCAGTCTTAGCTGTATACAATCTTGGCTAGATCAGAGAAGGGGCTGTGCCCTGTATTAGTTTCTTCACAGACAAGAAATATCTTAGGCCCTTTCATTAAATTATTATGTTGAAAGATAATTTAATTTTTCAAAATTATGATAATATATATGCATCTAAAATTTCCATTAACAATAATGCATTTATTTGTTAAAAGGTTCTGAAGGCTCTTACAAACAATATCAAAACCAGTATACTATCAATACTCTGGCTTTGAACAAGCATCAGCATAATGAAGAAAGAGATAAAAGGAGGCACCTTAGTCACAAGTTTTCTCTTACTCAAAATTCTGAGTTCAAGTGGAATGGAAACGTCATGGGCAACAAAATGAGCACTCTTGCAACTCTCCGCTTAACCATAACCCAACTTGAAGGAAACATACAGGTTTGTTTTATCAAAATTTATTCTTAACTAAAACTCTTCCCACATGAGTTACTTTGTATAAAATGTTTTCAAACATGTGACGCACAGTTTTATACTAAAACAATTTTCAACGTACAATCCATACTTATAATTTTTCCCTAAGGCTCCATTTTTACATACCAATTGGCCCAATCATCGTCAAAACTGGCAGAAAGCTGTCCAGATGTGTCAGAGTCCTAGAGATTTTGCTCTTGCCTTAAGTATTCTTGAGGCCTGCATCAAGCCTTGTGTAATGAATCCAGTATGGCAGGAGTCATTGGGTATGTTCTTTTTTTTTTTAATTAATTATCAATAACCATCACTGACAGGATTTTATGTAATTTGTTCCTTTTTGATTATTTGGCTTCTTTATAATAGGATTTACATGCTTAAAATTTAGGAACCTGAGCAGAAGTTCTCAATTTCAGAGCAGATTTTATACACTGCACAACTGCTTTTCTCAACATTTCTGCAGACTTCAGCTGATAAAGTAATTCTTATGAGTCGACCCACGGCGTATCATACGCCGCTATTTAGTTGTATTATTTTCTACTTTTCAGTAATTCGAAAGCAGCGTCCTCTTAGTTACCTCTCCTAAGTTTAAAATAGTTTCAAACTAAATTATCTACCCCTAATAGCCGTCACTAAACCTGTCTCTACGATTGTAAACATTTAGCGTGAACCACAGCTCACCAGACCATGAGAGGGGACTGCAAGGCGCGCTTACAGCTTGTTTTCTAACGTCTCCAAGAAGAGAATTAAATATATAGATTATATGATTTTATTTTCAGGACACTTGCGCTTGAATAGAATAACAATGTCAGATAGAGAAGAATGGAAGAAAAAGGAGAAAGAACAGAGGCGTAGGAAAGAAGATGAAGACGAAGTCAGGCCTGTAATATGGATCAAATACACAATGGGACTTAAACATCAGGTACTTTATAGTTTGGAATTTTGAGCTGTATATATTTAGAAGCTAATAGGAATTATTGTAACTTCATTGTATAATATTCAAAGCTAATCATTAAATTATTTGAACTAGAAAATTATTTGTTTTTTCTTCTTTTTTTTTTTGTGAAACCCTGATGAGTTTTATTTAATACTTCCCAAATATTTTTTTTCAGGTATGGAAACAGAAAGGGGAGGAGTATAGGATAACCGGAGGGAATGGCTGGCAGTGGATTAGTGCAACTAGAAACTTTAATAAAGCAGTTCCACAGGACTCTGTTGGCTTGCGACTAGTTGCTCAGAAGCTGCGCAATCGCCGTATTAAAGCTTCAAAATCTAGTGGAGGAAATCTTAAAGCTGATGAAAGTGGAGAAGAAATGCAGTTGGACGAGCAGCCTGACAATGTTGAAAATAAAGGTACTGAGGTAAAAGAAGAGAAAATGGAAGAGGATTGTGATGAGAAAGAAAAGAAAATAGTAAAAGAAAAGATTGGAGAAAAGGAAAAGAATGAAGTGAAAGAAAAAATCAAAGAAGTGCCAGAAGTTAAAGAGGAAAAACCATCCGTTGAAAGCACAGAGGTTAAAAAGAGACCAAAAGGTGGTTTTTCTAAGAAAGACCAGCATGGTTTCGAAAATTATTTGGCTTTTATTAAAGGTAAATACATTGAGGACAAAGATACAGCTTTTGCTTTGGAATTTTTGAAAAGGCATCCAGAAAAAGTGGATGCTGAATTGGTGAATGTTAGTGAAGCTCTTCAAAAACGAAATTACTACCCTAAGATAACCAAGCCTTATTCCAAGTTAGACCACTTGTTAGAACGAAGGCTGAAACAAGATGAATTTGAGCGCAAACAACGTTTAACTATTGAGACGCAGATTGCTCTGAAACTTAAACTCACCCAAGCTATTGAAATAGCACAGAAAAACAAAAATGAAAAAGACAGGCAGGAGAAAGCCAACAGAGAAGCCAAACTTTCTAATGGTGTTGCAAATGAAACCCCTAAAGCTAAAACCAATCCTTATACCTGCTACTCACTGTTGTGTCGCATTGAAGGAGAATCCAAAGACTTCTGTTGCTATTCACCATCCTGCAGATCTGAGAAACAAAAAGTGGAGTCTGAACAAGTTAGTGTAGATTCAGGAGCTTCCAAAGCAGATTCAAACAATGACTCAGAGTCAAATGACTCCAGTAATAGAAGTAGTAAAGAAAGTACACCTGATAATTTGGCATGTGAAGATACCATGGATTCTCAAGTCTCTAAGACAAGTGTTGAAGAGAGTACAGAAAAAGATGGGAGTGAAGAAAAAGAAGAACGTGAAAATGCAGGTTTAAACAAAGAAAATGAGCAGGAAACAATGGAAACAGCTGAGCCAGCAGTAAATGAAGCAGCTGAGCCAGCAGTAAATGAACCTGCTGAGCCAGCCGTAAATGAAACAGCTGAGCCAGCCGTAAATGAAATAGCCGAGTCTGCTGTAGATAAAGCTGCAGATCCTGCTGTAAAGCAACCAGCTTCTGTAGCAGCTGAAACAAGCATGGAAGATGAAGAAGTGGATATTGAAGGAGACAAAGAAGGAGGCTCGACAACGCCTTCAAAGTCTACTCAGTCTGGGGCTCAAGCTAGTGCAGCTAAGAAAACTTCTTCTGAGGCAGGTACATCCATTGAGGCTAATCCTGAATCTACTGCAGCTTCTGTTTCTGATATAGTTAAAAATTTGGTCATCAAAACTATGGCAGAGAAAGCAGTTGCCTCAGGTGCTACAAAAGGATCTCTGTTGACGGCTCAAGCTCTATCTAATGCTGTTGCAAATATAAGCTTAGAAGAGCTTAAGTCTAAGCTACCACCAAAGAGGACCACAGCTGATAAAATTAAATTGGCCAAATTGTCTAGAATAGGTGTGAAGAAAATTTCTAGGATTTCTAAAAATGGACGTTTACCGATGTGTCATAAATTTGAAACTCCATCTAAGAAGAAAAGCATTCTTATTTTGGACCGAAATGAGTTAAGAAAAATGGCAAGACAGGGATCAAAAAGAGAGAGTGTTTTGTTTAATTATAACTGTAAGATGAACAATGTGTGTTGGCCATACCCCTGCCCAAGGCCACTATTTAAAACAGCCTGGCGTTTTCGCACAATGACTCTCCAGTCTTTAGCTGCCGCAGCATTACAATTGAGAGTATTGTGGGCTTGTATTAAGTGGGACGATATGGCTGCCAAACCACCTGCAGGGGGGACAAACACAGTCTCTACAGAGACTGAGATCACTACTACTGAGCTACTTAAACGACGAGAAGTTGGCATCGATGGTTTGCGGTCTGAATTTCTTGTTAGAAAAATAGTGGTGCCACTTGGTGTCCCAGATAAGCCCAAAGGTATGTAATTTTCTTTTTGTAGAAACCATTTTAAACTTTGTTTATAGGGTATAGGGTAGAACATAACACATTAATAACTGAATTTGAAATAAAAAGTTGTAAATGTTTTCCTTCAATTAAGGAAATATTTTAAGATAGTGCATTTTGCTGTGTTAAAGCCAGATACAATTTTACGTAATTGTTTCCATATGCTAAAGTTGTTACCGTCCAACAGAAAAATACACACCTCAACGTAGTGGATTAAGAGAACGTAAGAGAATAGAAGCAGTCCGGCAAACAGAACCCAGTGTCACTGAAGTTTGGGTGCCAGAAGAGGTGTTGGAACTTTGGGAGATCAAACAGTTTGGAGAAAAGTAACTTGTTTTTTTCTTATTTTTTTTTTTTGGTTTCATGTTGAAATAAGAAGAAAATATATTTAATTTTTTTTCACCCTCATGTTAACAGATTAGAAAAGCAACGGCAAGCTCTTCTAGACAAAGCAGACAAAATGAATATATCGCAGTTGACAACTGTAACAGCCTCTCAGAGCACAGCCCAGATCAAAGCACAGATGGAGCAACAGCTGAAACAACAGAGGATGGCACTAGCCCAGAAACGTATCCAGGAAAACCAGGGAATAAAGATTGGATCTCCCACCAACATAACTACACTGGCTGCATCTAGCACTACCACTATTATCATCAACAATGGCACACAGCTTGGGAAACCTGGCACAACTTTTAAGACATTGACAGTGAACTCACCAAATAGTTTATTGTCTGGGGGAGTCATTAAAACCATGCAACCTAAAACAATTATTACTAATGCAGGCAAGTACAGCTTTCTAAAAGTTACTTTTATTTTACATAAAAAAGTTTAAAAAAAAAAAAAAAAAAAAAATAAAAGATTTTAATATAAATTTTAAAGAATAATTTAATACTTTCTCTGTACCTTTCAGGGTCACTTCTAGGCACACAGCTAAGACCAGGCATCCGGCTGCAACTTCCAGCGTCAACTATTCAAGTCAGACCACAGACTGTCACCTTAGCCCCCAAAATAGGCACCACCATAACAACAACATCTGGTGTGAACACAATCACTAGGCTAATTTCCCCTGCAACTGTAAATACTAGAGTGTTGTCTCCAGCAACACAACCAGGCACAAAAAGTAATTAAATTAGCCTTTTTCTAAACATAAACTAAAATAACTTTTCATATGCTTTATTTTAGTTTTCTAAAAGTGATTTGACTTTAAGTATGTTGTATCTTTAGAGGTTGCTAATTTGTTTGAAAGGTAAAATGTTGTGGCTAGTGAAAAGGATTTTTTTTTTTCCTTTTTTTAAATAACAAATAATACCCAAAACGTAATACCCAAAACTTTTGTTTTTAGCTCAAACCATTCAGATTCGGCCTCAAGCAGCAGGTCAGCCTGTTCAGAACCTCCACTTCACACAAACACCAGGCGGACAACTTCAAGTGCGAGGTCTTTTACCAGGTATAATATTTCTATTCCATACTCAAGAATACATTTATTGTTTTTCTAGTTATTTTATTTTAACAGTTAACTGGAACTTTTTCTTTTAAAAATAAAAGTCCTTAAATTCTATTTTTAGGTCAGATAATTCAGCGCATGCCAGATGGGAAACTTCAAATCATTACTTTAAGTTCTTCATCGGCTAATCAAACAAGTACCACAACCTCTTCTCCATTATCTTCACAACAAACCCCCCGGCCTACTATCAGCATCAGGCCACAGACTTTACTAGCCAGCACACCAGGAAGTGCGACATCAACACCAACAATCACTCCGAATCGTCTAGTTATTCCAGCCCAGCTAGCTACATCATCACCACTATCGGTTCCAGCTATACGGCAAGTTCTTGCTACCTCTGTTGCAGGCACCCCAACAAAAACTGTGATTATAAATAGACCCGGTGGTCCTCAGATAATCTCAACCCAAAACATCGCTACTGTATTGGGTACACAGAGCAATACTGTTGCAGGTTCCTCTGCCGTTACAGCAGCCTTGAATAGTGCTGTAGTTATAAGTGCACCCGGCTCAGTAAACACTCCAGCTACAGTCATTTCATCCCCTCTCACAGTAGTCTCAACAGTTCTAGTAAACAATTCTCAGACTCCGACATTACTATCAAGCTTAACATCCCCTCAGCCTGGTCAGCAGACTATCATCTCCACACTGAAACCAATCACAGCTACAGTGGCATCCACTGGTCAACCAGCTACATCTCTCCTTGCTGGCCAGATAATTTCTGGCACATCTTTGCTGCAAAGAACTGCTGGAGGCACATCTCTTTTGAATATCAGCCCAGCTTCTATGGCAGGGGGAACTCTGACCATATCAACACCAGCTACCACAAGTCAGATCCCAAAGCTGCTTGCATCCCCCTCAGGAGGGACTCAAGTTATAGGTAAAACAGTAGGAAGTACCCAGCCTCAACTGATCATTAGGCCTGCAACCACAGCTGCTGGTCAAGCCAAGGTGATCACAGCACAACAACTACGTGGGCTTGGAACATCACCAATCCAGTTAAAGACAGCCACCTCAACAATGAGTCCAATCAAAACTATTCTCTCTCCACAACCTGCAAGTATTGTGCTACCAGCCGGCAGCACAGGGAAAACTTTAACAGCGGTGCGTTCATTAACTCCTCAGCTGACTCTCCAGACTGGCCAGCAGCAAATCATAACCACCACTCACAAGTTAGTTTCCACAGCTGCAACCTCTGTGCTGTCTCAAAGTCTGGGACTGACTACATCACCTGAATCTAGTGGAGCTGTCACCAGCCCTACACCTGGCACCAGTCCTGGTGCTGGTAGTGCTCCTAAGTATGCCATTACTCCACAAGTGGTTGAACAAGGTATTTATTTATAACAGCTTTTATTTTATAATGATATACAATACTTTAAGCTATAAGATATATACAAAATATACAATATTTAAAGCTATAAGATTTTTACTCTTGTAAGATGGTTTTTTTAAACTATTTCTAGTTGTACGGCAAGCATTGCTTCAAAATCAGACACCAGAAATTCAGCAAAAGTTGTTGGCTATGCAGAAGCAAATTCAACAACAGCAGCAGTCACAACCCATTTCCTCATTGTCTGCATCATCTAACACTACCCCAACTGTTCGTCGTGGATCACAGAGCAATATTACACCAGGGGGCAAGTCTGGTAACACTTCTGGTGGGGAACAATCCAGATCCAAATCTAAAGGGCTGACCCAGGAGCAAAAAGAAGAGCAGACAAGGTATGTATTTCTATTAATAGCACATGTTAAAGCTGAACATTTTGTTCTGGAAGGGTGCATGCTTGTAAAAGGCATTGCTTTAGTTAGCATGCTATGTTAAAATGTTTTACAGAAATTCAATATGTGCCCAAGTTATGAAGAATATCTTGGACAGAATTGAACGAGAAGAGAAGCAAGAACAAAGAAACAAGAAGAAGCAAGAGTCAGCTGAAGAAAAGCAGAAGAGAATAACAGCCATCAACCAGCAGAAGGCATTGTACAAGCACAAGGAAGTTCTGAAGAAGGAGATACTTAGGAAGAGGTCACTGATGGAGAAAAATTTGCAGCAAGAAATTTATGTAAGTTTTGTTTCATTCTTTTATAAAAAATATCTTTCTTAAAAATTTTCAAAAAATTTAATTTTTTTATTAATAATACAATTTTTTAAAATATGAAAATTAAACTAATCCACAGCTTAATGTAAAATAAAAAGCATGTGATTTAAAGATGTGTAAACCATACTGTTAGAAAGAATATTTATAATATATTCAATTCTTGTACAGAATGAAATGGCTGACAAGGTGAAAAAGACAAAAGTTTCAGCCTCAACTGTTAAGTCCCCTCAAGCAGGCTCCATAGCTACAACCACTACAACTGTACCAGTAGTTGCAGCACAGTCTTTGGTCAGTCCACCAACCCAAGTGCCCACTGTCAAGGTCAAGAAAGATCTGAAAACTTTAATACCTGTAACTGATGCAAAATCAGCACAGAAAAGAAAACAAAAACTCATTTCCACTGGCAACAAGGGATTGAACCCGAAAGAAAAATTGTATTGTGTCTGCAAAACGCCATATGATGAAAGCAAGTAAGTTACATAGGTTTTTCCTTGTTTTTTTTAAATGTCTCTAAAATATTTAAGCTTTCCACGTGGACAATAAATCAAAGGATTGTTTTACTATTTACTGTTTGGGCATTTAAATATTTCACTCTCTAGCTGAGCTAAATGATAAAGCAGTTTATAAAGGCTTTTTTACTATCGTCATGAATCAAAAAATTAAAATAAATAGCTGTATCCAAAATTATAGTCTTAGTTTATAATATGACTGGCTTAATGTTTTTAGAAATAATATTTTCAAACTTAGAAAATTAGGAAAAAAAACAACTCAACATCTTAACAGTTGTTTTAATGATCAATTCCATTATATTTTAAGCCCAACTATCAAAGAATTAGTTTCAATTTTACTGAGTATATTACCTGTAATTTCTAAACCAAATTTGTAGAAAATTAACAGCTAGTGGTATAACAACATAAACATGTAATTTTATTATCTCTGGCCTCAGCCAAAAACTTCAGATTGTGTTGTGAGCATGACTCCATTGCAACAGGGAAACTAAAATACTTAAGATATTTCAGATACAATTAGCTGCATACAACACTAGACTCAATTTCTGTTGCGTAAGGACAGTGTTAGATTATAATTGGGGATTCCATAGTTAAGTGATAGAGCAAACATGAGCCAGTTCACATGATCAAGTCAGTTGGAGGTTTATTTGTTCAGTAAGCTCTGATTCAGATTAGTATCTAGTTGGGAAAGTAAAGTCAGGTACACAATCATTTCATGTCAAAGTCAAACAACCAGATAAACACTTAAATCTTCCTCTAGACCATCAAATCTGAAAGGGTACTATTTTATAGCTTGCTTACACAGACAGTTTAAGCTCATTACACTGTAGTATTTATATTTATAACTTCAGTTTGTTTTTATTTCGTTTCTTAAAAGTAGCTAAATTTTTTTGTTATAGATTTTATATTGGATGTGATTTGTGCTCAAACTGGTTCCATGGAGCATGTGTTAACATCAGTGAAGATAGAGCTAAATTTATTGATTCTTATACCTGTGAAGATTGTCGTAAACAACAAGAGCATATATCAGAAGAGCTTTATTGCCTCTGTAGGACACCTTATGATGAAAATCAGTAAGGAGCTCTCTTTCTTAAAACAATCTGTTGCATTGTTTTTCATTTCCAATACATATTTAAAATTATATATATATATATTATATACAGTTTATATATATAGTTTTTAAAATGTAATGGCAATAATATATATATACATATGTATATATGAATGTAAGTATGCATATGTTTGTCAGCAATTTAAATATGAATTCCCTCTGAACAGGTTCTATATCGGATGTGACCGTTGTCAGGATTGGTTTCATGGTTACTGTGTAGGCATTTCTAAACATGAAGCAGACAAAATTGAAGTTTATGTTTGTCCCAATTGTCAAAATGAAGAAGTGGCTGATCCTATAGCACAGAAGCCTTTAACAACAGCAGAATATCAAGTCTTGCAAAAATTGTTAAAAGATTTGCAGGTGTGTATTACATTTTTGTTCTCTCTGCTGTTGCTAGTTTGATTGATAAATGGAAACAGTTAAAATGAAAATAGCTGTTGTAAATATTATTTTAATCTTCATTTGCAGGCTCACAAAATGGCTTGGCCTTTTCTACAACCAGTGGATCCGAAAGAAGTTCCAGATTATTATGATATTGTTGCTGAACCAATGGGTACTTCACATTTTTATACTTTATATTTAAAATTTTAAATAGAAAATTTAATTTTCTTTGTACATGCTCAGTAGACTACACTAAATTAATCATGTTTACTACCTTCTCTTACCTAATTTGAAAGTTGCTTTTAAATTTTTTACTCCTATTTTTCCCCATCTATAGATTTGACCATTGTGGAGGCTAAGTTATTTACCAAAGCATACCACAAGCTAAATGATTTCATGAAGGATATCACAAAAATATTTGATAATTGTCGTCTGTATAATCCTGTGGACACGGCATACTTTCAGTGTGCTGAAGTTGTGGAGACATATTTTGCACAGCGGGTGAAAGCATTACGTAGTGCTAACAAACTGTAATTGTTAACTTGGCATAGGATATGTAAATGTAATTGATATAATTGCAATGGGCAGCAGAGAACAATTATTCCACTTGATGGGTTTTGGATTTAGTATGTAAAAAAAAAATCTGTAAGATTTGGGATTAGAATGAAAAAAATGTAGTGGAAGTATTGTTGTACAGTATTTTTTATGTAAAGATTTATGCATAATTATACCTAATACAGCCGTCAGGTTTTAGAGTTGCATTCTTGATTCTGCTATGTTTACTTGTTACGTTGTAGATTACATCAATTTAGATCTATGTGTATTGTCATTGCAACTATATATCACATTTTTACAATTTCATCATCATGTAGATTTTTTTATTGAATTTATTAATTCAATGGTTATATTCTTGTCAGTGTATGAAACAAGTAAGAACATCAAAGGGTGAATCTGTTTAATTCTCTAGTCTAGTGGAGTAGTCATAGATGAAAATGGAACTTTTTTTTGCTTGTCCTGGCCAACTTCTTTCTATGGTCTTCACATTCAGTGACAGTAGTTTTAAGTCTGCTGCTTGTAAAATTAAATATACTCAGGGATAATATGGTGAATGTCTCTGCTTTAGTTGTCACCCTCTAGCATCCTTTCAATGCATCTTAAGAAAATTACTCTGTACTTACCAACAAAAAATACTTAATTTTTTCTAGAAGCCATCAAAGTTACTAGTTCTTTTTCTTGGCAGTTCTCTCATGCTTGTAATCTTGTTCAGTTATACAAGACTTTGTCGTATAAAATCATAGCAATAATAAAAATGAAATTTTTATATACATAAAAGTACAAATTGATGTTTAATGCAACAAAGCCAGTAATGGAGGTCTTGTCTGTTCATTTGCTAGTCTGAATAAGTTATTGGCAAGGGAGATATGTGTTGCACAACTGTAAGTTTCAATCCTGGCTTTTATTAAAACTTAGCAAGAATACATCATTTTGTATGTGTAATGTATTCCTCCAACTTCTTTGTTTTGTGTGTAGAAATCAAGTAATACTAATAGCTAATGTAGAAATAAATAACAAAAATCATAATTGTTAAAGAAATTGTTTTTATAGTATCATTTTTTATCTGTACGATATCTGAAATAATAGATAGTAAATGATAAAATTAGTTATCAATGTAACTACATGAAGTTAGATCTGTTTTGAAGCAATTTAAAATATAGCATAAACAGTGCTTAGTATTTTAAAAGGTTTTTAGAGATGAAACTGACATGCATTTTTTAAAGGTGTTTTAAAATATGGTTGGCTATCTTTTTCCATTGTACATTTGAAGTACCTTAGTAAAAAAAAATTCTGACTATTACAAATATAAAAGATGAGAGCTTATTATTAATTTATAATAATTTTCTTACAATTACAAGGGTTTATTGAGAATACTTCAGTGCCTATTCACATATAATACATACATATTCCTCCAGGTGATGTGAGTGCACTAAAGGGAAGGTGTTTATTTGAAAAGTAACCATTAGTTTAACAATTAAAGAAATGTGTCCAATTCTGCCAGGTAATTTGATGTGTCTGAACAAGCTGCTCTGTATGTATGTAAAGAATCAAAGCAATAATCTTGACAATGTTTTCACTTATAATGTTCCAGTGAGATTGTTTACCTGTTTTTTTTTGAAAATTTGGTGCAATTCTTGTTAGTAAATGGAATAAATATTTTGATTTGGAATGAGAATTATGATATGAGTATTATGAGTTGAATATGTACATTTCTACATGTAATGTTGAGCTGCTCTTGTTGCTGGTCTCCCAGTTTACCATTATGTTGATCACAGTGGTATATGATCATCTTCTCTTTACTATTAAACATGTGTATTGTCATTTTGAGCAAGTTATCTAGTGTTTGAATGTATCAATACTTAAATAGATGCAATAAATATAAATATGATGTGCAACAATATTTATGACAGTAATAACTTATATTGTTCCTTCATTTCTATGCATATGTTTCTATAATCTATACCTGTTTTTAAAAATAATTTTTTGGTCATTGTCATATAAGATAGTCTAACATAATGCTAAACATGTCTTGATATTGCTTTAATTTTAAAGAAACCTAGTTAACTATTTAAAATTGAACTATTGGGTTGGTAAGAAGTTGGCTCATACTTGCTGGAAAATAGATTTTCACTATCCACATGAACTTCTGATGTACATGTAAATACATTTTTGTAAATGAACAAAATGTGTTGTTTTGCTTTGTGCTATAGAATGTGTGTTTGGCTTATAATTTTTGCTATCTAGAATTGTGAATGAAGTCCAAAGCTGATGAATTAAGAGAACCAAAAACAGTTTTAAAATTATTTTTTATTTTATTACACTTAAACATTTAGTGTATACTCAGTGAACATTTGAGAATAAATAACACCAATGCTCTCTAAATTAGAGAAATCATCCACTCATCAAAACTGTTGTAGGATCACATTTTAAATATATGATTGCTTGCAGAATAAATATTTCTTAGAATCTGTGCTCAAACTTTAAGGAAGAAGTTCCCCATTTTAATTCCAATCCCCCTCCAACCCAGGAGTTGCATGTAAAAACAGAATATTACCAATACAATGGGCACTTTCTGGATATGCCCTAATAAGTAATCTAACCATCAAAACTTTGCCCAAGTTCTATATTCACAGACAGCCTAACTTAGTTACACTTACACCAAATGAATATGAATGTATAACTACACTTCTTACTAAATCTCATTCTGGATCAATAAATGAATTGATAGGATACAAAATCAGGAATAAACTATGCATGAAGGACTAGTGGATAGCTGTTGTTTTGACAATCATCTAGTTGCATCGTTAATATCACTTAAGATTGAGTTTATTTAAATAACAGACAATACATTAAAAAAAAAAAAATAATCAGTCTAAAGCATCTAATCCCAAAATTCTAGTGTTGCGGAAATAGGGATTTGCTCTATATTGGGTTACTCCTGTACTCAAATAATCCTGAATACACCTAGATTTATGCTTATACAGAAGACTATTTTGTACAACTAATGGAACTGGTAACATTCTAATGCGAGATTCCCTGTCATGATTATTTCCAAGAACAGCAGAAACCTTAACAAAGCTTAGAGACGCCAGAGAGAGTGGCTTGAAAATGAAGTCTATGACTGAGTCACCCAATTCCATTGCTTCTTGTGCCACACGTTTTCTTATACCTTGGTTTTGTTGTAAGACAACATCACCCTGTGTCAGGTACCAGATCTGAAGGAAGTAGGAAGCTAAGTAGATATTTTTGCAAAAAATTGCTGTAAGCAATGGTGATATAAGCTCACCCACTTGGGCAGTTGCGTAATACTCATAAGGAACAGAGCAAATGTTTCTGATCATTCCAAAAGGTACCAACGGGGGTGCTGCACCAGAAATAACAAACAATTCAATTAAGTCTATTTGATCAAAGCTGACTATCAGCTTGTGGAAGAGCAATGCATTTTCTATTTTAGACATATCAGGGATGGCGCCAGCTTGTAGAAGTGTTTTTAAACACTGGAAAGTACCAAAATTGTCATTTAAAAGTGACCACCCATGTAGAGTATCCAACACCCACCATATGGCACTTCGTCCTGCGTCATCAGTTATATTGATATTGGCACCAGATTCTATAAGTGTTTTCATAGCCTGGTTGTTAGCACACACAGCAGCATGCATGACAGCAGTGCACCCTGTGTTATCCTGAATATCCATATCCACATGACTGTCAATAAGCAGCTTTACTTTATCATAACTCTCGGATACAACAGCATGTACTAATGCTGTTGAACCATTTATGTCTTGAATATTTACATCAGCACCTTTACTTATTAACAAGTGCATTATATTCACATTACACCTCAGTGCTGCTATGATTAATGGTGTTTCTCTTCTAAAGTTTGGTTTGTTGACATCAACACCATAATCTATAAGCAGAGCAATCTTACTTTCATGAGCTATGGAATGAGATACGGCACAGACTAAAACAGATGAACCATTGTTGTCTTGTGCATGCACATTTGCACCAGCTTTAATCAACATTTCTAAAATGATTGTGGTGCAGTATTGTGCAGCTATGATTAAAGCTGTTTCACCATTTTTGTTCGTAATGCTGAGATCGGTCCCTGAAGAAATAAGCATTTTGATTTTAGCAATATCACGCTGTTTTAAAGCATACATTAAGGCTGTAGAGCCATCACAGGATTGTTTGTTGGAATCTGCCCCATTCAGTAGCAGTAAAGGAATAATATTACCCTCTCCAAAAACAGCCAACATCAATGGTGTCATTCCTTTGTGATCTTCTAAATTAACATTTGCCCCATGCTGTAGGAGCATCTTAATGGCTTTTTGCTTCCCAGCAATAATAGACAAGTGCAGTGCAGATTTACCACTATGCGTTACGTAATTGAGATCAATACCACCTTCAAGGAGTGCCTTCAAAGCATTCATTTTCTCAAACTTTGAAGCATATATCAAAGCAGTATCCCCAAAGCTTGTTTCCAAGTTCATGCAAGCACCGTGCTTAATTAGTACTTGAATACTTTTGCTGTTATCTAGGCGAACAGCTTCCATTAATGCTGAATTATCTTTACAATCTTTCTCATCTATTTTTGCACCATGATGTAAAAGTAGTTCAACCATTTTATGATCTTTGGCAGCTAAAACTAAGGGCACTGGTTGTGCCATCCCCCCTTGATTCACATCTGCTCCCTGATCCAAGATAAATGCTGCAAGTTCAAGGTCAATCTCTTTAATAGCAAATACAAGTAATTTATTTCTCATTTCAATGCTGACTGTTTCACGGACATTTGGAAATAGTTTATATTGTCCTTTTTCTGCTGCTAATTGAAAGACAGTGTCGTCCAACTCAGCTCCATGATCCAATAGTAACTCTACACCTCGTTGGTTATTACCACACTTTAGGGCTAGGATCAGTGCTGTCTCATTTTTAGCATTCATCAAATTTACATTAGCCTGGCATCTGATCAAATATTCTGCTATATCAGGTCTGTTTTTTTGGGATGCTACCATCAATGGTGTCATCTTTTCAGCAGTTTGATTATTTAGATCAGCTTTATGTTGTACTAACAGTTTAATAGCCTCTAAATTGCCAGCAAGTGTAGCCAGGTAAATGGGTGAAATATTCTTTTTTGTGGCTTTATTAACACTGGCGCCATAGTTCAAAAGAACTCGAACAATATCAAAGAAAATGGACCTGTTTAAATCTGTTTCATTAGAGTCAAACAAGGCTAGCATGAGAGGTGTATAACCTTTTGCATCGGCTACATTAACTATCCCTGGAAACTCACTTTCAAGAATTAATTTTACCAATTTTATATTGCCTTTCTTCACAGCCATAATTAGAGGTGTTGATTGCACATTTTTTTTACTGTCGATGAATACATCTAATAGATCTTCTATGCCACGTTCCTTTGCCATATCTAAAGCACTAATCCCATTTTTGTCTTTTAAATTGAAATCAGTGTCTTTGTGATATGCAAAATGTTTTATTGCACAATAGTCTTGATTTTCAATGGCTAACATTAAAACTGTTCTTCCTTTGTTGTCCTGTATGTTGACATTGCTGCAAGCTTCTTGAGATGTTAGATATTCTATTAATGGCAAAGAGCATGCCTTAACTGTGGCAACCATCAGTGCTGTTTGACCTGATTTAGTTTTAAAGTTTACATCCATGCCACTTCTAACAAGAATTTTTACTATATCAATAAATCCATGTTCTGCAGCTGTTATCAAAGATGAAGAATTTAATTTATCTTTCTTTTTCAGTTTTAAGCGCTGACTAATAAGAAGTTGTAAAATACGCTTTTGGCCCAGTTCTGAGGCTTTATAAATTGCTGAATCAAGTGTTTTAGAGGGTATATAATGAGACATTGATTCCAAAATGTTTGAGATCTCTCCTATTGCACCATCTGTTAAAGCTTGCATTAGCCTTGTGCTGTAAGAGGATCGACATCTTTCTGCTACAGGCTGATCTTCTCCCACATGAATTTTACGCTTTCGATGATTTTCTTTACCAGCCATATTTTTCTTTAAGAAAATGAACAATAGTTAATGTAATAATAAAAAATAATGAAACCTATCAATTTCATAGATATTGTCAATAATAATTTAAACCAGAGGGTTAGACTACCTCGTAACCTTAGTATTAGAAGTTAGAGCTAGGCAAAGGCTTGGTTGTTAAGGAGATCATCAATAAATGACATCTCACACAAGCTAGGTCAGTCCAGGCTTTTGTGATGGGAAGAAAGGCTTAGACTGCCTTAGAAAGGATCTCAAAGGGACAACTTGAAATATCATCCTTTTTATCTTTATTTTTAGTTTAGGCTTAAAACTTTATATTAATTAATTATTAGTGTACTATTTTTATCAATAATTTTCTACAGAATCTAATGTTTTTTTTTTTTAAATTTACAATCGTGTTTCTTTTTAAATGTTTTTTGTTAGGCCACTACTCTAGGCTTAGTGCCCTGGCCTAGTGCCTAGTCTAGTAGATCTTCTACGAGTAAAGTTAACTCACTAGCTAACTTTAAATTAAACTTAGCCTTTACTTAGCGCCTTGTTTAAGCTTATTTCTAATATCTCGTGTGTAGAAGGCCTATGCGAAATACCAAATAGAATCTAGTCTAGATCTACATCTAAAATCTAGTAGATCTAGAATCAAGAGGCGTAAAACTAAGCAACATTATTCTACTGTGCCTCAACCACCTCTGGTCACTATTTATTTACATTTAGATCTAGATCTAGATCTATTTATTGTACTTAGATTATCTACCCCTAGATCCTATATATTTTAGTCCAAGTTGCCACAAAAGATTTACGGGAAAATGCCATTTTCGAATTACTAAAAAATATTCCAGATCTAAACCTAGATCTAGAACTCTATAAATCTATATGTCTCTTGTTGGTTCTTGAACTTTAAATAGAATCTAGCTCTACAATTACAATGTCACAAATTTTGCAACAAAGATAAGATCTAGTAGTTTAAGCATGCCGCGAAAATATCACATATGAAGGTTTTAATTTAAAACTTAAAATGAAAAAATCGATATAGATCTAGACTCTAGTATAGAGGGCTTTAAATAAATTACACAGCTTTTAAAAATTAAAGTTTTAGATCTCAGTCATAAAATAAAGACTCTTGTGTCTCCTTTAATAGCCTGCACTAGAACACAATTATTATATTATTAATATTTTATTATAATAATTATTAATTATTGAATAGGCCTACATTTTAATTATAAAATTAACCTAGCCCGAGAAAGGCTGAATTATTTGTCTTTGTCTCATTTATATTTGTTGGTTGTTAACTTGTTCGCTTTTAGAACAAATACAACTATTGACAACTAAACTTCATTATAATATTATAATTTATTTTGTCTAAAACATTAAAAGAAAACGCCTCATCGCGATTGGGTTTTGTTTTCGATTCCATGTTTTTTAATGGATTATAATTTTGCATAGACTTGTCTTGACATCAAGATTTGTTTCAAAATGGCGGTTATCTTGATTTGGAATAGACATACTTATTGCATTTCGGACAAATTTCTTTAGCCAGCTAATTAAGTGTAAGTTGCCTCTTTAAAATGTTGTCTGTTGTGTTTAATCCAAACAAGTAAATATGCCTAAAACCAGCCAAGACATTCCATTTTTTTAAAAAATAAAAATTTCTTTAGGCCTAAATCTAAATTATTATAAAATTAAATTTATAAAAAAATAAAATAAAAACCTGAAGTTTTAGTTAGATGTCTAAAGACTAGTAGTACGCGTCTACTAATTAGTAGATCTAATTAGTCTAACAATTGGCATTTTGTTGAAACTGTTCCTAATTAATAATTATCACATAATGATAACATTTACATACAATTAGTATTAGTATTAGATTATTGGAAGGAGGATTTGCCATTCAATAAACCATACAAATACAAAAATTAATAATTATCATTCTGGGGAAAGTCGTTTTTTAAAATGAATTTTCAAAGATTTAGGTTAGGTCCAACTGCTTCTTTTTTCTTGTAAAATTGCAAAATAGTTATTGCCCTTCCTTGGTTTATTACACCATTGTTGTTTTCACTCATATGTAGGCCCTAATGATAAGGAAATTGAAAATTGATGTAAAAGATTGTAGACAATAAGAATGTGTAAGTGAAACAAAGATCAGAAAAAGAAAAAGACAAATAATTATGCCATTCTGCAATAATATTAATTATCATAAGGCACTTTTCATACTGCACCTCTGTTTTTGAAGATATACAGAAAATTTTTTTCTCAAGTTAAACAGATACAAGAAAAATAATGCTAGTTAAGAGTTCGGCACTGAAATTTTGTAACAATATAGCCACATTTGGTGTGGAACATACCAGTCCGGTAAATCTGTTCATTAGGTCAAACTCAATCTTAAAATAGATATTAGGGATGTCTGATTTTTTCATCTTCGCAACTCCATGTTGACATAAAGTTTAACGTTAGGCACAGGTTAAAAAAACAATAGAATATAATATAGATTCTTATCTAGTCATTGTAAAAAGATGAAAGATCTAGCTTAATCAAACTGTTCTTTTGTATGGTAAATTTTTTTTATTGCTATCTGGCATGCATACAACTAGGTCTAACTCTATATTCCTAAGCCTATGTAGGCCTGTTTTTCAATTTGATTGGGCAGGGGAGGAGAAGAAGTGATGTCACTGATGATCTCAAGTAGCAAATAGTGTTCATTCTATGGTATAGGCCAGATGAATTCACAGTGAGCCCACAGATTGTGGTGTGATTTTTCAAGCGAGTGCCGATGTTTGGAATTTCTTGAATAATTTTATTTTTTTAAACTTAATTAGATAAAAGATTCTAAACAAAAAGCACACATGTCGTTTGCAATATGAAGAATAAAATATTAAAAGACACTGATTACTGGCAGTGATAATCCCTGATTCAAACTCGTAGCCCCAGGGCTAGCAAAGTTAGCTGTTGTACTGTTGACTCTACCACGCCCAAAGTATTAACAAATGAAGTGGGGTTTTGTCTGATTTTGACACTGAGGTTACGGAATTACGATTATGCAGTCAGCAAAAAAAAAATTGTCATAAGCGTTAATCAGTGGAGATATTACATTTTGACTCAAATCTCAAATATTTTAGGAAAAAAATTGCAAATCAACAAATCTTTTTTCCCTGGCTTTACCGACATTAGATAATATTGCTAATCACATAACTTAATTTTTCATTTTGGGCTAAGATTTGTTTAAGGTTAAAATGTCAAAGGAAATTACCAAATAAATGCATGTCTTCATCTGAATTTCTAACATACATTCCACTTATCTAATTTGTTACACCCTAAGTTTATTTTAACTAAAACAATTTCATTTCCTTTTGACTTACACTGACTAAATAGAGCGCAACTGCTCTAAAACATTCTTAATTTGTGATTCTGTTACTTTAGATTTCATTACTTATTTTCTTTCTACTGCTTTCATTCATTGTGTGACTTACTAGATTGTTCAGAACTCATTTCCTTAATGTATTAGAATTTCTGTTATCAACATTAAATATTTCTGTTCAGAATCTGGAAATTTGAAGGTACTCATGTTGAAAGCATACTCTGTACACTCAATTAAACCATGGAGATTGATATGCAGGTAAATATAATTTATTCTTTCATTTATAGTGTATAGTTAGCTTTTTAGAGTGTTAGACTTGAATACTTTTTGTAACAAATAATTAGTTTTAAAACTTGCAATGTCACAGGTGCTTAAAGGCCTACACATGATTTTTTAAATTTTCTTGTGACATTTGAACATTTCTGACCTTATTAATTGACATTTCTTATAAATTTCAAGAGATGTTTGTGACATTAGTTTAGAAAAGTAACATGTAGTTTAGCCCTCACATAGACCAGATGACTCAGCAAATCAGGGTTGGAAATCCCTAGGGAAACCAGTGATTCACAATGGGAATTTGACCAGATAAATTTCATGGTGTGGGGATATAAGTAATTCAGTAGTGTTGCAAATATTTGTATTACATTGACTTCATTATGTGAATAAATACTGCTATATAAACACACCAGCTGTTTTGTACAAAGGTTGGCTGCACAATATGTATCATTTGTTTAAACAAATCAATATTTATCCTAGAGTTTTATCATAGACTACTTGACATCACTGTCTGATTTGGTACCACCATGCCTATTTTTAGTTGACTGCAATGTAGTGTATTCTATGCTAGGCCTATTCAATCTGTTTAGTGTATATACCATAGGTACAACATGTCAAACATTAAAATCTAGCAAGAAGTGTTAAGTGATACGGTTGTTTTGAAATAAAATAAAAATTATGATACCCTCAACCATTCTTAAAAAATAAAGCAATGGCAGAAAAATTGCATTGAATACCATCAAGCTTAAAACAAGGTGTTGAGGTGAGCGTCAGTCTTAAAATATACGAGGAGTTGTTGCAATAGACTTTACAAACTTGATAAGGTGCCTGCAGCCTGAAGCTATCACATTATCCTTTTAATCAATCCAATTACTGATGTACTCATTAATTTTAAATCCCGCACAATGCAAGGATTACCTTTCCAAAAAAAGTCTAAAAGTGAGTTGCATGCAACGAGGTCGTTTCCAAGGGAAGTAACTGAAATACATACTGAACTAACAAAGTCTTGTACAACCCAGTTTTTTCCCCTTCTGTTCGTGTACATGTTTGTTTGTGTCAGTGTGTAGCCTTTCTCTCTTGTCACACTGTACCAGACCCCATGTTGTGTGTTTGTGTCAGTGTGTAGCCTTTCTCTCTTGTCACACTGTACCAGACCTCCCTGTTGTGTGTTTGTGTCAGTGTGTAGCCTCTCTTGTCACACTGTACCAGACCTCTCTGTTGTGTGTTTGTGTCAGTGTGTAGCCTCTCTTGTCACACTGTACCAGACCCTCCTGTTGTTTGTTTGTGTCAGTGTGTAGCCTCTCTTGTCACACTGTACCAGACCCCCCTGTTGTGTGTTTGTGTCAGTGTGTAGCCTCTCTTGTCACACTGTACCAGACCTCCCTGTTTGTGTCAGTGTGTAGTCTCTCTTGTCCCACTGTACCAGACCTCCCTGTTGTGTGTTTGTGTCAGTGTGTAGCCTCTCTTGTCACACTGTACCAGACCTCTCTGTTGTGTGTTTGTGTCAGTGTGTAGCCTCTATTGTCACACTGTACCAGACCTCCCTGTTGTGTGTTTGTGTAGCCTCTCTTGCCACACTGTACCAGACCCCCCTGTTGTGTGTTTGTGTCAGTGTGTAGCCTCTCTCTCTTGTCACACTGTACCAGACCTCCCTGTTGTGTGTTTGTGCCAGTGTGTAGCCTCTCTCTCTCTCTCTTGTCACACTGTACCAGACCCCCCTGTTGTGTGTTTGTGTCAGTGTGTAGCCTCTCTTGTCACACTGTACCAGACCTCCCTGTTGTGTGTTTGTGTCAGTGTGTAGCCTCTCTTGTCCCACTGTACCAGACCCCCCTGTTGTGTGTTTGTGTCAGTGTGTAGCCTCTCTTGTCACACTGTACCAGACCCCCCTGTTGTGTGTTTGTGTCAGTGTGTAGCCTCTCTTGTCACACTGTACCAGACCCCCCTGCTGTGTGTTTGTGTCAGTGTGTTGTGTAGCCTCTCTTGTCACACTGTACCAGACCCCCCTGTTGTGTGTTTGTGTCAGTGTGTAGCCTCTCTTGTCACACTGTACCAGACCCCCCTGTTGTGTGTTTGTGTCAGTGTGTAGCCTCTCTCTCTTGTCACACTGTACCAGACCTCCCTGTTGTGTGTTTGTGTCAGTGTGTAGATTCTTGTCACACTGTACCAGACCTCCCTGTTGTGTGTTTGTGTTAGTGTGTAGATTCTTGTCACACTGTACCAGACCCCCCAGTTGTGTGTTTGTGTCAGTGTGTAGCCTCTCTCTTGTCACACTGTACCAGACCTCTCTGTTGTATGTTTGTGTCAGTGTGTAGCCTCTCTTGTCACACTGTACCAGACCTCCCTGTTGTGTGTTTGTGTCAGTGTGTAGCCTCTCTCTTGTCCCACTGTACCAGACCCCCCTGTTGTGTGTTTGTGTCAGTGTGTTGTGTAGCCTCTCTTGTCACACTGTACCAGACCTCTCTGTTGTGTGTTTGTGTCAGTGTGTAGCCTCTCTCTTGTCACACTGTACCAGACCTCCCTGTTGTATGTTTGTGTCAGTGTGTAGCCTCTCTTGTCACACTGTACCAGACCCCCCTGTTGTGTGTTTGTGTCAGTGTGTAGCCTCTCTTGTCACACTGTACCAGACCTCCCTGTTGTGTGTTTGTGTCAGTGTGTAGCCTCTCTTGCCACACTGTACCAGACCCCCCTGTTGTGTGTTTGTGTCAGTGTGTAGCCTCTCTTGTCTCACTGTACCAGACCCCTCTGTTGTGTGTTTGTGTCAGTGTGTAGCCTCTCTTGTCACACTGTACCAGACCTCCCTGTTGTGTGTTTGTGTCAGTGTGTAGCCTCTCTTGCCACACTGTACCAGACCCCCCTGTTGTGTGTTTGTGTCAGTGTGTAGCCTCTCTTGTCTCACTGTACCAGACCCCTCTGTTGTGTGTTTGTGTCAGTGTGTAGCCTCTCTTGTCACACTGTACCAGACCCCCCTGTTGTGTGTTTGTGTCAGTGTGTAGCCTCTCTTGTCACACTGTACCAGACCTCCCTGTTGTGTGTTTGTGTCAGTATGTTGTGTAGCCTCTCAAGTCACACTGTACCAGACCCCCCTGTTGTGTGTTTGTGTCAGTGTGTAGCCTCTCTTGTCACACTGTACCAGACCTCTCTGTTGTGTGTTTGTGTCAGTGTGTTGTGTAGCCTCTCTTGTCACACTGTACCAGACCTCTCTGTTGTGTGTTTGTGTCAGTGTGTAGATTCTTGTCACACTGTACCAGACCTCCCTGTTGTGTGTTTGTGTCAGTGTGTAGCCTCTCTTGTCACACTGTACCAGACCTCCCTGTTGTGTGTTTGTGTCAGTGTGTAGCCTCTCTCTCTCTTGTCACACTGTACCAGACCTCCCTGTTGTGTGTTTGTGTCAGTGTGTAGCCTCTCTTGTCACACTGTACCAGACCTCCCTGTTGTGTGTTTGTGTCAGTGTGTAGCCTCTCTTGTCACACTGTACCAGACCCCCCTGTTGTGTGTTTGTGTCAGTGTGTAGATTCTTGTCACACTGTACCAGACCCCCCTGTAGTGTGTTTGTGTCAGTGTGTAGCCTCTCTCTTGTCACACTGTACCAGACCCCCCTGTTGTGTGTTTGTGTCAGTGTGTAGATTCTTGTCACACTGTACCAGACCTCTCTGTTGTGTGTTTGTGTCAGTGTGTAGCCTCTCTTGTCACACTGTACCAGACCCCCCTGTTGTGTGTTTGTGTCAGTGTGTAGATTCTTGTCACACTGTACCAGACCCCCCTGTAGTGTGTTTGTGTCAGTGTGTAGCCTCTCTTGTCACACTGTACCAGACCCCCCTGTTGTGTGTTTGTGTCAGTGTGTAGCCTCTCTTGTCACACTGTACCAGACCCCCCTGTTGTGTGTTTGTGTCAGTGTGTAGATTCTTGTCACACTGTACCAGACCTCTCTGTTGTGTGTTTGTGTCAGTGTGTAGCCTCTCTCTCTTGTCACACTGTACCAGACCTCTCTGTTGTGTGTTTGTGTCAGTGTGTAGCCTCTCTCTCTTGTCACACTGTACCAGACCCCCCTGTTGTGTGTTTGTGTCAGTGTGTAGCCTCTCTTGTCACACTGTACCAGACCTCTCTGTTGTGTGTTTGTGTCAGTGTGTTGTGTAGCCTCTCAAGTCACACTGTACCAGACCTCCCTGTTGTGTGTTTGTGTCAGTGTGTAGCCTCTCTTGTCACACTGTACCAGACCCCCCTGTTGTGTGTTTGTGTCAGTGTGTAGATTCTTGTCACACTGTACCAGACCCCCCTGTAGTGTGTTTGTGTCAGTGTGTAGCCTCTCTTGTCACACTGTACCAGACCCCCCTGTTGTGTGTTTGTGTCAGTGTGTAGCCTCTCTTGTCACACTGTACCAGACCCCCCTGTTGTGTGTTTGTGTCAGTGTGTAGATTCTTGTCACACTGTACCAGACCCCCCTGTAGTGTGTTTGTGTCAGTGTGTAGCCTCTCTTGTCACACTGTACCAGACCCCATGTTGTGTGTTTGTGTCAGTGTGTAGCCTCTCTTGTCACACTGTACCAGACCCCATGTTGTGTGTTTGTGTCAGTGTGTTGTGTAGCCTCTCTTGTCACACTGTACCAGACCCCCCCTGTTGTGTGTTTGTGTCAGTGTGTAGCCTCTCTTGTCACACTGTACCAGACCCCATGTTGTGTGTTTGTGTCAGTGTGTTGTGTAGCCTCTCTTGTCACACTGTACCAGAACACTCTGTTGTGTGTTTGTGTCAGTGTGTAGCCTCTCTCTTGTCACACTGTACCAGACCCCCTCTGTTGTATGTTTGTGTCAGTGTGTAGCCTCTCTTGTCACACTGTACCAGACCCCCCCTGTTGTGTGTTTGTGTCAGTGTGTAGCCTCTCTTGTCACACTGTACCAGACCCCATGTTGTGTGTTTGTGTCAGTGTGTAGCCTCTCTTGTCACACTGTACCAGACCCCCCTGTTGTGTGTTTGTGTCAGTGTGTAGCCTCTCTTGTCCCACTGTAGTGTCGTCTACCGACGTAACGTAAGAGCAGCCCATTGGATCGCGCATGTTAGCGCATGTAATGACAGTTTACGACTTAAAGACACGTGGTCGCGTGTATTAAAAAAAAAAACAACCCACAACAGCGACTACGACTCAGTGTCGTCCTACCCATATAGAATAAATAGTGGAAGTAGTTTCTTGGTAGAACATTTCCGAGTTTTATTAATAGTTCTGTTACACAAAGATTTTTTGTTTTGTTATAATTATAAAAACCCTGACAATGATGTCACGTTTAAACTTAACCGCTCCTCAAACTTTCACTGATTCGTGTCATTTTTTTGAAAGCTATTTATAGAATTACACAACGATAGAAGCACAGTAATATGGAGCTGTGCACATTGTTTTATATAGACGTATTAACACGATATCAGATCATTCATATAGAATTGGGTCACCGCAGTACGAATCAACCGGGTTAAAAAGTTTAAGAGATAAACGGACCCCCGAATTGAACAAGAAGTGTCCCATGCATGTGCTAATCGGACACTATACGACATGGATCCCTAAACTTGTACGAATCCCCCCCCCCCCCCCCCAACTATAATATCCAACCCCTAACTTTTACCAGACGCGGCCTTCTTTCTGGAACCAGGTCACTGTTGAGAGCTATTGAATTTTGCACCACAGAATTAGTTACTTCAATCGACGACCGATATGTCTTGTTTGATCGTCTGCCAAAGTGGGCGGGCAAATATTTCCCGAATCTAGACTAGCAGACGTGCTGATCGGTTTGCTCTTTGTAAACTTTTCAAACTTTTTGGTGTAACTGAATTGGGAACTGGTTAAGACTTGCCTCAGACATTGGCGTGTCGTGTTTTGTTATAGATCTGTTGGTTTAGGACGTGATTTGAGGAAATATTGTATCCGTTGGTTTAGGGAAATATTTCACACGGACTATCCATGTATACTTTGGCACCTCGCGTTTTGTGTTGAATATCAAATATGTTGTGTTTCATGAACGACTTACAACTCAAGTCAGTTGAGCAGTTTTTCTCGTTACTCTAGTCTGCTAGTGCCCAGTGGGTCACTTGGTCGACTTCTCTAGACGATTATTGTTTAAACAATTTTAAAATGTACAGTGGCGCTTGGAAAGTTATCATCGATTGATATTGTTTTCACCTTTTAGTTTTTTAATATGGGATATTAGTGACGGATATTTATAGCTCTGTGTCATTGTGACGTAGGTAAACAATATGACGCGTCACTGCCCTGATTCACATTCTCAAAGGCGCGAATGTTTTCGTCTGGTTACGTAACATTACTCGTTAGTTTGTTGACAAACAGAACAAAATACTGCGCCGTGAAGGACTAATTATAGTTGATTACATCCTGGATAAATGATACGAGCGATTCTGCTGACTAAGATTTGTGTTTCGTGACCACGCCTATGTTTAGGCCACCCTTGTTCGTGTGGCCATCCTATTTGTGTGAGGTCACCGAGAGCTCGAGACGTTGATTACTTTCTGCCTGGTTTCTGGGCTAAGGAATTAAAGTTTAATTGTCTGCTGGCACTCAGCAGGGGGTCTGCTGATTATTGATTAGCCGTGGGGGAGATGGAGGGTAAAACAGCTGATGAGCACCATCTACAGGTGTATGTTACCATGGTCGGAGTCATGGTGAGTTGGGCTGGCTCTTTACTCTATCATCAAATGTATGTGTGTAGGATTCATTGTAAAACTGTTATACCAAACTGTCAATATAATCTGACTTGTATGATCATCCGTTGGCCCATTGTCTGGATAGTTGTATGAATTTGATAAATATGAATATTTTTTTTTTAAATTGGTGATTGGAATTTGGCTTTCTTTTTCCAGTGTGGCAGCCCTGCAGGGGTGGCTCAGCTCATCAACTATTTTGACTTGCAGAGCAGGAGACTGGACAAACAGAGCTACCACCATGCACCATTCAACTCTGACTTTGAGTCTCTTATCAAATTCAATGGGGTCCCCATTCTACCACCAGCTGTAAGGAGACATTTTACCGTAAATCTTTTAAAATTCTATTACGTTATTTTATTAATAAAAATTACCTAGTTACACCTTTGTTGTTGTTGTGTGATGAGTGTTTGTTTTAAATTTATACTTGATTCTAAAAATCTCTCACATGTTACCATACCAAGTATTTCTGTATAAAGTTATGTATTGTTTCATGTTAAATTTGAAATGTTTTTAAGTTTAACAATCCTGCAACATGGTGATGTTTTTTTGTTTACTCAGATCACATCAAGCAGACGTGATGAGCTCATCAAACACAAAAAGGACGCAGTTTTACTGGAGAAGAGACTCAAGGCTAGACAGAGGCGCCATTTATTACCCAGAGGAGGGGATGCATCCAGCCTTCAACCAATGGTATAAATTTATTTGTAACAAAACATGGCCAGGTGTTTTGATCTGGTTGAAATCAAACAGTGGATAAATGTTGTTGGGTGATAGATTTATTTAATAACACTAATCCTAGCTGAGTGCTTGTGATAATACATAACATAACCCCTTCCCTCACTTAATCACCTACGTGACTACATTAAATCCCCTCTATGCAACCCTCTCCTAAACTCTCTACACAACCCCTCTTAAAGCCCTAGTCCAAAAACCCTCTCACAAATACCTCACTCTTTTAATCATTATCAACCAAAACGATCTCGAATATTTAGGGAAATAAATTATATTCAGATAGCTTATACCATCCACCCTTGCTGTTGATAAACTGGCTAAATTTGAAAAGCACATGACAAATTTCATTCACAGGGCAATTACCCAGAATTCCTTGGCACCAGACCAGCAGCCAGACAGCTGAACTTTGACTCCCAGGACCCCTACCTACCTGTGGGCCCCAGCCTGCTGCAGGAAAGGCTTGAGGCCACCAACCCACTCAGTACTTACGCTGCTGCAGAAACTCTGGAAGACTTCGCCCTTCAGACACTGGACTCTGTGGGCTCCGACTTCATGAGCATGGATGAGAGCTCAATCCCTAAGCTCTTCAGTGGCCTGGCGCTCACATCTTTCAAAGAGCAGAAGATCTCTTATGATCTTGATCGTCTTTCAAAAGCCTTAAAACTCGGCTCCACAAGTGGGAGTGACCTCAGTGATACAGTTGGCAGCAGTCGAGCAACAGAAGAGGATGACACCGGAACTGCCAGTAGATTTGCGGAGAAGCTTCTAGTCCACAGAGGGGCAGATGCAGGGGACAGCCAGTCAGCGAGTTTTTTCCACGAGAGCCAGGACACTGTGGTGGAGGTATCCCCGGAGCCAGGGGACAACACCATCACGTCTGGGTTTGTTGAGAACACAAATTCTTCCAACCTGGAGCAGAGCCAGAACAGCCCTGGCAGCTCACCGGGTTACGGGTCGGCCCATACAAACACGACCCCGGAGAGCCAGCTGAGCAACAGGAGCAGTCCCAAGTCTTTGAAGAGCACCGTACACTTCTCCTCGTACGTGACAGAGTACAACCCTAGAGCAAGTCAAAACTTATGTGAGCATATTATGGTTGTTAAAAAAAAGATATCGTATGACAATTTGATTCCTGATAGTGTTGGTCAGAAGGATGTTGTTTTGCCTAGGATTCTTAATCCTGGTGAAACAAGACAGAAACATATGTTGTCACAGAAGTTAAGTGATCCTGAGACATCTAACGTTTTCCAGTTTTCTGTTGTCTCTGATCAAGACTCCAGTCAAAAGACTTCCCCAGCCCATAGTTCAATTGGGTGGAGATCAGAAACACATGGGTCTGATAAAGAAAATGATAACGTGCATAAATCTTCTAATCGTGGGCACAGAAAGTCACCAGACCAGTGGCAGGGAGAGAGTGGTCAGCTACAGGATAGGGCTGGTCAGTCTGTTGGTCAAAGTTCCAGCAGCACAGGCACTGAAGGTCAACCTTTTCTAAATATAACAGGTGCCAGTCACATGACATCATCACATGATCACTCTGAACAAACAGACCAGTCAGTTTCTCATGCCACGTCTGTGTCTGACTCGCAAGCATCAAGCAAGATAAGTGGACCAGCACTGACCTCAGGTTCCAGCAGTAGCACCATCAGGGACTCAGTCCTAGCCTTGAACATCACAGAGTCTGTCAGCGAAGACGTTCCACCATCTTCACATGACTCTAGCGACCACCCATCTGCTACTAGTATACAAACTTCACCCAAGAAACTGAATACAAACACAACGTCCACTGAAGATGACCCAGAGGATCCACCCACGGCATTTGTCCGCAGAGGTTCTTACACCCTGAGTGAGCCATCCCCGGCTTTGTTACGTGTTAGGTCTAAACTGAAAGCTGAACAGAAACAAAGAGACACCACTCCGACAGCTAAACTGGAGAAGGCAAAGGATAAAATCAAGAGTCAGACTAGGAATGCTGTAAAAAGCCAAGCTGTGGGTGTGAAAGATGGTGTAGAGGAGAAGAGAGTGGGCAGCTTGACCCCATCCCAGTCTGAGCAGGAGGGCAAGGCTGAGCACATCAACAAGTACCTGAGCCAAGTCCAGTTCCAGAACTCCATGAACTTCAGCACCCAGAGCTGGGAGGTCTCTCACCTGACTGAAGATGGTAAACCTTATTTCTTACCTGAGGAAGGTGGGGAGGATGAGGAGCATGATACTAGCTCTTCTATACTGGAGATTTTAAAGTGAGTTGCTTCTTTGGTCTAGGAATACATTACATATATGTGGCTAGTTGGTATAGGAATATAATAGTTACAGTTAAGTGGTCATTTTGAAATAGATTTTTTTAACAAATATTTTTCTTACTATTTTTTCTAGCAATGCATAATTTAATTATTCTAATTACTTTTATTATACATTTTTTAACTTTTTATTTAAGATACATGTATCACCCATATTTTACTATACTTATGTTTTTTCATTGACTGCTAAAGTTTGTGTGTGTTAAACTCTGTTTCATTAGATCAATGTCAGAGAGCCAAGGCAGTGTAGATGCAGTCAGTGTGGAGGAGTTACTGTCCCTACACCAGCAGCAGATGGAGAGGAAGCGGCAAGAGTTAATCAACCAACAACAACAAGAAATGGAAGAACTCTTTGTGCAACAGGTTGAAGATATTTATCAGAAGCCTAGGATTTTTAAATAAATGAATGATTTAATTATTCAAAACAACTGTCTCTCCAAAAAAAAATGAAGCCATTATTTTTTTTCATTATTTGATTTTAGATTAAGCATTATATACATTATTAAAATGATAGTTTAAGTAACAAGGAGAAAATTAATCTTCTATCTGATTGGTTGTTTTGTGTAGCGACGAGAAGTGATGTTGTTGGAAGCGGAGATAAAGGCAGCTCAGCAGCAGGAGAGAGAACATGAAGATTTTATCATCAAGAACGCTCCGGAAAATATCAAGGTGAAATCCAGGAATCACACAAGTGAGTTTAGTCCACAAAATACCATTGACAGCATCAGGGTTACATTAGCCCATCAAGTTGTTGACCATATAAGTGAATCTTCGTCTACTGGACAAAAGACTCAGCAGGGAAATATGAAAGTTCTAAAGAACAGCCACAGTAAAGGTCGTATTGTGTCAAAAAATGTCGCTAATGACACTAAAAGACATTTGAAAAAGTTCTATGAAGATAATGAATCATGTACAGCCAGTTTTTCTCCACAATCTGACACGCCTCATGACCCAGTGGGAATAGCCAACCGGATCCCAGAGTTCAGTCCGTCTGCTCCATCACCCCGCATACATCGCCCACTGGTCATAAGATCTCCATTAAAAACCAGTTCAGTATCCAGACACGAAGGACACATCTTTGTTCCGCCCAAGGTAGGAAGTAGTTTGTATTTTATGATCTACCCAGGTATTCAGTTTCTGTTATAAAACTATCAACACATCAAGGGTAAAGTTAGATATAACAGTTGTAGTTTTATATGAAAAAAAGCATGCCAATAGTAATGTCAGGCTTTAACAATAAATTTAGAATTAACATTTTTAATTATTGAAAAAATAATTTGGTATCAATATTTTAACCTTTATCCATGTTATGGAGATGTTTTGTCTGTTTTTTTTTAAAAAGTTTATTTACATATTATATTTATATAAGTAATGTAAGTTTTCACACATCATTTCCTATATATTTCTTATCAGGCTCATCATCCTGAATTCCAAGCCAAATTTGACAGAGTGAGTGCTGTGGCTAAAGGTTTCCTTACAAGATGTCTTCTTCGTTCAGATAAAGTTCAGGAATTAATTAAAACTATTCATGTAAGCATTATGATCAGCCTCATAATTGGCTGATCTTTTACCTCTTGAAAACTTTCAATAGATTCAAATATACAATATTTATAAATATTGTATGAACAACCAATAGTTTTAGTCTTGAGACTTGTTGCCCCTGTTAAATCACTTACTACATATTATAGTTGCTAAAATGCTTAGTTGTTGCGATTTTCCTTGTACAAGTAGTTACTTAACTTCTATTTTTTTTTAAATCCAGGATACCCGTGAATTTGCATTTAACTTCCAAACAGAAACACCAATTAAAAAAGGTGTTTTCTCTTCTCAAGACAGGGCACTCTTAGAACGTATAGTAGCTCAGGTTGGTGAATCATTGTAAAAATCAAACAATATAATTTTAACAATTGGCTTTTTTCTGTGTTATTTTGTCTTATTTAAACTTTGAAATTATTTATAGTGAGTTTAATGCAAGAGCTGTTAAAATGACTAAATTCATTTTAACAAAATCTTTTCTAGCTTCAAGCTGCCCTTCTTGATATTCATGAGATTTTCTTTGAGATTCCACCTTCAGACCGCATGGCCCTTATAGAGCAGACACGCATTAAAGAATATGAAAAGAGAATTAAATCAGTGAGTAGCAATTCAATCCATCACTTGATGTATTTGTTTCTGTACAATTAAAAAAACAAAGCCTATTGAGCCAGAGATAATATTTGTCTTTAAACTCTCAGTCTACAGAGAGTATGAGAGGATCAGGGCCCAGAATAAGTCAAGCTACATTGAAAGCTTTAGAGAGAAAGAAAAAAGCCAGGTAAGAATTAAATATTAATTCTTACCAAACCTAGCATTATTTGAGTGGTAAAATTATAACTTTATATCTAAAGTGTAATGCTGTATAGAAAAATTGAGTCATTAGACTATCAAACCTGCTTTTTTTTTACTGTTGTTAAATTTTAACTTTTAATATTATAAAAAATTATCCAGAGAAACCGAAGCTTCATCATCAATGGGTTCTACTAGAACAATGTCTGTCCCATCATTAGTTAGCAATGGCAAACTACAGAACCAAATGGACTTGAGGTTAGAGATTTTAATAAAAAGATGAGTTAAAAAAAAAAAATGAATACATGAAAATTAAACTTATTTTAAAAAAAAATACTTCTGAAACTTTAACAATTTTAGTTCTCGAACATTATCTTAATGTACATAGATTGGCCTCTTTTTTCTACAGAGCATTAAAACCACTTCAAGGGCAAAGCCATTCCTATATCTCAAAAACTAAAGAAAACAGCAGGTAATTATGTTTTATTTAATCATATTTATTGGGAGAATGTTTCAAAATGGTCCTCATAAATATTTATTGCTATTTCAATTAATTTATAAACTATTTCAGATTAGATAAAGATCGTCACAGAGCAGGTTCAGAGAAGCAGCTGACCAAACCCAAGCGTATAACAGCCCCGGCGATAAAACCAGCTCTTTCTGCTGCTGCTATAACAGACTCTAATAAAGAAGGTCAGTTGTTGCTGCCTGATTGCCGACAAATGAAATAATGGGCTTTTAAAATTTAAGTATCACTAAGTCATTATGTAGGGCCAGACAGGGAAGATTAAGTTCTCTTGTTCTGTGAAAACAGCAGATGAAGCTTTGTCTTGCAGAAACAAACCTGGGAACTTTAGAGACTTTTGGGTTAGCAGTAGTAGTAGTGTACTCAACTAAGCCATCCCATAGTTTTTAAGTTTGTAAATTAGTATTATATTGGTATTTTTGACAGGTATGTTTGTTCAGAAAACCATAGCCACTAGCAGAAATACCAGCAAGTCCAAGATGGCTTCTAACAAGACATCAGGCAGCAGAGCTGGAACATCATGGAGATGACATCTATGCCAACTGTCATCATGTTCAGTTACCTCAGCTGCCACGCATAGTATTTGATGTTAACATCTATTTTTCTACTGGCTTTATTTTTGTTATAAATATATGTGACACTTCTCATAGAGTTAAATTATCACCCCTGCTGATGTATGTAATGCTGGCTCTAGTTTGTTGTCATCTTTTGACAGAAATTGTCTAAGATTTTGCTGTAGACAATTTGCCTTACTTTCTGTGGCTTTATGACAGAAAAGGTCTTCAATTACGTTCTATTTCTTTGATTTTGTTCTTTTTTTCACAAATATGCATATGGATTTATGCAGCTTGCTTACGAATGTTAATATGGACAAAGTAAGTGCCATTAAATATTTCTTCAATTAAATAAACTTGTGATAAATGCCCTGGTTCAGTATTTAAAAAATAAAAAAATTATATGTACTTTACATTATCATAAAATGTTTTTCCTAGTCTTCTGTCATGAATCTTTTGGACATAAAAAATATTTTCTTGCAATATGGCAAAAATATTTTATTTTTAATGAGGCTAATGAGTTCAATACATTTTGGGGTATTTTTCCCCATTTGCTGTTGATTGATGAGCTGCATATCCCAAATTCAGCTTTATGATGTGACCCTGATGCCTTTTGAATAAAATGATCAGAAAGGTGTAGGGGTAACCACTGACTGCTGTACAAAAACAAAGCACCATCTGAACTTTGCCTTACTGTCTGTACTATGATATACCGTGATGCATTTAACATCTGGCAAAGAAAGCATCACATCGACCCTAAGATATCCTATTGTTGGTATCTATACAGGCAAAACATCTTTTGATATTTTATGTTGGTTTTCAAATGTGAAACAGAAATTATTGTTAAAATTAAATTGGGTTAATAAAACAAATATGTTTTGATATCTTTGTCAGATTGTAATTTTATTTGTATTCTTGTTAATACAATATTGATGAGAAGAAAATTAGTTAAAACCCACAGTACTTATGAGTTACAGTTAAATGAGCTTCTGTGGGGAACCTGAAAAAAAAAGAGTTCAGCAGATAGACCCATTGCTCCTAGGATCCATACAAAACCTTTGTAAAGCCACAACAAGAAGGTCCCTGAACTCAGCTGTAACATGACCCCACCACAATGACAGGTGAATTATGTTTTATACCATAGTCTCAATAGATCATATGATCTCAAACTGAAAATACAATCGACAGTTAATATATACGGCAGTTTTATTAACTGTTCGTAAAATAATTGGCAATTAATAAACCACATTTTTCCAATCAACCAAAGAAAGTATGGCTAATGAGAGCCATTTGCAAATATATGTTAAATACAAATATTAATTACATGAGAACACAAAACAGTGTATTTTCATTAAGTTTAAGATCTAACCTAGAGCCATGAGCATTAAAAAAAAATTCAAATTGAAAACAACACACATTTGTGGAACTCTGCTACAAAATGGAATGCCCAAAAAAAGGCTTTGTACAGGATTTGTCTACTTTTTCCTTGTCAATGCACAGGTCCGACATTTGGTTTATCATGAGGTCAGCAATCTGGTCAGCTTGCTCCCGTGTTGACACAGCCTCCATCATGTTACACAGCGTGTCCACTGGGATCTCACCAGCTGACTCTGCTTTACAGTGCACTTTTAGAATGCTGCTGATCTGCCAGCAGGAACAGATTGTATCAAATTTGTAATCATCTTTTTTAACAGAAATATATTGAATTGTAAAAATGGAACCAATTAATGTGAAACTTTCATTAAAAGTTCTACTTCCTTTATAAGGTAAATTTTTTTAAGAGCAGAAAACTGTAACAAAAGTTTTTAACTTAGCATTCTAGCAACATAAATTAAAAGGAGTTTAGAACTAGCCTTCATTCTCTTGTTCGTGTTCTGATTTTTAAAAATTCCTGTAAGAACTTTGAGGTGGTGTAAAAAAATACATACCATTTGGCATTCATTGATAAGTTTATCTGTCGAAATACTTTTGTCTTTCCTAAGAGTGCTAAGTCTTGACCGCACAATGCATAATGGAGTTTGTCCCAAATTGTCTTTGAGGTGAATATTTGCACCTAGAAAATTAATTTTGACATTTGAGAACTATATAATAAATAAATTAAAGATTTTAGTAATGAAATATTAAAATGAGAAGTATATTTTACACTTACCAGACCCAATTAATAACCTTACAATTTTCGAATCACCCCTACAAACAGCTGAAAACATACAAACTGTCATATACAAAAAGTCAATTGTATAACCTTTAACAATCAAATCCAAACTTTTATAGAAAACATGTTACAAAATTGTATATATTAAATTATTTATATAGGGCCTATATTTTTATATATATATATATATATTATAATATATCTATATATAAAATTCTCTTCTGGGAGCCGTTAGAAAACAAGCTGCAAACGCTCTCCCTACCTCCCCACCCCTACATGGTTTTAGTGAGCTGTGTTCACTCTAAATGTTTACAAGCAGAGCCAACGATTTTAAAGGTGGGGGGGGGGGGGGGGGGGGAGGAAGGGGGGGGGGGGGTTATGGTCCTTAACGAGCTACTTATAGTGTTTTAAAGAAATATTTTCAGTGTCAGTGTTGGTACTGCCGAATTCACAAATTATGAATTATTGAAAATTAGAAACAACTAAATAGCGGCGTATGTTATGCCGCGGGCCGGCTCGTATTATATATATTTATAATATATCATATATAATATATTTATAATATCAAATTATAAATTATATAATTTAAGCATTACAACTTACAAAATTATGTATTTGAATGCTATTATTAAATAACTGTAAATTACCCAAATGGAGAGGTGTATTGCCTAGAATATCCTGACGATTGGGATCAGCTCTTGCAGAAATTAACAGGCTCACTGAAATATTTTTAAAAATGGTCTTATATTACGGATACAGGGAGTCAACAAGGAATGGAACTTGCAAGAATTGTATCAAATACTATGTGTTGGAGAAATCAATAGGGAATGGAATCTGCAAAAAGTGTGTCAAATACCTATATGCTCCAGTCCCAGCGAACTTGCAATATGCAAGGCTGTTCTTCTCTTGTTGTCAGATGCATTAGCATGAACACAATTGTGGAGCAAAGTTGAAACTGTGTATATCAATAAAAATATTGTTTTACAGGCAGTACAACACATATACTAATGTAACGACAAATTAATGTTATTCATATAATTGGTTACACCATATAAAAATAATTATTTCATATATTTTAATTAGTGACACAGAAGCATTGTCGGTTAGGTTAAGGTTAGTTTACCAATAAGTGACAACAAATTAAATGTAAACTGATGAATGCTAACCGCACTGACACAGATGTCATACTACGTAATACAGTAACACACTGTCTGCAGTAACAAAAACACAAGTTTTTACCTTCTTCAACATCTCCATTTCTAACAGCAGTAAACAGTTTTCTTTTTTCTATAAAGTAATTAAAAAAATATTTTAATATATGTGTAAGTGGTGTTATTAACTTATTTGATGGATTCAAACCAAAATCATGGCGATAATGTCAACACTCAAACAGTGACAAACATCACTAACTGTGTATATTTCCATATTTGTTGGATCTCTTCATTGTTCAGGAGAAAAATAAATGTCTTACAATCCTGATTTTACATCAAGAGGAAGTTCAAGTAATTTTCATTACAGGGTACCACTGAATCATTGCACTGCTACATCTTTACATTGTTGGTTGCATAACTACTTTCAGGGCTCATTGTTAGAGTGTTGAAATTAGTTTTAAGCATTTATATACTCAGAAAATGTGTACTGAAAAAAGATTACCATTAAATTCGAGAAGTCCTAAATTAGTTAAGGCATTCCTTCTGGCAAGTCGCATCTGATTTTTTATATGTGAGCCTGCTACCAAAGATCGTGATTTTAGCCCATGTGATGGGTAGAACTCACTGGATGGACAATGGGAGGAATGACCAAATGAAATAGTCGACACTGGCATAGGAACACTGAAATCGATGGGCTTTAACTGCAAAAAAATAATAATTTAAAAACATTTTAGAAAACTTAACACAAGTTAAAAAAGTATTCCTGCATTTAAGATTATCCCAGCCCACCACCTATACTAATTAAAAATGCCTCTTAAGAATTTAAAGAACATCAACAATTAATACTTATAATTAAAATAAATCATAAATTAAAGAAAATAATTATAACAGTTGAAAGGCCACCTTTGTCACAAAAGCTTTGAATAAACTAATTACTAGATCTATGTTCAAGGTAGGGTAAAGAGTGGAGTACACAAAATAAGATCAAACAAACAGTCATGGTAAAGTAGCTTTACCAATATCTCTGCTGTGATTTAAATACAAAAGGTTAGTTCTCTTCTAAAATAAGAAAAATGTAGTAAATGTCTAGATCTTTAGCTACTCACTTTAGTAGAATCAAAAATTAATACAGGGACAATAGGCACCATTGTTTCATGGGATGGAGGCTCTGTAGAGGGGTGATGAATCTTTAAATCACATTTTGATGAGGACACATTATCGTGGCAAGAAACTTTCAATGGAAAAGTGGAACTAATGTTCAATTCAAGGTTTGTCTGTGTAGGGCTCGTGCTAGCTTGCACTTGTGATGTATTAGCATTAGCTGTTACAAAAGACACTTCCAGTGACTGAGATGGTGGTGGAAGTGTCTGAGGTCCTGAAATGGGTTGCTTAACATAAGAATGAGATGTCAATCGCACTGTTAAGTTCTGTTGACGTTGGTACTGTGTCTGAACTTCAAAAAGTTCCTCATCATTTCCATCTACGTCCATGATGATTTAATTTTTTATTAAGCTTAGACTTTTAGAGTTTAGTGGTCACTGCTTATTTGTGAGTTGTTATTTTTTTTTGTTAATTTATAATTATTATTATAACATTGGTCCAAATCATTGGTAGTATTGGTAGCTTAGCTGAGTTAGCTGCGCACTTTGCTGCCGATATGATTTCAATTTCATTCAGATTCAGACTGTCATTATTAATTTTATTATTAGGCCTACTAGATCTAGAGTAGATAGATCTAGTATTGATAGATAATTAATGCATTATTACAACTTCTTTTAATAGGCCGCTGCGTTGTCAGATACAATTCTAGATCTAGATCTGATATAGATCTAGATTAGATCTAGGATCTAGAAACAACAGTACACTACAGTAATCACTAATCAGCGATGACTGCTATTGCTAATCGAAAACAAACTTAAATGATAAATTCCGTAAGCGAAAGTTTAGAACCGCTTAAAATAAATATTCATAATATCAACTGGTAGACTTGCTATAAAATTTAAATGTATATAGAATCTAGAATCTAGATCTAGATCTAACTTTTTTAAAGGTAAAGCTGTTTGGTTTTTTTTTTTAGTTTTTTTTATCTAGATCTATGTTTCGTGTTTGTTTCAGACTAATAATAAAATTGCAATGTATTTTGTAGGCTGTTGTTGGAAATGTTTCTAACCGGATGTTTCCATTGTGTAGTATTTGTATCTCTTTGGCTGGTGAATGCATTTGCAAAGTTTATAAGTTGTAACGTTTCAAGAGAAGCTTTCGAGTCTCTGCGTTAACTTTTTAATTTAATTTAATATTTTAATACAGAATTCCAAAGAGCTTCTAAATCTATAACTCGTTGCATGTTGTCGATTCATAATGTCTTTTTCAAGTGACATAATAATCAGTACTTTTTTCGTGTTTATATTGTTGTATCTTCTGATAAACAAGCTAGCAAAAACACCACGTCATGTTTGCGTTGTAGTTCTCGGAGACATAGGCCGCAGTCCTCGTATGCAGTATCATGCACTAAGCTTTGCCGAGGAAGGATTCCGAGTTTATTTAGTTGGTTATAAAGGTAGTTTATATAATTATATATTATATTGAAATCTGACACATCCATGTCATGAGCCTGCTAAAACATAGTAAAACTACATCACTTTGCTCACTTGACTACACCTGACAATGTAGCTAGTCTCATAACGCGAGTTGAATTACCTCCCCTGACCCGCTTTTTTATGGCCACTTTCTAGTTCGTTTTTTTCAATCGCGTCTCGGCACTGTTGCTAAAAATAGCATTCGCGCAATACCATACGGGTAAATCTGTTTGGCGTCTGCTACACGTGATAGATCGTTGAATGGCCGACAAGCTGATATAAAAATTATTGCGACCGGATGCGATTTTCGTGGAAATTGAGCTAGATTTAGCAAAAGACAGCTATATTTGTGTAAAATATTATTATTTATACTTCTACTTACACAGATATTTTGATAACTGCAGTTCAGCCGTCCATTTTTCTTTTAAAATGTATCTTTAGAATTTCTGTACCTTTTGGCAATCGGTCAGGAGCATTTGCGCACTAAACCCACCCCCCTACGGCAGTTCCGATTTTTTTCCCAGTGAACTCGTACTGACCTCCCACATAGCTAAGATAGTACATTGATACTGATGGGAAAGCCTCTAAATCTGTATTCCTACTAGAGATCTAGAAATAAATCTAGATCGTGGAGTTTTTATAATGACTTTTAAATTGAATGTCTCCAGTTTAAGATATTTTTGTTTCAAAACATAGCTACTTTTAGTACTATATTTAAGTATTTCAAACCCTTTAGGTAGTTTTTTCTTTAACTTAGACCTAGATCTAGTGATTAGAAATCTATATTTTGTACTTATAACTTGCAGGCCTATTAAAATAATAATAAAACAGTTTGCTTGATAACTTCATTGGGTCATTTCATAAACACAAATGTTATAAACATATAAAAAAATCACAAAACCATAGGTAATATCTGAATTCTGTAGCCTACCTTACATTTAGGCTAATACTGAATTAAAAAGAAATTACATTAAGGTTTGAAATTAATACAACTTGTAATTAAGAAAGAAAGCTTCAATTCCAAATACTACAAGATGTAATAACAAACAATGAAACAAATTCAAAGCTTTTTTCAACCCATTTAGTCGAAAAGATTTTTATTTTTTCCGATATTGACCAAAATAAGTTTTTAAAGCTTAGGCCTAATGTTTTTACAAACATAACTCAATTTTATTAGGCCCCTGTAAACATTAATTAAGATTCCTCTGTAGACAAAGCAATCTATTTGGCAGATGAAGTAGAGTTCATGTTTCTTGACCTCGGTATATGAAGTGATTGTCCGTGTGGTCAGCGATATTCACAGCCGCCTTTACTTTTTACCTTTAATTTCCCCAATGTATATCAGGTACCCATCAGAAATGGGTGGACTCTAATTGAATTTTATTAAACAAACATTTTGATATAGGCCTAGATCTATAACATTCCAAACAACATCTGTTCTGTAGAATTTACCTTTCTGCTTCCAAATGCGGTATTTTCCAATTGAAAATTCATCATAAAACATACAATAAATTATATAAATGGCATTTTATAAATTTATATAAACTATTTACTTTCACCTTGGTATAAAAAAATGTAGGTATAAGCAAACTGATTTCAATAGTAAGAAAGAATCATGTCTTTTCTTGCTTACTAGCTTTAAAACATGTGAATTTGACTTTTTACCTGCGTTTTTGGTCGCATTTCTATATATTTTATTTGCGACACTAAAAAAATTATATTTAATCAACCGATTATGCTAAATTAATAAAATTGGTACTGTTGGATTGCATTTTTAAAGCTCTACAATTATATGCTATTCTTTTTATAATTTGAAGAAAATTGAATTTTTATGAGACTAACTAGACAATGAATAATGAGAAACTACAAAAATGTTGTATCTTTATGACACTTTATGTCTTTATAATTATAAATATTAATTCATTTAATAAGACATAGGCCTTGATTGACTTTACTCATGCCTTAGAAAATTCGTATAATAAGCCACTTATGACTTAGCTTAGAGTTAGCCTCAAACAAGAATTTAAGTGTTTATGAACTGTTAGGCCCATAATTTTAATTTTGCATCAATCTCTAGATCTATACTATATATGCATATGCTCTCTATAATATTTTAATATGTGGGGATAATATTCAATAAACAAAGTGATGAAGCAGTAAAATTTGAGAAGGATGCAAAAACAGCATTTTTGTCTCACATTTTACCCCGGCCCTATTTATGGACTGAGTGGGGATAAAACACAAAGATATCTAAGAAAATTTCAACTTGCTGATGATTGACAATGAACTTTGAAGCAGATTTTAAACACTTTTAAGTTTATTTTTTTACATTTATAAGTAGCTGCAACAGAGGCGTATCCAGGTTTTCAGTGTAGGGGGAGCGAAAAATAGCAAAAAAGGCGCCGAATTTGTAATATGTTCTATATAAGTATATATATATATATATATATATATATATATATATATATATATATATATATATATATATATATATATATATATATATATATATATATATATATATATATATATATATATATATATATATATATAATATAGGGCGTAGTCTGTTTTTGTCGTCCTCGTACAATTCACTTTATAATAGCATTATGTCTTCTAAAAATTGGAATGCATAAGACACGTAAATGAAGATATTTTTATTGCTTAATCAGTTGTACAAAACGGTATTCGTTTTAAATTAAAAAAGAAACAACAATAATTTAGTTAGGCCTATATTTGATAGCAATTTTGTTTTATCCTGTACTCTAGGACTTCTGTTAGAACTACAACATCCTTTTTCGTCGAGGTTTCATTTTAGCAAAATGATCAATTACGTCTTTTAAATCAACATCAGAAGCTAATTGTCGTTCAATCGTAATCAGGGCTAAGCTGGACAACCTGTCTTCGTTCATAGTAGAACGGATGTATGTTTTCAGGAGTTTAAGACGGCTGAAGAATCTTTCTACTCCGGCACTGCTTATTGGTAAAGTCAGAAATATACGATACAAAGTGGCCAGGTTTGGATACATGGAACACAAGTCATTAGCTATCATGAATTTCAGAATGCTGTTTACTGTCACCGCTATTTCTAGAGGTTCTTTTTCAGTTGAAACTCCCTTGTTTACACTGCTTACACTAAAAACCTCTTGGTAAAATGTTCTAAATGATACGAATTCCTGCACTATTTCAGTTACACTGTCAACAACATCCGAGTACGTCACTGCTAATTGCTCCAACTGTATTAAACTGTCATCTAATGCTAAATGTTTTGGGTCTAAGCAACAAAACTTGGAAGACACATCTTTAAAATTTTGAAACCTTGTGTTTGTACTAGTTATGACAGAGTCAAGTGACACTAAATAAGTTTGAACAATGAATTTTTTCCTAGAGTCAGATATCTGAGTATCCTCTGCTCGTTCGTCATGGAATATTTTCCGTTTGTATAACCTGTGTTGCTTATACTCCGTACGGATATCACATTTCTCAGCGAGCTCAGTGGCTTCGTTCTCAATCTGCTCAAATTCTGATTCAAATTCATTTCTCCAGCTACTCATCTCATTTTCAAAAATCTGAATTAATCGAAAGGCTGTTAACATATCAATGCTACTCTTCTGTAAATAAATGGATACGTTAAAAGCCTTATGCAGAATTCTTTTCCAAAACATTAAAACAACTAAAAACTCAAAGGTCTCTATTGTAACAAGAATTCCCTTTCCTTCGGCAATCTGTTTAGAAGTAGAGTTTTTAACTTCACCGTCAACTATTCTTCGCAATGCAAGAACAAGTGCTGGTAAATTCTGCAATATAGAATCTACTGCTGTCTTTCTAGAAGCCCATCTTGTATCACTAAGTCGTTTCAGTGTTAATGAAAATGCTTCTATGTTGTTGCGTTGCTCCTCTTGCAATATAGAAAGACGAGGTAGACTTCCGGTAAAAAATGCATATATGCTTTCCAGAACTCCAAAAAACAGCTGTGTTGGAATATTAGATGAAACAGCATCTATGAGAATTAAATTTAAACGAGCCGACCCGCGGCGTATCATGATACGCCGCTATTTAGTTGTTTTATTTTCTACTTTTCAGTAATTCATAATTTGTACCAATGCTGCCACTGAAAATATTTGCTTTAAAACACTACCCCCCCCCCCCCTTTCCCCTAACCCCGACCCTACCCCCACCCCCCCCCCCCCCGTGAAAGCAGCCTCCTATTAGTTACCTCCTGTAAGTTTAAAATCGTTTCAAACTAAATTATCTGCCCCTAATAGTCGTCATCAAACCCGTCTCTGTGATTGTAAAATGTAAACAGAGTGAACACCACTCACCAGATCATGTGGGGTGGGGGTGGTAGTGATAGAGAGGAAGAGAGGGGACTGCAAAGGCGCGCTTGCATTGCATCATAATGGTTATTTTTAGAATGGCAAACTGATGCAGCTGTTAATACGTGTTGTAAACGTAGACAGTACTAGACTAGTACAATAATGCTTAATTGCTGCATGAAAAGTAATCTTGTGATTTACATAGATGTGCCGACCAAAAATATTTTTTTAACAAATATCATTGTTTAAAACTTTGAGTTTAAAAAGTTTCCAAAAAGGCGCCACTTTGCTGAAAATGGCCAGAGGGGGAGCGGCTGCTCCCCGTGCTCCCCCCCTGCGTACGCCTCTGAGCTGCAAATATATTTAAGTCATATTAATCTATGCATTGATTTTTACCACACTTAAAAATTAACTATTCATTGATCATTTATTTTATTATAATCATAAAAGATAGGATGTATAACACAAGTAATATGACTTAACATTTGTTTATTTAATTAAATTAGGCTTTATTAATATCTATTATTTTTTTAATTTGTAGGCTCAACGCCTCATGAAAAGGTTCTTCAGAATGAGAACATCCAAATTTATCATGTTGCTGAACACCCAGCATTTATTTCACGTAAGTTTTTATTTTATCTTATTATTAATTATTTTGCAAGTTTGTAATGAGGAAAAAACAATTTAGATTTAGATCTATGTACTAAAATAGGCTCCCTTTCTGGGAGTCTGGTCGAGGTGGCTGTGTTTAGTTTTACTGAAAGCCAACAGTATATAGCCAAGCTATAACAATCAGTCTTGTGTCCAGATTGTCTTTATATCAGTAGGACCCATGATGTAAAGTTGATCTCTGTTCATATAGACTGTACAAGGTCCAGGTATCTTGTAAAATATCAAAATATATCTATAATATCAACTCAACTTCTTCTGGCTTTAACCAAAGCTATGTTTTTTTTCCTTTTTTACTTTCTCGTATATACGAAGTATAGAGAAAGTATTGTAATCGTGCAAAAAAAAAATCGAGATTTTTACAAATCTCGATGTTTTACACCTCACTGATACGGAAAAACATAATTTTGCAATCTTGTCCGTATGTCTGTGTGTCTGTCTGTCTGTGTGTAAACACAATAACTCGAGTACCATTACAGCTAGGTTGATGAAATTTCATATATAAGTATTTTATCAAAATCATAGATCCTGATCAACTTTTGAGCGATTTGCGATAACCGGAAGTGGTACTTTTTCTACTTTGAATTTTTCAAAAGCCTATAACTTGAGTACTATTTCAGATAGATAAATGAAATTTCACATGTAAGTAAAAGATCTAATTCTCTACCTTCTTTCAAATTTTGAGTAATTTCCGTTGACGTGAAGTACTAATTTATGCTATTTCCTACTTTTCCTACTTTGAATTTTTCAAAAGCCTATAACTTGAGTACTATTTCAGATAGATAAATGAAATTTCATACGTAAGTAAAAGATCTAATTCTCTACCTTCTATTAAATTTTGAGTCATTTCCGTTGACTGGAAGTAGTACTTTACGCTACTTCCGATTTCTCAAAAAACTAATGTAAATTTTAAAAGTAATAATAATATTGCGCACTATTATGCGCTTTTTTATTTCGCGTTCACTTGGTGTGCAATTAATTTGTCTACGAGATTTTATTCTATTTTTAAAACTTTAAGTATTTAAAGTGGATTAAAAATAATGTCTATAGCCCGAGTTCCCATCCCCTGTTATTTTATATAAGAATATTCGAGAAAGTTTAGGGGAGATCACTCCCGGTTTATTAATTACTTAAACTTTTTAAAATAGAATAGAATCTCATAGAAAAAAGAATTGCGCACCAAGCGAACGCCAAAACAAAATGTGCATAATCAAAAGTTGATACGGATCTACGATTTTGATTAAATACTTATATATGAAATTTCATCAACCTAGCTGTAACGGTACTCAAGTTATCGTGTTTACACACGGACACACACACACACACACAGACACACAGACATACGGACAAGATTGCAAAATTATGTTTTTCCGTATCAGTGAGATGCAAAACGTCGAGATTTGCAAAAATCTCGATTTTTTTTTTTTTGCACGATTACAAGACTTTCTCTATACTTCGTATATACGAGAAAGTAAAAAATCATGTCTATATTATGAGTTATATAAGAATATTCGAGAAAGTTTAGGGGAGATCACTCCCGGTTTATTTTGTGTGTAAAGAGACAGTTAATTTTCTTTAGTCTAAATAATATTCTTACTAAATTGATTTTGTGTTTTGTGTGTAAAGAGACAGTTAATTTTCTTTAGTCTAAATAATATTCTTACTAAATTGATTTTGTGTCGGTTAGGTATCCCTAAGATTTTTGGATACTTCGTGAAAGCTGTTTGGCAAACAATATCACTTGGCTGGACTCTTCTTTTGCTCCCAAATTTGGGATCGATTCTTATACAGGTATGTGAAAAAAATAAGCGTTATATAATGTTCTTATATTATTAATTTTTAAAAAATAATTGAATGTTGTAGTAAAATTACACTCAATCTCATCTTAAAGCATTTGCATTTTTTTTGTTTTATATTTTATATTTTTAAATATTGTACTTTCACCTCATCATAGTATTAAAGAAACAGTATTTCCTTAATTTAAATAGTTATTGTTGATATATTATTAATGTGTTTATAAAAAGAAAGCTATACTCTTCCATACAATAGGCATTTAATTAACCTTGCCATTTCAGAATCCACCATCAATACCAACCATGGCGGTCTCATATGTTATCAGTCATGTAAGGTTCTGTACTTTAGTTATTGACTGGCACAACTATGGATACACTATACTTTCTATGAGTCTCAGACAAGGGCATCCGTTTGTTAAATTTGCCAAATGGTTAGTCTTACAATTATTGATACCAGTTCTTTAAAATAAACTGATTTTGTATTTTTGAGTTGGTTAAACTTTAAAATGCTATAACATTTTATGTCATTGGTATAAAACACAATGAAAACTTGTTGAACAATTTTAATAACCCCTCTAAAGAATTAATTTTGTTTAACAGGTATGAAAAAATCTGTGGTCGTCTTTCCTCATACAATCTTTGTGTCACAGATGCTATGCTGGAAGATTTGAAAACAAACTGGAATATAAGGTACTTCCAACATGTTTAAATTTATATTTTGTTTCTATAACTATTATAAATTCTTTTTGCATTAAGATTTATAACTGCATAATATAGTGGGTCTCTTGTTTGTTAAGGGGTGAGATAAAAAGGATGATGCATCTGATCCTGCTTGAATTGTATTGGTAAAACTTAGAATGTTGTTATTAAAACTATGAGTTACTGTATAAATCCTTAAATGAAATTAAAAACAAAATTTTAAAAAAAATTGTTCAAGTCAGTGGATGTTACCCTTAAATTTTTTTATATTTTATTAATTTATTTTATATTATCAGAATACTTTTACATTGTTATATCTGTGTATACTTTTTACTTTGTAGTGCTATCAGTGTACATGATCGACCAAGTGAAATTTTCCAGTCTATCACCATTGAACAACAACATGATCTTTTCTCCAGGCTAAGCAAAAATTATCCATTGTTTGCGAGGTGAGAGTAAAGAGATACATTTTGAGTCTTATAGTAATGTTTTTAATCCCCTTACGCCCTTCTTAGCATTTTTTTAAACAGGTTTTGAAATAGGTGTACTAAACCCATGTTTAAAAAAGAAGATACAATTTTTAAAAGTTGACAAAAATTATTTGCAGCAAGGACAGCACAACTTCCACCAGATTCACCACGATAGATAAGGATAATAAAATATGTAAAGCGAGTGATCGACCAGCACTGCTAGTCAGTAGCACAAGTTGGACTGGTGAGATCTTATGGTTGCTCATGTTTATTTGCAAGGCTACTCAGTGGCTAAAAAATTGTTCGTCGTTTTTATGGTGTTTTCTTAAATCTTCCTGATTTAATTAGTTCATATTAGGCTGCTAGTGTGTAGTTCACTTTCCATTGTTTGTAGTGATGAGTGAGAGTTAATGTTTTTAGGACTGTGTTTAACACATTATTTTGTCAATTTTAATTTCAATGACAAACATATAAAAACACAAATAAAATTGACTTATGGCAGTCCAACAGAATAGAATTGATTTGAACATTTGTTTCTTGTTGTTATGCATTTGGATGAGTGTAACTTCATTACAAAAGAGTTAGCAGGTCTTAGGTCTTATAAATTAAAAATTATTTATTTTTCAGAGGATGAGGATTTTGGTATTCTTTTAGAAGCTTTAACAGGTATGTGTTGGACAAATTGATTGTTGAGATATCAACTTTTAAAACTATCACCATTCATCTAAGACATTAACTATATGTAAAAACTTATATTACTTCCAATTACAGAATATGATAGTTCTGACCTTGAGGCTTCCTATTTTCCAAATATAGTTTGTGTAATAACAGGTAATTTTCCGTTATAATTTACCGGCCTAGTTTCTGTAAATTTAAAGACTGCGGTGTAAAAAAAAATATTTTTATTGCATAAAAGAGATATGAATTTATGTTTAGGGAAAGGTCCCCAGAAAGAAATGTACAGTAAAAAGATTGAGGAGAGAAGCTGGAACAGGGTACAGTTTTGTTTGCCATGGCTTGCTGCTGAAGATTATCCATTGATGCTAGGTAAACAAACTACTCTAGTAGAAATTAAGTAATGATGTTAATAACAGCCGGAATTGTTTTGATAAGTTAACATTAGATCAGTTTTTTGTTGATGTTTGTGACTCTGACATTGGGCAGGTTCTGCTGATATTGGGGTGTGTCTCCATAAGTCATCAAGTGGTCTTGACCTCCCGATGAAAGTGGTGGACATGTTTGGCTGTGGCTTGCCAGTTTGTGCTCTCAATTTTGCATGGTAAGGAAAATATTTTATATAAATTGTGGGTGACTTATAAGATTTTCAAATACAGAGAACTCTTTTCTAAATTTTTCATTCAGCATTGGAGAGCTGGTTCAACATCACAAAAATGGTCTTATCTTCAACGACAGTGATGAGTTGTTCATTCAGCTAATGGTAAAAAAAAATAGTAATCTTTTTAACTTCAAAATTAACATTGTTTTTCAAAATGGAGTAACTTAACACTTAGATGCTCTTTAATTTTTGCTTGGTTTAATTTATTGTTCCAACCTTAATTGAAGCAAATTTTTTAAAGTTGTAAGGATATCTTTACTATTGTAAAAGGAGAATAAAGTAGCATTTCCCTCTGATAAATAAGTTCTGAGGTTTACAAAAGGGGTGTTGGAAATTATGGAATATTTTCCTCACAACCATAACTCTTACATTTCAGATGTTGCTTAGAGGATTTCTAAAAGAACACAGTATGTTATCAAACTTAAGAAAAAATTTGGTGCAGTTTCAAGAACACAGATGGCATAATCAGTGGAAGCAACTGGTGTTACCAATTTTTAATGAAATAGCTGGTGTGAGAAATACTACATTTAATATTCCTCAGAAGTTTGGTAACTGGTCATCAGATCAGAGGGAGGAACAGGATACAAAAAAAAGTAACTGAAGTAATAATGTTTGGTGCTGCACAACTGCTGGCTTACTAAATTTTCTTCTACTGGTGATAATTGTTGGTTTAGTCCAGGAAATCAGGAAATCAGGATACAAATATTTATGTTATCTAAAAGATTTCTGAAAAACCAAGCTTGCAGTTTAAATAGCAGCTTATTGAGGCTGAGTTTTTATTTAGTTGGTGATGAGGTTTGTTTTATTTAGTCACATTGACTGCTTTCCTGTTGAAATCAATCCTTAGCTCAGCCTTAAACAAGATTATTAAAATAAAGAATATCTATGTGTGTTGTTTTAATCATTCATACTTTCGCTTATTGTCATAGTTAGTAACTTTAGACAAACACCAGTTTACTGCAAGTACAAAATTTATTTATGCCAGTAAAAAAAAGTATTTTAAAATAATATTAAGAAACATTTTTTTTTTAAATTTCAGATACTTAAAACTCTGCATTTAGTGGTAAATAATTTCAACAAATTGATTTTATCTCATTATTTCCATAAATATATTTTTTTAATGTTTAACTTTAAAATATGCACAGCAATTTTATTGTAGTATATATCTGTAAATAAGATATTAGATTTACAATCAATACTATACTGATAAATGGTAAGCAGTTTCCTGTATATTACTTAAAATATTGATTAAAGTACCAAGATAAAATTAAAATAATTTAACATGGAAAAGTACATGGTTAAACATTTCATGGAAGATACATTTGATTTCTGTCTGTACAGAAAAATAAAGAAAAACAATGTAACACCACCAACAAACATTTTTAGTTTTGATCTCATGTTTAGTGAAATTGAGATTTCTAACCAAATCTTACTTTTCAATAGTACATTATTATGCTTTAGTAGAACACAATTCTTCACAATTGGTTTGGTTACAGTAACACTCCTAAATACACACCCAAACAGGGTTAAACTGATCACATTTGTAGAAACTTCACTGCCATAAATTAATCTGATTCACCTTTATTAAAAACCCCTGATAAGTAATGTGCAGAAAGACACACATAAACATAATTAAAGAAATATTTAACTACTAATTGTCTGAAGGTTGTAATTTATTGTTAAATATAAATGATTTTTTAATAATTGTGAGTGGGGGACTAAAAAGGGCATTAGTCATAAAATATACTTTATGACATTATAAAACAAATAGCTGTAGGCAATGGTTCCATTTTCTAGGTAAATTGTAGAGAAACTATAGTAAAATATCTTTGTAATCCAAACCATAGTGTTGCAAGTTTCCAACCCAGCTTTCTGATTTTAAAGAACAGTTTGGATGATTAGAAAATTCAGAACGCTTAATTTTGCAGTGAGACAAGTTCCTGTTTTATTACCAGGTGTACAATCACTAGTTGGGGTTAATTTCATGGCACACACCTCAACATGGCTTATAAACATCTGATCAAAGAGGCTCAAAAATGAAATCAGCAGTAATAAAAAAAATATTTACAATATATTATGTCAGCCACTTTCTCATCGAGTTTAGCAAATAGGCTACCACTTTTTAAAGATGAGCTTCAAAACATAAAAAAAACAAGTCAAAACATCAAATTTCATGTAAACATGGAATGTTATTGTAAAAGTTGTTCATGGAATGTTTGAAATATGTAAGCTATAAATTGTACAGATTTTAACATACCATCATAAAAAAGAAAGTAAAGATTTGCCATGGGTTAAATGTAAATGGAATGTATAGTTATTGTATTTAAAAAATTTAGACATGGAAGATGCCTCATGTGAAGGCATATTGCTCCAACTCATTGCATAGTCAAACAAGAATTACTGGCTGAGGTAATAATACACAACAGTTTCACATAATATGCAGACATCAGAAGTTTAAATGCATTTTCCCCATCTCCCTTAATGGTATATAAAAATGACAGCATAAATTATGAAACACGTAGTTTTATCACATATAAAAGTCAAGCATTAAGGGGTGAGAACATAGAGAAAGAGTTGTACAGCTTTAATAAACATTTTTACTCATTACTTGTTTTATAATTAATGGCAAATAATCACTTTAAGAACTTAGTATCACTGATATATCATTTAGCAATAATTCTGAATGCACAAAGCCTTTTTTTTAAATCTAGTATTGGATACATTTAAATTTTTTAAATCTCTTTGGAAAATTAGCATTGCGTGAAATTTTAAAAGTTTGTAAAAATTACTTCCTTAGAATCTAAAATTCATATTCCAATTAATAATAAGTCAGTTAACTTAAGCTAAACCTTAAACAATTTTTTTACTGAGCTGCTGAAAAAAAAATAGAACTTCAAAACTTTATTATTCATAAACTGAAAAAATTATTTATTTATATATGAAAAAAATGTTACGTTAAATAATTATTTACAGCTTTTGATTATTGTAAAATATATATAACACACATCATGTAATGTAAGTAGAACATACTAGCTGTATGGGGTTAAACCTTCACTTTCAGATCATATTATTTTTCTTAATCATTAATTTATTTAAAAATGATGAAGTGATTGGTTTAGAACTGGTTTTTTCATTTAAGGCTAATGGATTGGAAAACTTTTAGCTCACATTAGCAGCAGTATAAAAATTTAGACCTACAACAATAATTGTTTGAAAAATTAGGTGCGTGATTGAAATAGACCTTTCATTAGGTATTCAAAATATCAACACATTAACAGAGTAATAAAAATTCAACATTTCTTACATATAAAAAATAACACAATTAGTCATATGATGTATCAAATATACATATATATATTTGCATATATAGAAGTTACCAAAAATATCCTTCCTTCAGAATTACAAGTGTATTATGTAGCTTTCTCAGCATGTACAATTATTATGATTCATATGTTGATAGCTGGATCAGTTGTGACCATTGACAACAATGTTTTTGTCTAACCGCTTATGATATCTATTGATTACTTGGAGGTATTGACCAATCAAATCTGAAATGTCAGAGCCCTGAAACAAAAATGTTCAACAGAAAATTTTAGCAAATTCTTTTTAATGTCTAAATCGGCTTATATCAAATAAGTAAGGGTTTATCCATGAATGACATCAAACTGCTGGGGTGAAAAGTCAGGCCATTATGATGATGTGTGACAAGGGGGGGGGGGGGGGGGGTGGGGGGTTCCATGAAGTTTGATGTGTATTTTTTAAAGGAAGAGGACAAAGCAATTCTGTATTTGTTTGAAATGTTATTTTGGGAGGGATTAGCACCTTGTGATGTCATTTGGGTGTTGACAAGATATGGTGGGGAGGGGGAGAAATACAATTGATCTTAAAAAAACTGAAACATTATTTAGGATAAACCCTTATACAATCAGCCAACCTGATACAGCACTGTATTTAGATGAAATATCTGCTATAATAGACAGGCTTAACTACCTAGTGCGAGCACAGCTTAATGAAACCCACCTGATCAGTTTCAATCCTCAGTATTTGTTGCACTAACAGATCACCCAGCTTCATGTCCAGGTAGTTGACATTTGCGTCACTCTTATAGCGACGTGTTGACAGTATCTGGCTAAAGGGGTATTTCCTGATCGTCTCATGGGTGTCTTTACGTAAGAATGAAATCCCTTCAAAGTTGACAGCCAGCATGCATTCACCACTTATGTTGGGTATGCTCTGGAGAATGAGAATAATTGATTCAACAAATTGGTCTAAAAAATAAGGCTATTTGGATGTCATACTGCTTAGTGTAATTTTAAACTTATTCACAATAAACAATCTTAAAATTATTTTAAAATCTTCTGATGTTTTAAAATAAAATTAAAATAGTTATCAAAACTCTGAAGATTTCAAGATTTCAACTTGAAGATCTGTTGTAACAATAACTTCATTAATTACCTTAATGAGGAAGAAAGTTGAGCCAAATAGAGGCCATCTGTGTAGAACATCTAAAATGTATTGAGAAAGGTTAACTATTATATTTATTGTATGTGCATTGCAAAGTTACAAATAATGCAGTGGATCTTTAAAGTTAGTGCAGAATTACTGAAAAACGAAGTTTTCATTGTGGATTGTAACAGAAAAATGTTTTGCTGGTACTGACCAATGAAACGGGCCTTGGCTTCCAGGGGATTCATAGAAGAAACAGCACCCAAGTTTTCATGAATTTTGTTGAGCCAGTTCTGGGGTTTGGTGTCAGAAAAGTTTTTAATATTTCTTGGCACTAAAGCATCCAGATCTTTCCTGAAAACAAAATAAAGATAAATAGAAGTACTGTGTGAGAACTATTGTGTTATTATTTGAAGATTAAACTGACTGATTGGGTGAGCAAACTTACAGTGTTGGGGTTCCGACCATTCTGTTAGCTTTGTGAAGTAAGGCACCTAGGTAAGGAATATCTGTTGCTGTTTCTTGGGGAAGTTTCCCATTAGGCAGTCTAACCAAAAATCCTTCATGGTAGTCAAGGACACACTATGTAAAAAAAAATTATTTAGTAAATCTATTTGTTTAAAAAAATATGTGTAAAGCTTATTTTTGAGCTAATCTGAACTGAAAAAAAAATTATCTAACTACTTGACTACTTACTATTCTAAGGATAAAGTATAAAAGAAAACCCATTAAAATTGGGTAAGACCTTTCTATTGATAGTAAAAGGGACTGTTTGTGTTTTAGGAGTAGCTTATAAAATATGCTGCTTTAAAATTTAAATGAGAAAGAATAGCAGGTGAAGTATCTTTACTTTTGTTTTGAAAAGTTAGCTTAGTTTTCATAAGGAAAGGAGTGAGAGATCATTTCTTATAAATTATGTGAGAATTTTGTGACTAACCTGATGGAACATCATTTCAATGTAAATATCATTGTTGTTCTGTTTAAGTGGGAAATACCAAACAGTTCGCTGAAAGATTAAGTCAAATGGTATCTGTCTGCGGATGTAATAAGCTGTTTCATCCAGGATGTAGTCCTCCCTGTTGAGCTTGCTGAAAACTCCATCCCCTAGAGGACAAAACAAAGATAATTAAAAATAATTGTTCCATTTTTAATGTGTTGGTAAAATAATGAAACAACTTCCTCCAATAGCAAAACTAACCAGCACTTTGCTTACCTGTTCTAACAAAGAACGTGTATTCTTCCATCTCAGCCAAATCTGTTATATTCAAATTTGCACACACTTCCTCTATAGCATCTTGCACAACCTGAGTTGAAAAAAGGCAAAAGGTATTATTTTTGTAATACAAGTTGGTCTTGCCTTGTCCAATATTATCACTAAACAAAGTACTCAAATCTTACATTAAGATATTATGTTGTGTTTAACCTAAGTAAGTTTTTATATAGTGATTGACTTACAGTACAAGATTTGACTTGAAGCAGACCTTCATGGTTATCTGAGCCTGAATAAAAGAATGGAATGCGCTTGGAGTTGCGACCATCCTGGAAAGAAAAATAAAAGGTTTTTTAAAAAATAGCTAATTGAAAATTCTAATTAATTTGCCAAAATGGGTTTTTCTTATTTTATTCTTTTTTAAAAACAATCATATCATAATAGTTTGAACAAATATACATAAACTTAATGACTGTGTTCTCACTGATGCAGAAATCTACAACGACTTTCAAATGCCTTCAACTGAATATTCATCTGTGCACAACTATTTGAGTATAAGAAAGAACTATAAATCAAGCCAACATTTTACTTACAGCAAGAGCAACCACTTCTTCTTTTAGAGGAACATCCTTCCTGCCTCCATATTTGAAAGTTTTTCTGAGATTATTTAGACAAAGGGCTGCAGCATCTGTAATATAAATAGCAACAAAGTTGGGAGAAACTACATAAAAGATTAACTATTCTTTAGATACATTTAAAACTATTTTCTTACTGTTGTAGGCCCGGTTAGTGTCAACAGATGTTGTCTCCAGATATTTGAAGAGATACGGCTTCAGTTCTTTAGAACAGTCAAAGTAAGCAGCAACAAGGGCAAACAAACGCCAGCCTCTAATCTTGCTTTTACTGGAAACATTACAGATAAGTCAACATACAATTTAAAATTGTTTTTAGAAAATATACCCAACAAATGTAAGCAGGTTCTGATTATGTGAACAGGTAATGTACACTTTGCAACAACAAAATCAGAAAAAATAGCATACTAAGTAATAAAAAAAAAAATACAACAAAAAAGTGAATACTTACACATTCATGCTTCTGTTGTTGGTTGTCTGCTTACACAACTGGCAAAAGATTTCATCCCTCAGTTGTGGATACTTGTGACACGTCTGTTAATATAGAATATACATAAAAAGTTATTAGAAAACATGGAAGTATATTAAATCTGTCTCGTTAAAAATAATCATATTAAAAAATTATGATGTATTTAAACTTTAAGGAAAATTATTTTATGTGAATTATTCTGATTTATAGTAAGAGAAATAATATTGCAAATATTTTCAAATTAGGTTGCAACAAACCTTCAGTATTTTCTTTGCACAGTCAAAGTCTGTCATGTTGCTGCCCATTGGGTAATCTCCCATAAATCTCATGATTGCTGAAATGCAATATTTTGGATAGTCAACAAGATTGATGTAAACTACTACTGGCAATTGTCTAAACAAAATGCATTGAAGGAATAAAAATAAAGAAGAAATAAGTTCAAGAAAGTTGTGTAAAATATTTACCAATGAAACATTCCAAGGCCAGTTTATTCAAGTCTGGTGAACTCATCTTGAGAAGAGATGCCTGAATTGGTGACTGGAAATAAAGGAAAACAATATTAAAAAATTCAATCGAAAGGTGTTTCTTGTTACTTGTTTTATTTAATTAATAATTCTTAATATTCATACAATTATTGCTATAATTAACAGTACTTTCAAGAAAAACATTTTTTTTAAAACTCAAGAGAAACTTTTTTTTAGAAAACTATGTTTATGTCTAATGACTTTAATATAATATTTTGTGATCATACCCTGGTCCACTTAATGAGATCTGCCTGCTCTTTCCAAGACCAGTCCTGGTTTCCTATTCAAACAATAATACAATGAAATAATTTTTTCTCAAATATTTATTAGCATCATATATTTGAAAATAAATGTTTTTTTTTTAGAAACAGTTACAGCCTGATGGGTTATTAATAATACTTTAAGAGATTTATTAAATTAGAAATATAGTTATTAAATGTTTTGAGTATATTTCAGATATCACCTAGTTTACTAAAAACAGACATCTTAATTTAAAAATGATTAAACATGCTTCAGTGAGACCAAACATTTTGAATTTTTATATTTCCTAAAATATTATTATCAAATTTTTAAAGCATGATGTTTTTCTGAAAAAGTAACAATTTTCAAGTTGTTTTGATTTGACTGAATAAACAATGTAATTGTGGTAGTATTTGTTTGAAACCTTAATTTTAAAGATGTTTCAATCCAATAAATTGAATTATTTAAATACATCGTCATAAAGTATGAAAAATAGATTAGCGTGAAGATGTACTAAGTAGCATAATAATATTTTGATAATAAATAAAGCCATTTGTTAGCAACATTGTTTAAATTGAAAAAAATAAGCATGGTAAGCATAAAGCATATTTTAAGTAGTGTTTAAAATTCAGGTAGGGTGATACAAAAAAAGATAAATATGTGAGGAAAGAATAAATTCTTTGGTGCTTATTTTCTTCTTTGTTCTATGGCATTTTTCCAATATGATTTTGGTTAGTTCTTCTATAGCCTGGATATTCCTGCAGATTAACCAAATAGACTAAAGGGCTTAGAGACTGCTAATATAATACCTTATTTTTCTACAGTTTAGAACTTGATCCAGTTTTTCCTCATTAACCCCCCTACCTCTAGTTCCAAAACTTAAAAAAAGCTAGCAGTAAGTATCAATGCCCTATTTTGAACAATCCTTCAGTCTCAAGTAAACTTTATCTGATTTCCAGTTTAATCCGTTTTCCACAATTTGGTCAGGAACGAAACCTATCACCTCTTTGAGCACTTTCCTTGCTTTTCATATTTTGAAGTTTGGCATTTTCAATCATTTTCACGGTTCCCCTGATGGAGCCATCTTCTGTCCTCAACATCTCATACCTTAAATCAAAAAGTCAGCAGTCATGGATGATAACTCATCAATTCTAGGCCTCATTTTGAACAAAGGAAAAGGGTTAAGGACAAAATAAAATCTGTGATATAGTAATAAAAATACATTTTTAAAAGCAAGAAAACTTGCAATTAAGAATAGCGTCCACCCAATAGTTTGTGAAATAAAGGTTATTATGAGCAAATAAACTTGAACGACAATTAGTTGTTAAGCTCAATGCTAAATAATCCTCCTGCAATTGGTAATGTGAGAAAAGATGTGAGGCAGTTTTAGAAAGAAAATATAATTTTTTTGAAAATGTGAACCAAAAAACCCATTTATGATAAAAATCCCAATATGGTAACAATAAAAAAAGCTGCAGCAAAGTTTGTTTAAAAAGGAAAGCCTTTATATTTCCTATTTGAGTGGTATAAAAATAGACTGAATACAATATGGGTTAGGTGAGAGGGAAGCAATAAATATACTAGCGAGCGCCAAAAGTAAGCTTTCAGGTTATAGCCAACACCAAGAAAGATTTTCTTTAAAGTTTTAAAAACCTTTTGCATTTCCTATGTCAGTTTTCTGATAGCTTTTCCTGGAAAAATTCATGTCAGTTGAATACTTTATTAATATTTGGAATAGGATAAAACAGAAATAATAGGAGTAAGACTTAACATTTAAAATACTTGTATAACAGTTTGTAAAATATTTTAGTATTCTCTTTTGGTGTAGGATTTTTTATTAAATTTTTTCCCCTAAAAATTCTTGATCCATAAATTAAGACTTATAAGAAATATTTGAAAAAACATTCATAGATCTAGCTTTATATTAGTAATGCCAAAATTCTGTGAAAGAAAGATTCAGATAATTAAATAAATGTAAGTTTATCTTATTTTAAAAGTTTTAGTTTTGAAAGTGCACCAGTAGTTGCTGCATTGAAAACTCTAACAATATCCTGAAATAAGTGCTTTTATTAAGTGAATAAAATAGTTTTCATTTCAGGTCTGGCCGTCAGTAGGGCAGAAGAAGTAGAATTCACCTGTGATCTCAGCATATAAAAATATTGTGCTGTAAGTTCTATGCCTAATAGCCTTAACTTTCCCCAATTTGAGTCAGTTACCCATGGGAGCTGGATGTTATGGCCTACAGACTCAAATTTGGTAAGTAAACTCGAAACTCTCTGGTTTGTAGTCATATGCTCTACTGCTCAACCAAGTAATTCCATAGTTAGTGAACAGAAGAAAGTTGTAACACATATTAACAGATTTGTTAGATCATTAGAATTAAAATTATTACATTTATTTATCATAATGTAAGCTTTATACGCTTGTAAAATAATTCATTATTTGAAGTTATCTACACAGAAATTTTTTTAGCAATTAAACGAGCACTCACTTTTCCAAAGATTCTCTGAAGTTTAGCATGGCATATTCCATCATGGAGTACTTGCCGTCTGCAACACCAGTTCCTTGACTTGTGTCACTTTCTCTGTCATAGGAGTCTCTCTGTTTACAGTTTTAAAAATAAACATCATCATTTCATTACTTCATTCAAGGATGGTATTATACCAATTCACTGAATATTCTTTGAGAGTGTTGTGATTGTATAGGTCATCTATGGTCACTTACTCTTGACACACCATTGGTCATGGTGGTGCCATTGGTCATCACACCATTGGTCACTGTACTGGACTGGTAGAGAACTGGTTTAGAGCTGGATGTTTCCACTTCATGTCTGGCCAGAGGCTTGACATAGTCGGCAGGGAACAAACCCACAGTTCCATTCAGGGACCCATACAGCCAGCCTGTATAAAATGTAAAATGTTTAGTTTAAAGTACTACAATACAAATATTTATGTTACTGAAGACTATTCTAAATTGAAATACCATAAAATAATTAAAGAAATTTATAAGTTTTTAATGTAGAAAATTAATTTAAATAATGGTTAGACAAAGATACAGACCATTCTCCAGCTTCATTTCTGGATCCATCAGCTTAATGATTTCATTTCTTTTAAAACTGAGCAGAGTTGACTCCCTTGTGATGTAGTCTCTGATTGCCACCACATACTTATTACCCTTGAAATTAAAATATACTTCATAATTTAATGCATTCATTTTCACACAATTAAAACGAAAATATTGTTATGGGGTTGTTAACTAACCTTTTCACTTTCAAGGCAGAATCTGTCAATCATGTCTTTAAGCTGTTGAGCCTATAAAAAATATAAATCAACTTATATAAGCAGTGTAAAATTGTTCAACAGATAGATTCAAAGTGCATTGTGATAAGCGCTGTACACGAGTTATGAAATGGCTTAAACAAGCTGTGTTGACCATCAAATAGATGGGGACATACCCGCATGGTATGGAAGATGAGAGATTTGGTCCTGAGATTCAGCTGAATTGTAGAGTTGGTGGGCATAACTACATCAATGACATCTTCAAATCTGGACAAATAAACAATTGATTTATGTTAATACCAGTAAGTAAAACTAGCATCAACCCAAAAATATTTCCACAAACAGATATTTAAATTTAAATGAAAATTGTATATTTGAAAGAGATACACTTGTACCACAAAAAGTACAACATAATGAAGATAGATGTTCTCACTTAATTTCTTCCATCACAGACAGGAAGTCATCAACGTAATTCCTCTCCCTGGTGATAAGACGCAGTCCAGTGTGGCTAACACCAAGGTATCTGGCGCCTGAGTACTGACCACTTCCCTAAAAATATCAGTTTAGGAAAAAAAAAACATTGCTCATTACTATGCTTTACACTAAATATTTACATTAACTACAAATTAAACCTAAATGTAAAGGGAAGTAATGTAGGTGGAAAGCTTACAGCAATTGGGAAAAGTCTACAAAAGTATGTTGGCCACTCCTTTGCTGTGTCCACAACAACCTTTTTGATCTGTGGCTTCAGTTCTTTGGTCAAGTAATTGTGTTGGTTTACTCCATGGCTCTCTAAGGATAGCATTTGATTACATTTAACACAATGTTTGCTTATATTTTTGTTTTGAGTTACTTCACAGGATCTTTTTCAAAATTATCTTTGTGTAAAACTATAGATATACTTTTTTTTTAAAACTATTTAGTGAGGCAGGTAAGAACAAAACTGTTTGTAATCTTAACAGTTGACAAAACACATTTACTAAACAGAATACATTTGAAATAGATTGAATGCCTAAAATATTTTACCCAGCATGCTTCTCATTTTAACCCTTTGGTCCTTGTTGATGCGAACACATCCATTGTTGTACACATCACCAACAATCTGGCAGTAAATAAGATGGAGGGCCAATGGGCTCTCAAGCTTCTCAGATGGCCAAAATACTTCTTTGCGGATATTGATGGTCCAAGGCACCTAACAGAAAAATGTAACGCTGTTTCAATATTGTCATTAGGAAAAAATGGTTATTACAATGAGTCTTTAAATAAAAATATTAGTCAGCAGGTATAAGTTATTTTTTTTTTAAATATTTACCTTGCTGTAGATCAGGAAATTCTTCTTATTCTGAGGATAAAGTTCAGTAATGACACGCTCAAAGGCTGAGTAATCAATATTCTGTTTGGTCTCAACTTCAGGTGGGGGCAGGGCTGGTCTAACAACATCTGGAACTATCACCTTGTTGTAGGTAGAAGCAGGTTCAATACGTTTGCTGTACTCTCCCGAGGAGCGCTTTACTTCTATTGTTTCAACTGTCTCTGTGGTGATTTTCCTTTGCACCAGTTTAGGTGGAGAACTCTTTGGTATTGGAGGTGGCTCATCTGATAAGTTAACAGATTCATTGAAAACTTTAAAAAAAATTATTTATATTTTCACCAAGAGTTTTTAGCATTAAATAGGTATATTTTAGTACATTTTTAACATTTTACTTTATTTAAGTCACTGAACTATGAAATGAATGAAGACTATTTTTTCCAATGGATACAATAACCATTGGGTTACCGTATTCAAAGTCTTATCATCAAAATGGCTAAAAAGTGTACCTCTGACAATGGTTTTTTCATAAATATTAGCTTCTGTTCCCTCTGACACCATTTTGGACACATGTGGTTTGGGTGGTGGGGGGTCATGTGGGGCAGCTGGTCCCCCCTGTCCCAGTTTCTGCTCCAGAAGTTTCAGGGTGTTGAAATGTGAAGATTCAATCAGAGACTTTGTTCTTTTTGTCTGATTTCAGAAACAACACATTTTAATACCTCAAAAGCTTTAGAATTTTTATAGACCAACAATTTTATTTAATGTCAATTTAAATGTTAGTAATTGTTGCACTTAATTTTTTTTTTAAATGTTAAATTCTTTTTAATTTGTTAAGTTTTTTTTTCAAATTGACACAAATAATGTTAAGTAAACTTACTTCTCCAGATTTCAAAATAGACTTTGGCTGACCCTCTTGCTTGGGGGCCTCTGGTTTTTGCCACTTCTTTTTTCCAGATATTCTGTCTTCTATACCGCTGGCCACTTTTTCATCAATTTCCAGTTTTCCCACCTGTGTACAATAATTACAGTATTAAAATAACATTACATATATGATTAAGTCACATACAAGATTTTATCATTACATTAGGTTAGGTTAGGTTTGCCTGTCGTCCCTCCTGGGACATAGGCCGCTGACAAGAGCTTTCCAGGCATCTCTGTCCTGGGCTACATTAAGTATGATAAATGAAAGAGAATAAAAAAACTTGGTTCACATAAATCACCTCCATGGTAGTTTTAAATGGCCTCTAAAACATACCTGAATGTTATATTTCTCTTCCTTCTCTACTGGAGGTGGCCAGACAACTTTGCCAACTCTCACAGTCCTGGCTCGGCCAGATTTGTCTCTGATGGTAAACGTGCCTCTGTCTCTGTCAATCTCTATGGGAGGTGGGGGTGGTGGTGGAGGAGCAGGAGGCACAGCTGGCTGGGTGTGGAGTGATGGTGGGTCGGCGTAGGTCACTACAGGGGGCGGGGGAGGTTGGGGTGGTGGAACCGTTCTAACTGGCACATCAGTTGTTGAGGTGCTTGTTATGGTGATTGTTCGTGTCAATGCACCTACACAAATACAGGAACAATTATTTTTGGCCCAATTTTTTACTTAACACAAACTATGTAACATTTGTATATGTATTTGTATTGTTCTAAAGGTTTTTTCTCTGAAGAAATTTTTATCTTTAATTTTAAATCAAATTTCAAAATACATCAGTCAAGCAGCCAAAATATTATTTTTAATAATCTAAAATTTTTAGTAAAGACAAAATATTTTTTTTAGTTTAAAAATTTTAATTTAAAATGAATCTATATTGGCTATGAATTAATTACTTGAGGAAGATCCATGGGATGGAATCTCAAACTGCATCCTGTGCTTGGGTAGTTTTGGTGCAGTTGGTGGTGGAGATTTCTGTTCCATCTGTTTCTGTTGCTCAAATGTTGATTTTATTGACTGCACTTTTCTAGGACTATCCTGTTCTGAGCCCTGTCATTTTGGATAAAATTAAAAGTAAAAATGTAATTAAACTTGGAAAAATAAAATAAAAAATGTAATGGAACCTTAGAAAAAAAAATAAAAATGTAATGAAACTTAAAAAGAATGAAAACAATGTTGAAAAAAAAAAGAAAAGAAAAAAAAGTAATTTAACTTTAAAATAAAACATATTATAAAACATGAAAAAAGTAAAAGAAAAAAGTATCTCTTATAAAAAATACATTCTTTGTGTTAGGAAACTCACATGTGCTGTGCCATTGACCATGTAAGGGACATCACCAGTCCCATTGACCAGTCCCACACCATTGAAACCAGAGTTGAAGCTGGAGCTTGGGCTGATGATGGATGTTGCACTGTGAGGAATGACTTGAGGAACCACTTGAGGCAGTACTGGAGGCTGGGCCATTACTGGTGCAAGGACCTGCCAACATTTAACTTGTTTTAGAACCCAACAACTGAGTTAAGATAGAGTTATTATAACAGCTAAAGTTTTCTTCCACACATTTAGATTTTGTTTAATTAAGGAAAATACTCAACTTTAACATATTAAGTTTAAAAACAAAAATCCAACTGAAAATGTAAGAATTTAGTAAATCAGATATTGTTCTCAATGTTTTTTGGGTTTTAGTTTTGTAAATCAATGTAAACATGTCCATTTTTACTTTAAACAGTATATTTAACAGATATATGTGAACTACAGGCAATGGTTGAATTAATTTATATTACCGGTTGAGCAAACTGTACTTGTTGAAGCTGCTGCCTAAGTACCTCTTGCTCAATGGTCTGTTTGAGCAACTTGTTCTGCAACTCCTGCTGTGCCAATGCAGTTTTAAGGGCTAGAGTTTGCTGGTTGGAGGCTTGAAGAGCCTGCTGGCTTTGTTGCTGCATCAGTGCTGCCTGCTGCTGTTGTTGCTGCTGTTGCTGTTGACGCTGTTGGGCCTGGGCGAAACATTCATCAAGAAATAATATTTTATCCATCAACTGAATGAAATGTACAAATATTTTACAATTTAAACAAGTAAAGTTTTGGTTTCTAACCAGGTATGCCTGTAAAACAGCTTGCTGCTGGGCCATCTGTTGGGCAGCAATTTGTTGGAGTGGATCTGAAACAATCAAAGTTAATTATACAGAGATCATACACAACTTGGTTCTTAGCGCTAAGTTACACACTGAATCAAAACAAAAACTGACCTTAAGTGACACACAGAATCAAAACAAAAATTGACATTAAGCAACACACAAAACAAAAACTGACCTGTCTTACACACAGAATCAAAACAAAAACTAAAAAACTGACCTTAAGCAACACACAAAAACTGACCTGTGTTTATCAGACCAAGAGAAGGTGCCATGGAAGAGCCTGCTTGCAGATTTAAAGGTGGAATTACAGGTGGGTTAGAAGCCAGCAGTGGGTTGGTCAAGCCATAGTTGAATCCCTGGGCGAGAGGCTTCAGGAATAAAATAAATACATTTAGCTTTCCAAGCATCAGCAAATTAAAATTCTAACAACTGAATAATACAGGTTTTATTTTTTATTTTGTATAAGGTAATTAAAAAATGGTTATGTCTGTAAAAAAAAACTTTTAAAATGTTATGTTTGTTAAGATTAAGTTTTAAAAAATAAACTTTTAAAATGGTTACCTGTTGTGCTTCATATCCTGGCACACCTTGGCCTCCACCCTTGATACGAACACCAAGAGCACGTCCATTTTGTTCATCATGGTCATTCAAGGCATTACTGAAAATGTCCTCCACAAGATGTGACCAGTCAGTGTTGTCAGAGTTGCCTGACCGTAGCTCATCCTGGTTGACACTCAGGTGTTTACGGTTGATCTGAGCCGACACGCCTGACTTGCTTCGAGTGACGTTACTTTTTCTGTTGTACCTCTGATTCAGCACACTCTTAGAGAGGTCGTTGGTGTCTTTCAACTTGGATTCCCCATCTTCAAAGTAGCGTGTGTTGAGGACAGTGTCTGACAGATCAGAAAGGCCATTGAGCTCCTCATCTTCAGTGATAGTTGTTATGTCCCCATTAAGTATTCCATTGGGAACGTGGCCGTTCATTGCCGGGACACTGGGTGCACGGGACCGCTTGGTGTAACGAACATTCATTCGACTGTTTTCCGACAGGCCAACTGGCACAATTTCTGTTGGTCTCTGGTTCAGCACACTTGTTGTAGAAAAGCCCAGGTCATCTTCAACAGAACTGGTCTGGACTTTTCTGTTTGTGGTAGAGTGGGTTACCCCTCTTTGTTCACTCTGTGTGGACACACTGATGGGCACGTCCCTCTTGATCATCTGAGGCAGCGGTCCAGTCAGTATGAGAATTCTTTCTTTCTCTGGATCATGAGGTCTAGAACACAAATAATACATGACAGTTTTATTTGTGTTGAGTGATGAAAGGATTATAAATATACTTAATGGGATGAAATGAGGTAACTCAAGTCTCAAGTTCCCAGGATTAATTCCAAAGAATGTCAATCAATTTCTGGGTATATTGCTGACACTCTTTCATATAAATGGTAAAAGAAAAATGGTCTCTACTTTATCTTAAAATGTACTTTACTTCTTTTTTTAAAACAACAGTAAGATCAGGTTAAAAAAAACAGAATGATATTTTCCTTGAAACATTCTAACCTGAAAAATGAAAAAAAAAGTTCCTACCCTTCCTGGTGACTTCTGTGCTTATGATGTAAACCTTCCTTGCTCCGGTCAACAGAAACAAGAAAGTATGCTGTGCATGTGGGAAAACCTGGTGCTATTTCCATCTCACTAACGAGGTCAAGGACAAAGTCATAGCCCATCAACTCGTAGTAGTCAGAATCCTCTTGTAGCTGGACAGTCCAGCCTTGACTGTTTTCATGTAGGCCTCTGGGAAAAATATATAAATAATATTTTTTATATTTATAATAATGGAATTTACAATTCACAAAAAATAATTTTTAATAATACAGGAGTTTACATTTCATTAAGAATATTTATAACGAGCCGGCCCGCGGCATAACATACGCCGCTATTTAGTTGTTGTTTTTTCTACTTTTCAGTAATTCATAATTTGTGAATTCGACAGTACCAATGCTGCCACTGAAAATATTTGCTTTAAAACACTAACCCCCCTCCTTTCCCCTAACCCCGACCCTACACCCCCCCCCCCCGTGAAAGCAGCCTCCTCTTAGTTACCTCCTGTAAGTTTAAAGCCGGTTCAAACTAAATTATCTGCCCCTAATAGCCGTCACTAAACCTGGCTGTACGGTTTGTAAAAATTAACGTGACCACAGCTCAGCAGACCATGTGGGGGTGGGGTAGGGTGGTAGTGATAGTGATAGAGAGAAAGAGAGGGGATTGTAAAGAGGCGCTTGCAGCTTGTTTTCTAATGGCTCGCAGAGGAGAATTATATATATAGATAATTGAATAAACAACTTATTTTGTTTACAACTGCAGTTTCACATTTAAGTTTTTAATAATTTTTTAATGCACAATGAATACTATAAACACACAACAATACCAACTACGTGACTAACTCAAGATATCTTAATTTGAAGCATGGAGAAAGCTAAAGCTTGATTACCTAAGCTTGAGCAAATGGGAGGTGAACAATTCTCCAGAAGTCCAAGACTCAACATGACCAAAGACACTGACATCTAAACACACAAAAATTAATGTATTAATGATTCCAGCACAATAAAATCATTTTTATGATCAATATTTGTTTTGTTACTCGGATGTATGCATTTTAAATACTTTAAAATTTGCATTTTAAAATTATAAATTATTTTAAAAGTGCGTAATTAATCCTGTTTTAGCACAATGGTTACATACCATCAGGAAATTTGACTTCAAGAGCCATATTGGCTTTCCTCTCAATAGCCTTCCACTCTAAGAAAGTGGGAGGGTAAATTCTACTCAGTAAAGGATTCATGTGAGCACTCTGTAAAGTTTTGTGTTGACATAAATATTTGTATCCATTTACTCCAACATCTGAAACATACCTAAAATAAAGAGAATTTTTTTTTACAATTGTATCAAGGTTCAGCTCACAATAAATCATTATTTTTTTAAAAACTTACTTAAGGGAATTATTTGAACAACTACTTTGGTAAGTCTAAACTTATTTAAGGAAACTAATTGAACAACTTTTTTGGTAAGTCTAAAATTACTTGAGGAAATTATTTCAACAACTACTTTGGTAAGTCTAAACTTACTTGAGTGAATTATTTCAACAACTGATTCTGTAAGTCTAAACTTACTTGAGGAAATATTTGAACAAGTTGCTGCTTGGGTTGAAACAACAGAGACAATTGGCCAGGAGTTTCCAAGCTTTTTCTAAACGTTCCAGATTTTGATTTTTCCAGGTTTGATTGGCAAGCTGGCACAGAATTTCATCCCTCAGTCCTTCATATTTCAGACCCTAAACAATATATAATTCATTTGCTTGTAGTCTACTACATTAAAATACCAACAATATATTACAAAAATACTTCTAGCTTATTGATTAAGTCTCAATGTTAATTAAATACATTTTTGGACAAAAATTTACCATTTGTATTATGAAATCAGCCAGGATTTTTTCTTTTTTCTCATTGAGATGTGGGTCACACATGAACCGTAGAATCTGGAAAAAAAAATTCAATGAGATAAAATTTAACTAAACTATTCACTCTCTCCCAATGGTTCACAGTCTGATTACTGAGTTGATAGATGCACACAAAACAATGAAATATAATTATATATAGGCCTAAGCTTATAAATTTCCGATTTTAAAATTAAATAAAAAATAAATTAATTAAACTTACCAATTTGAACACAGCTACAGCCCTGTGTATATTATCTTCACCTTGTACAGCTGTAAGGGCAGTTTTGATTGGCTCCATCTGTACACCCCAGTTAGGGTTCTACATTCAATATAGAAATAGTTTAGAAAATTGAAACTAGTATAACATGATAATGCATATCAAAATTCAGCAATATAAACAACTGAAATGAAAATAGCACAGTAAGATTATCATGAATATTAAACTGACCTTAAAGTATATACTGGTAAATTTGTTAAAAACGTGAGAATTAATGTCCACAGGAAGTTTGTAGCCCATGTCCATTGGAGTGACCTCTCCTGGGGCTATGATTACATGCTGGCCATTGTGGTACAAGTCCCAGTCTATGCAAATAAATTTATAAAATTTATTTTTTTATACCAAAATCAAAACATAATTTCTTATAGAATTTATCACTTCTTATAGAATTTGGCAGAAAAGTTAGAAAATTGGAATACAAACCATCAATTTTACTGTACACCAGGGCTAACTCCCCAGGGATGTCCAGATTTGCAATGCTGGCCATCATTTGTGCTTGTCTTTCCTGTTATTTTAAATCAGCAGGTTTAATTCATACTTTTAAACCAGTGGTTGATTTCAGTATCTTTTAGGACAATTTTTATTTTTTAAGAATCACTTTAATCTATTCTTCCAATATTTATTGTAACAAAAAAATCAAAAGTTTGTTAAATCCAAACAATGTTCATTCAGTTGTATAAATAGTTGTGGAATGATTAAGGTTACAATACCAAAATATCTACTTTTTTCATATACTATAGCTAAAAGAAAATTATACAAATGTGAAAAACAACAGAAAGAAGCTAAATAGTTTTTAAATGCATTGGCAAAGTGTGAAATAAATCATATTAAGCCTGAATTTCTTATTTTGCTGGTAACATTAAATACATATATAACCTATATATCAATAAGAACTAAAAATGCTATGTAGGAAACACAAACGTAAAATCACAATTATCTGAACTACAGGGTTCTCTTTCTAAAATCTCACAGATTATATTGAAATAAAAAAATCTATACACTTAAAAAAATGTGACATGTTTCTAGGTTGAAACTGAAGATGTGTACGGCAACAACATGAGTACAGTCTCACCCTAAACACATCTTGACCAATGGGTTTACCAAAACCAATATCCTCATTATGTTTTACGCTATTTTTAATCTCTCTAACTGGTGGAACATATTGATCCACCATTAGCTCGGTTATTCTTTGCTTGATCATCTCCCCTGCTGGCTGATTGAAGCAGCATTAACAGAGAGTAAACATTTTAGAGGGAAAAAAATAGATAAAAACTATTTTTAGAATCTGCTCAATTTAAATGGAATTTTAAAATTGTAAAGGAAAATGTATATGGGATACAAATTGCAAAGAGCTACGTTTAACTCAAAACCTGAAGCTGAGGATGGGCAGCATTAGAGAAAATGTTTTAATGAATGCTTTGTAGTTCCACCTAAAAAACTGTATTGTTTTTTGGTGATACTACTAAATCTGTGGTAAGTTTTAAATTACAAAATACTCTTCCCTGTGGTTTCTTAAAAATTGTTTAATCATTAGGTACAGTTTACATCAAATGATCAAAAAAATATTGTTCTTCAAATAGTGTATTTTACCACACAAAATATTCTTTTGTAGTGAATGTTAATAAGATATGCCACATAAGCCAGCTTTAGATATCTCGCTCTCATTAATGGAAAAACAAAGTTATTTAACTATAGATCAATAAAGGTGTCTTACCCTGCGTTCCCGTTCAACTTTTTCTTCAGCTTCTTGTTTTCTTCTGGCTAACTTGTGCTGCTCTAGACGTGTGCGGATTTCTTCTCTTGTCTTGAAAAAAGAAGAGTTCATTGTTATTTTTATTTTTTAAAAACCTGTATTACAAATATTTAAAATGTAAAATAACAAAAAAAATTGTGTTAACTCACCTTTAGGTATTTCCTACGTTGCCTAAACATACGAAATTGGGCTTGAGCCAAAATGATGCCATTTCGTAGTTTGTTGAATTCACGTCTGTTTTTATAGAAAATTATAAAAGATTTTTTATTGAAGCCCAAATAGAAGCATTTCAAGAACATGCATATAAAAAACAATGTTTTAAATTTTCAAACAAAGAAATTAAAACAATTATTTTTGGTGTTTATACAGTTAAGTGTAAGACTAAATTATAATACAACAGCTAACCTCTACATGGATTTAATTAACTAAAATACAGTTTTGTTTACTGATTTTTTAAAATTAGTTCAGTTTTTAAAAACCAAGAAAAGATCATTTCAAAGCAAGAAAAAAAAAAGACTGAGCCTAAACAAAACTGTTTCAGTTAACCCCAAGAATGTTTTCAGAGCAACCAGTTAGCCAAACAAGCTTTAAGACCAATTTAATGTTTTCTTTGATGACCAATCCAGAAAAACAGGAAATCTCATGCAGATTGGGACGAAATCGCCTTTAATTTAGGGGGTAAGATAAAAGAATCTGGACCTACAGGCTTAGTGAATTACCCCTCCCATAACATGACAAGAAAGATTGTAGAGTACAACAGTTAAGCTTCCAGGTCGTCAAGCCCACAGACACTTATAAGACTGCCGCTCAGCTGAGGGCCATAAATCACTGAACATACTTGTCTGACACTAGACTACTTCATTTTTTAAAAGAGGAATTTGCTTTTATGTAGCCGATCAATAGTTTATAGCTCATTTGCCTCGATGAGTAAAAATGTTCACTAAATTCTGCATTTCTATTTACGCAATTATAATTAAATCCTGCTGATTATTTATAATTCTCAAACAAATAAAAATTAATTTTACAAAAAAAGAAATAAGTTAGCATATTAAAATATTATTGTACAGTCATAAAGAGATATATTTATTGTAATATAAGTAACAGAAATGGAATTCCGTAAAAAAAATTTCAAATGTAAATTTTTTTTAGATTTTACATTCACAACTTGACATTTTTAATGGTTGAAGACAATTTAAATAATGTTCAGCTAATCCTTTGGAGTTTCAAAAATTGCACAAGCCCATGCTATGTGTAGCCCTTTGCCTGTATAAATAATGAGACTAGCTTGTCTAATTTATGCACCCTGCTTCTATCCTCCGTGAATGTTAAGAATTAATTTGTATATTAATACACACCTTCGTATGTTTTTGTCAGTTAAAGAGATGTTTATGTTAGAATGAAATGAATACATGACCAGAATTTGTGCATTAGCATTATACCAAATTATTTTTTTTTAATTTCAACCTACAAGTACCTATAAATCTAAAAAAGAATTGTGGATACATTAGTTTTTAGACAAGAAAGAAGAATACAATCATAAATGCTACACCGTCCTTTTAAAAGCAGAATTAAACTAGAACATAAAACAATGTTTTAATACAAATTATTAACAGGAATAAACCTACTATATCACCAAGTGAACACATATAATAAATCTTCCTGTCAAGGTACAATAAAGTATCAATGCTGTACAAAGTTAATGATAACCTAAGTCCTAATTCCAAGCCATAAGTAATTACGTTATGAGCAAAACCTGAAACAAATACTTCAATAGAATGTCTATTGATTGACATTAACAATAAATACATGAAATAAAAAGTTATGACCAGTCAAAGTATAATAAATGCACACATAAAAAAAACCACAATCTAATTTGTACACAGTAAAATAACTCATTAAAAGGTTTAACTAGTAAAACAAAATTACAAAACTGCTCACTGAAAATGAATGTATAAAGTGACATCTTACAGAAAAACTGTGTCACTGAGGGAAGTTTTTCAACAAGAAAAACTGCAAATATTCCAGCAGGTTGAAACACCTGGTGCGGATGGCCAACAATATGTGACACACTTGGGCTACACAATACTAAAAAAACATCAATACATTTTTGCTTTGTGTGTAACTGATATGGGGACAGTGTGGAGTAGCCTAGCAGAGACTGCAGAGTGGCAGGAACAGGGAAGTGTTGAGTGACAGGGAACTACAGAGGGACAGGGAAGAGTAATGGGGTAACTGTAGGGGAACAGGGAACTGTAGAGGGACAGGGAACTAGAGGGACAGGGAACTGTAGTGGAACAGGGAACTGTACAGGGAACTAGAGGAACAGGGAACTGTAGAAGGACAGGGAACTGTACAGTGACAGGGAACTGTGCAGGGTCAGGGAACTGTACGGGGAAAGGGAACTGTACAGGGACAGGGAACTGTACAGGGACAGGGATCTGTAGAGGGACAAGGAACTGTAGAGGAACAGGGAAATGTAGAGGGACGGGGAACTGTAGAGGAACAGGGAACTGTAGAGGGACAGGGAACTGTACAGGGACAGGGAACTAGAGGAACAGGGAACTGTACAGGGACAGGGAACTGTACAGGGACAGGGAACTGTAGAGGAACAGGGAACTGTAGAGGAACAGGGAACTGTAGAGGGACAGGGAACTGTACAGGGACAGGGAACTAGAGGAACAGGGAACTGTACAGGGACAGGGAACTGTACAGGGACAGGGAACTGTAGAGGGACAGGGAACTGTACAGGGATAGGAAACTGTAGAGAGACAGGGGACTGTTGAGGGACAGGGAACTAGAGGAACAGGGAACTGCAGAGGGACAGGGAACTGGAGAGGAACAGGGAACTGTACATGGACAGGGAACTAGAGGAAGAGGGAACTATACATGGACAGGGAACTGTAGAGGGACAGGGAACTGTACAGGGACAGGGAACTAGACGGTCAGGGAACTAGAGGAACAGGGAACTGTACAGGAACAGGGAACTGTACAGGGACAGGGAACTGTACAGGGACAGAGAACTGTACAGGGACAGGGAACTGTAGAGAGACAGGGAACTGTTGAGGGACAGGGAACTAGAGGAACAGGGAACTGCAGAGGGACAGGGAACTGGAGAGGAACAGGGAACTGTACATGGACAGGGAACTAGAGGAACAGGGAACTGTACATGGACAGGGAACTAGAGGAACAGGGAACTGTACAGGGACAGGGAACTAGAGGAACAGGGAACTATACAGGGACAGGGAACTGTAGAGGGACAGGGAATGCTAGAATAAATGGGAACCTTCGAGTAACAAGGAACTGTACTTTATTAAGTTATATGGTAACAGAGATTGAGAACTATAAATTAACAGGGAACTGTAGAGTAACAAGGAACTGCAGTGTAACATTACATGCAAGAAATTGAGCAATCACATTTCTTTTAAAAATATTTTTCAGTAATTTAGTATTAAGAAGGCGGTATTATTTCCTATCTCCTAAACGCATGAGTTTGTCCCTAAATGTATATGCCTATGTTTACAAATATGTGTTAGATGCGCATGTCAGACATTGAGACCATTTGTAGTAAATGGACCAGGTGTTACAAAACGTTGTTGTTGGTAGAGCGTGTACATGATGCTGCGGTAAACACCACAACCAAAGTCACCCGCCTGCTGGTGTTTGAACATTTTATAGACCTCCTCCCCCCCCCCCCCCCCACACACACACCACCACCCATTTAACCCTGTTGACACTTTCACTGAGCAGCTGGCATAGAATGTCACGCTGACCCGAACAAAAATCCAATAATCCTACGTTGATACAGTATGACGATGTTTTCAATTAAAGCCATGTTCGACTGTAACTATACATTTTAAAGCGTTTATTCCAGTTCTTTAAAAACGTGAAATCTGATTAACTTCTATAATAAATTACAAAATGGTGGCCCGATTTCAAGTAAGGGGTCGTCCATAAATGACGTCACACTCGTAGGGGGAAGTGGGCTCCGTAATTTTGTGACGGTGTGTGATGAGGGTGGGGGGGGGGGGGGGTTCAGATCGTGCGACGTCACACTTTTGTATTATAAAAAAGCAATGTTAGAAAACGAATTTTAGACGTTATTTCGCGTTTTATAAAATATCGATGTTTTAAGAAAAATTCAACTGCAATTTTGAAGGGGGGGGGGGGGTAGACTGAGGTGTGAAGTCATTTTAGGGGGGGGGGGTCTGGCTTTTGTGACGATGTGTGACGGAGGGGAGGGGGGAAGTAAAAATCGTCAAAAAAGCGTGACGTCATTTATGGATGACCCCTAAGTCTTACTACGATTTCAACTAAGTAGACAGCGAATAATTGCCCATTGCAATTAAGTAGACAGCGATTAATAGCCGATTTCAATAAGAAGGCAGGGAGGACATGTTTAGGAGCAAGCCTTTAATTCACACAGTCGTATCACGTGATACCCATGCTACAATTTAATTAATAGATGATCTCGATAACCAATCGCGTCTACAATCGTGCAGCTAGTGTACACGGTCTTGTAATGAAAAAAGTAATCTGGTTTGTGCGACACATAATCAGGTTCGCTCCCTTTATGTCATACGTGTTAGTCTCCCTTTAAGACTGAGTTACTGTTCCTTTCCGCGCCCAGCTAATTAAACTGGCGAAGACATCAATGCTGACAAATGCCCTTGCTATTTCTTTTTCATTCTTGATTATTTTAATAACGTGCGGCGTCAATTCGGCCAATGACGAAACAGCCCCGTCAAAACGACCCCGACAAAACGACCCCGTCAAAACGACCCCGTCAAATCGGCCCCGTCAAAAGGGCCAGCGACATATGGACCCCGTCATATAGGCTCCCGACAAATAGGCTCCCGTCATTTAGGCTACCGTCAAATAGGCTCCCGTTATATAGGCTCCCGACAAAAGGGCTCCAGTCAATAAGGCTCCTGACAAATAGGCTCCCGTCATTTTGGCTCCCGACATATAGTCTCCCGTCATTTAGTTTTTTCCACAAAACGGCCCCCGTCATTACGACTCCCGACAAATAGGCTCCCGCCATTTAGTTTCTCCACAAAACGGCCCCCGTCATTACGACTCCCGACAAATAGGCTAGCGTCATTTTGGCTCCCGACAAAAAGGCTCCTGTCAATTTGGCTCCAGACAAAAGGACCACTGACACAGTGGCGTAGCTACCGTAAAGCTAGCGTAAGCAAGGCATGGGGGCCCAAGGCACATAGGGGCCCTTTTCCCTC